GTTCCATAGATGACGTAGGATCTTTTTTGACGATATGATCCTTCTGTAAGAATATCTTGAATCTTTTCCTGACATTCGTTTGTATTCATGACCACCGTAGCATTTCGGAGGGATTTAGGAGGTTTTGGTTAGTTTAGTTAGTTAGTTAGTTTAGTTTGATATGGCAGTTTGTTTAGGATAGACTCGACTTTTGAAATGATTTTCTCTTTTGGGATAATACGTGGGGCAAGGACGAAGTTGGAACCTTTTGAAAGAACTGATTTTTCCGTTTCCGAAAGTTCATGCGATGATACTTTTATCACAGTGTCTGGTAGTTGAGAAGAGTTTGATGCTTCCCCTAGTGTGGAAGTCAGTTTTTCAAATTTCTGAATGTGATTTTGGATAGAAGATTAACGAAGATAGCTTTGTTATGAACCATTTTTGAAAGGCTATCGAACTCGGATAGGGACAAGATGGAAGCAATTTCATGAGGCTGAGACAGAAGCGGATGTTTGAAGAAAATTGGGGATAACTTTATGGTCTCTACAACATAACAAGTTCAGTGTACAGAGAAATCTTACCATTTTCAGTCGGTGACCTTCCCAGTTTCTGTTTTTGCGCTTGATGCCCTTTTCAAAAAGGCTTGTTAATTTTTCGAAGGCAGTCGCTCTGTCGGCTTCCTCGGGGCTTGACTGAAACTCTGAAGAAGCCATTAGGATGATTGGCGAAACGTTAGCAAGTTAGACTCGACAAAAACCGACGCAGGAGGAATCACAAAGAAGGGTTTCTCGTTTTTGAAGTCAGTCAACGACGGGTGTTAAATCTCGATCGGCAGAAGTTCCGCCTTGCGTATACGAGGGGTATTGAATTCTTTGCCCCTTGGAATGGCTCCGGGCTTGTAGAATGAATGTCACCGTTGTAACATAGAACTTTTGAAGGTTGGCTCTAACATTATTTTCTAAATACTTAATAAAACATACCAAAGCAGCAACATGATTGCGGGGGGGACGTAACTCGGCCAATTTTTAGCGACACCGGCCCAGTTCGTATCGATCGGGTGACGTCGGATTCTGGCCCGGTCGACTCGAACGTAGCCGATCTACGTGGGGGCAACTACGTCGCCGGATCCTTCCCTCTCAGTTTCCGGAAGCTGGTGCGGCCGGGTCGGCTCGCGCGCGCGATCCCCCTCCTTTGTTCGTTTCGTGACGTCGATTTTTTCGAAATTTCCTGGTTTAATCAGTAGGTCGGCGAAGTTTAAGACTTTTAACGATTTTATTTCGCAATAAATTTCGATAGATTGTATGCCACAGTGCGACAAATAGATTTCTAAACGAAAACATTTATTAGAAATTTGTATAATAATAATAACGACCTACCGCAACTACTGCTTCCCTAGAGGTTTTCTTTCGGCTACGCATATAGAGAAATAAAACGATTTTTGTTGATTGTTATTATGTTTTTGCCAGTTGTAAATGAACTTGAAACCGAAAGCTCATTGAAAAACCAACGTGAGAAATACCGAACCTTTCGTTAGTGCGGGCGATAATACGTCACGCGTGCGTGACGTAACTGTCCTCTTTCGGTTCACCTTTTATAGGGTTATGGTCGCTCGAACGGTTCGAGATGACGAAATAGCGTCAGTGGCGTACATTTTTTCTGTTGCTGCACCTTGTTAAAGAGAGTTTTTAAGTAGAGCAATATAGTGTCTCAGGAAGATGTTATCGTTCTAGCGTCGCATTAATGATATCAATGCTAGATAAATTTAAGCCGAAAAGTCCATTAGCCGATAATGCAGAACAAGAGGGATTTTATTTATTTTATTTATTGCAACGTCTACTCTCCAGACTTAGCCCCCAGCGACTATTACGTCAAAAACTGACTTGGCGGTAAAAGATTTAAGAGCAACGAAGAAGTTATCGAAGCTGTAGATCAGTATAACCAAATCCAAATCACAACAGCGTTATGAGAAACCGATCACTGTAGATGGAGATATGTTGAGAAATAAAGCAAAAAAAAATCATGATCCCCTCGTACGCCTGCTGATTTCAGGTATAGTCTGTCTCAATCATCAATCGAAACAGTAGGGACGCACTCTCAAAATTTTGGTACTAATAAAATTTTGTATGTTTATTTAGGTGGGTATAATCTTATCAAATTACACTGAGAAAAAACAATAAATTCATAGTTAGCAGAATCTATACATAATTACATTTTTATACTAAATGTCTAAATCTAATTCTTTTTCACTATATAATAGGATTTATGTTGTTTGCTAAATGGACAGGTTTCTTTTAAAGCTTCTTGCTACTTTCGAAAAATCCACGAAATCGGGGACCCCCATTGGTACACAAATGATCGAAGTCGAAAAAAATATATTTTTTTCAATGTTCAATTAGAGTTTGGTCCCCTAGCGAAGCCTATTGAAATTGAGGGGGCCGGGGGGTTGGCAAGTATTAAAAAAAAAAAAACGCGTTTGCAAGGATCCAGAAAAAAATCATTTCTCGAAAGCTGTTGAAAGACGCAGAAGATTCGGCTCGAAAAACTTTTATTCCTGACAATTTTTCAAGAATGTACAGGGTGCGCCGCATATTCAAAAAAACTGAAAAATCGGTTCCCCTATTAAAGCAAATTTTCTATAACAAAAGGACTATATGTAAGATGTCAGTTCCTTTTACATGGCAATATAGCCCGCATAAATAGTAGATTTGGCAGATAAGTGGAAGTCCACACCCGTATTAAAGTCGGAGGCAATAAAGTAACGCAATGTATTTTTTAAAAATTTTAAGATTTTTTTTTTGTTTTTTTGGTTTCTGCAAAAAAAATATTTTCTCCAAAACTTTTAACCCTATCGGCAAAATTATTTAACCAGCAGATGCGGAAGATCCAGTACTATAACTTTTATTTTAAGCGTTTTTTCGATTATATACATGGTTTTTAAATTATGGACAAAAATGTAAAAGACCTTGAAAATTCTCCTTTTCCAGAGTAAATTAATAGCGGCAAAACAAAATTCGTAAAAAATATATCAAATTGGTTTAAACAGTATTCTGTGGGTAAATTATTGGCGCCTTTCATACAGGGCACGCGAGATAATTGAAAAAAATGTATTAAATCACAGTTACCTGTACAAATTTTGATATTTAAGAAAGTTGCCCGTAACTTTGAAGTTTCGCGAGACGTGCAAAACATTTTATACATCGATTACATCGATTTTGCGAGAGTTCGCGTATCGGCAACGAGATTGCGAAAGCAATCTTGTTACTTTCGAAAAATCGACGAAATCGAATTTTTCGAAAAAATACGCGCTTGGCAACGAAACTCATATCTCGGCAACGGTTGGTACTAAGGAACCCCCATTGGTACGCGAAAAAAATATATTTTTTTTCAATGTCCTCCGTTCTCTGTTCTCTGTCGACGTTCTATAAAAACGCGAATAAATTCTGTACGGTTTGAGTGAGGGAACTGAAGTTTTGCGCCTTTCAAACTAGCCACGAGACACATAGTTCATTTCAGGCATTTTTGCGATCATATACAGGGTTTTTTAATTATTAGCAAAAATCTCAAAGACCGTGAAAATTGTACTTTTTGGGAATAAATTATTAACCGCAAATCAAAATTCGTAAAAAATATGACTAATCGGGCCAAACATTGTTATAGGCCTTATCAAGAACTACAATTATTGTATTTACGGTTTCCGTCACATACGCTGTTCGAATATTTGAAAAAATCGAAATGAAAATTACCATTTCTCGCTCCCAATCTAGACGCGATGACGTCATTGTCTATTCCATGGCTTTAGGAAACAAGTATTCTCTTGAAAACCACTTATTCTATTGGGAAAAATTATATACCAGGAAACGTGGGGGGTCCATTTGTGTGTCGTTTATGGGCAAAAAAATCTAAAACATCCTAAAACTTTCCGTTTTTATGCGCAAAGTAAAAACGAATATTCAAATCTGCCACACTCAAGAAATATATCAGGAAAAACGAAATATACCGGGCCCACCCCCGCCATGTCATTCAAGTAAGAATGGCTTTACCCAATAACAAAAGGTGATAGCATCGTTAAAGTTTTATTGGCGAGGGTCGAAAGACAACGCCATGAAGATTGAGACAAACTATGAAGTTTTTGGTCGGGTCCCACCAGTTGTTCCAATATCAACAATTTTTCTAATCGTGCCTACACTTTTTCCTCGGAACGGTTAATTGTTATTTACAATTTAAATTTTACAAAGGTTGCGATAGAACGGGACGGAACAAACGCGCGATTTGCATGTTCTCCGTAGGTTTAACCGGTGCACACATCGTCATTACAAATATAGACTTATTAATCCGAAGCCAGGTTTCCCACACACGCACGGTTTTGCCGTTTCTTCTCGCGATCGTTTCCCGCGCATCCGAAACAAAAGACGGCAGTGCAGATGTAGTTTTCACGAAAAAAAAAAAAGAAAAACGTTTTCTCGTAATTGTCGTTCTAATTTGTAGGGTTGTGTTGTGTTTTTTTCACTGGGCGGCAAATCTGTTGGATACAGCGGACGTTGCGATAATTTAACCTCTAATTCCGCAAGTTTGGCCGTGGCAACTGCGATTAAGCGGAACTTATGTGAGGTAGCGCCACCTCTCGGATTTCCTAAGGACATTCCGGCATCTTATGTCGACACAGTTGACCCATGGATTTTTCGGTTTTATTTTTTCTATGCAGCATAAGAAAAAGCGCCTACACAGGTAAAAAAAATAAAGTACGCTTTTTGAGCTCTACAGGATACATCGTCAATAACGAATACCATGAATAATAATAATCATAATAATAATAATATGTCTTTATTTCTGTATATCCATACTTTCTACAAATAACCGTTTTCATTTACAAAATGAATGTATATATACCCATACACAGAAATGAGCGAAATCCAGATATGGATAACATCAGTATGTTAGCCACCTTGATCTATTTAACTCAACGGATTGAGAAACAACGGCGACAGCGATAGTGCAATAACAGAAAAAAAAATACTTCTTCGCACACTTATTAATGTATCCTATTTTGCTCACTTTTGTTAAAGATAGACTGTGCTGAATGCTAATACTGAATTCTTCGCTTGATTTTGAGTATTTTTTGTCATTAAGTAGCATACGAAATTTTCAGTGGCATTTGAGAAAACTGAACTTCTTTACACTTTTAAAAGGATCCATATTTATGTACAGGGTGGTCACAAATGATCAACAAAAAATGTTTTTCCTAATAAAAAACAAACTCTTTTTTGATGGAACAGCTTTTATTGATTTTGGGATTGAATTCAGCGTATAGGTTTAAAGATAACCGGCGCTCCAGCTTCCAGTCTCCAGATTTTGATGTATTCTTCTCGTGCAGCGATTCTTTCATGGTTTTTTACGTTTTTATTAGCCTCGATATAAAGCCGTCGTGCTTTTCGGAAAAAATGTAAAAGTGCATTTTACTCCGAAAATCCGGTTACTGCCAGGGCACAACGCGACACACTGTATATATAAAAATACTATAAATTAAATAGATACTTGGGGTCGAACACTTTTTATATTTTTTTCCCCAAGTGTCGTACTTATTGACATAACTTATCTTAAACGAACCACCCTGTATATTGTTGTATTCATAATAAAGATTTCACGGACCGTATAAAAACATGAAGTTGGTGATTTCTCGTCGTAGAGCTTAAAAATCGACAACTAGAGAGTGACCTTTACTTTAAACAAATTTAAAAACGTCCTTATCTTGGGACACACTGTATATTGGTAACGGTGATAAAAAAGGCCTGGAAAGAGGTTAAAATTTTCATCTAAATAATTTTCTGTGAGTTGGTTTTTTTTGTTAAACGACGTCAAACGTAGATAAAACGCGGTTCCGGACTATGTAAGAACCCGATAAAGGTACCCGCAGCATGGTTCTGCAGAAATTCGTGGCGACGAGATACTGGTATTCGAGACGGAATAAAAAACGGTGAGTTTACAACGGCCGTAATGGTTCCTCGCCGAAAACTTGGCCTCGGGAAGCGTTTGCCAAGAACAATGTTGTAAAACCTCGATTAGGTTCGCCGTTCGATGTAAATAATCCGCGTAGGTTGTTTTTTATTACGGCCGGGGATTGCTAATACGCGATTTAAAATAGAACGCCACCCAAAAGTCAGAAATAAAATAAATATGAACGTAATACTCGCCACTAACGTATATATAATGAAGATACCAGTCACCAAATTATCTACAATCACGAAAAGACGATGACAATCGGTCGAATTCTGAATTTATCTCGTCTAAGTCTGTTCTCTTCAAGCCTGAATTGTCATTCATTGATGACTAGTGGCTCCAATTCAGAGGTTGTCCATTTCTCATGAATCACCCTGTATATAATCCAGAGAGTGCCGCTAATCAAACTGTATAATTTTCTGTTTTTGAGAAATACTATTTTCGTATTTGAATCAATAAATCAATATTTTGGCAACGTGTTCAGTGCATGTCACTTTTTTTTTTCGACATGCGTTTTTTATGCGTAATGTTTATTATATTGTTGTTGATTTCGACTTGTCAACTTTTATTCGGGAGTTTCAGGAGACTACATTCTATTTTTTATAATTTTCTTGTTACTTTCGAAAATCGATGATATCGAATTTTTCGAAAGTATCTACGCTCGTATAAAAATTTTATATCTCCGTAACGGGATCGCCGATGGTATAAAAATAATCACCGTCGAAAAAAAAATTTTGTTTGTTTGTTTGTCTGTTGTTAGTTCTCGCCTTTTGGTTTTTTCTGAATAACCTTCGAACCGTTGGAGCTACACAATTAAAATTTGCCTTCCTTTTTAACCCTCCACGAGGCACATAAGCTTGTAAGAAATGGGTCTGATTCGACGCCGGTATCCATCTTTTTTTCGACTGTTTTTTGGACATTGCTATGAAACACGATAAGTGCCCGAAATTTGAAGCTATCGATTTCATATTTGGCACATATATGCAGCTTTGTCACGTGACGAACCTATAGAAAATGGGAAGGGGTGGGGGGTCGGGAAGTATTATAAACAACATAAAAAGCGCGTCTATAAAAAACTTTATTTTTCAGAAATCGTTTTCGAGACCAGAAAAATTCCTTGAATCAGAAGACGCAGAAGATACGGCTCCATAAACTTTTATTTTTGACAATTTTTCAATAATATACTGGGTGCGCCGCAAATTCAAAAAAAACTGAAAAACGGGTCCACCTATTATTGAAAATTGGTTATAACTGAAAGTCTTTTGATTCAGATCTCACCTTCTTTTATATTGCGATATAGCCCGCATAGACAGCAAAAACTTTTGTATTTAAGGTTTTCACCTATTGTACAGGGTGTTCCCGATATTCCGTGCTAAATGAGAAATGTGTTAAGTGTAAATTTGCAGATATCAACTTCAAATTTAGCAGAGAGTCCGTGTCCACATTTACACGGTAGAAGTATTTTTTTATAATTTTTGATTTTTTTTTAGTAATTTTAGCTAATAATAAAATAACAATATAAAATAAAACATAAAACTAACCAACCGTTTACGCAACAAGTGCAGTAAACGGCATTTGACCCACGAGTTTATTAATTAATAAACGATAAAATCGAAAAAATCATAATTTATCAAATAAAAAATAACAGATTATCGGGTTACTAAATTTCATATAAACACAGTTTTAAAGTGTTGTGTTTTTGATTGATCATTAAGTAGTTTGTTTGAAGAAAAAGACTGTGATTGGAAGAAAAATAAAAAATAAATAAATAAAAAAAAGATCGTATAGGCAAGAAAAAGCAGGTCCTAACTTTCAATTTTCTTTTTTTGTATTGACTGTTTTGGCAAGATATTATTATAAAAACTGTAAAAACCACTAAAGTTCATGCCAGAGGTATTTAAAATTTCTGTGGGAAACTTAAATTATAAATGTCACTTTACTTATCTACTAGCCCACTAGATTTTAATTGTAGCTTACAGCACATAGTATTTAAATTGTCTGAGATATTGCATAACATTTTTCTGTGTATTAGTTTTGGGGTACATTTTTGAAACGACCCGAATACATTCACTGAAATGACCGTCAGAACTGACAAACGTCAAAATTCAAACCGTGCGTTAAAATCTCCGAAAACATCCGATTGCTCCCCGGAAAGGTCCGAAGTGACTCGGATCCGTGAGAAACGAAACTGACGTGGTAAAGTGACGCTTTGCACAGACAGGAGTAGAAAAAAAATAATACATGTTTTGAGTTCGACGCATGTTTTGGTGTAAAATCTATTTAGTAACTTAAAAAAATAAATGCCTAACAAGGCGAGAATATCTTAAACACCTTTTTAATGACCTCTTTTATCTGTTAAAAACCATTGAAATGCCGGAGCAACCTCTAACCACTCTCCTTTTAGATATAGAGCAAAAAGCGTCCAACAAAAGAAAAATGTATTGAAAAATTATTTTTGGAACATAAATCATGCGATTTTGCCGGAACTTTGGCGGCAAAACGAAGGGAAATGCGACGAAAATGGAAACAAACTCAAAAATAACGACACTCGAGAGAATGATCGATGGCCGCCGGGAGGGATGCCCCACTTCTTGCGACGTATAATTTATTAGTTTGCCCGGGTCCTTCTTTCTTTAATCCGGACCGTTCCGGAGTAATTATCTAATCTAATCGGTATCCCGTCGGTTTAGATTAGCTTCTAATCAGCGGCGTTCCCTTAATGGTGGCAAGCGCGGGTTTCCAGCTGCGGTTTTTATTGAGTTTGGCCAGAACTCCAATAATTGAACGACTGCCGACGGAAATTCGCGCCCCCCGTTCGCCATTTTGAACTCCAAATTGTCCAGGTTTTTCTTGGACGAGCGGGTTATTAGTAATTCTTGAAACATGTACATAAATATTAAATATAATAATAATAAAGTATCAGTCACTTAAAGAATCGACACTATCGCTACTGACGTCACCTAGTTCAATGATCAACTCGGCCACTAATCGTTCTCGATAAGTATTTTCTTCTTTTATTACTTGTTTTTCACAGTTAGATCAACTTTGTACTGATATTTTAGCTACCTCATGCCGAATTACGTTTATGGTACTATCACTAAATTTTGTTGCAGTGCTATTTCTTCTTATATGCGCTTTCAACTGGGACCAAATCATCTCAATCGGGTTGAATATACAATGATACGGGGGTAATCTCAAGATTTCATGAACGTTTTGTTTTTTTTGATGCAGTTCTTCTAGGGTTTAAACACTATGGGTGTTGCGCTTTTAAAACTCGCCAAGTACCAGCATCTTCTCTCATTTTCCTCTTGACTATCCCATTTGCAACAATTTTTCTTACAGTTGACTTCGGAACTTTGATCATGTCACTTGAATTTCTTATAATATTGTAAACATTCGAAACGATTTGTTTATCATCCGAAGACAAATGGATCCGTTTTTTTTATTTGCTGAGGTAGTTAGTGTTCTAAATTATCATTTCATGCTTCATTCCACGGTCTCCATATTTTTAAGTGTTAAAAAACACTAACCTTCAAAAAAGTAAGATTCTAATGAATATTTATCTGTGTTCTTATGGCGTAGCTTTATCTATCGCTAATATGATCTACAGCAGTGGTCGCCAACCTCTTCAATGTGTTGAGCCACTTTGTTAATTTTGGAATAAACAGTGGAATTGTTTATGTTTAATATTATGAATATTTTGAAGTTTTTCTATTTTTGCAGTTTGTATTTTTAAAATTAAAATTGTTGTGAGAGCTACCAAAATTGCATCTATAATCTTAAATAAAGACTGTTTTGTTTACAAAATCAAAGAACCACGTAGAAGACACAAAAATACAAGAAGAAGAATGTTATTCGACAGACACATTGACTATATTTTTGGTCGTATTATACCTTTCACCAATATGAGAATCAAACAATCAGGCTATTTTCTAATCGAATGTCAATAATTAAGGAGACGCTTTTTGGGTCCATTTTAAAAAGAAAACATCATATGAAGATATATGCTATACTTCTTCATTTTGCAGACTGGTAAATTTTCATTAAAGTGGGATTACGGACATTAAAAATATATTTTATTTTTGAAAACTTTACCACCCGTATCTCGAAGACGTTTCTTCTTCAAATAGACCCAAAAATAGCCACCTTAATTATTAAAATTCGATTACAAAACACCCTGTAACTTAAGCTCTGAAGAAACCAACAGAAGTTTCGTAAATGTAAAGATATGTATTCTAGTCGGGAGTTCCGCCGCCAGGCGTGTGCGTGTCTATAAATTCCAATGGATGCCTAGATAATCACATTTAGTGTTTCGTGACTAATTCTTTATGATACCCAGCCCTTAAATTTTTGGCGAATATATTAGTCCTACTTTGAAAAGTTGGGAGGGTAACTATTCTTATGATCTCATTGTGGGTTTATCAAATTGTGACTCAAAGTCCATTTACCACACTTGTTCCATACTATACTGTTAAACTATACAATGTGTCTCAAAAACACCTAATTTTTAAAGTTTGTTTTTTCTGAAAGCTCTTATAAAAATCTACAACTTTTTTTTATATACAATTTTGTGTTTCTTAACCGGATTTGCATTGCCTAAAGTTGAACGAATTTATACGATGTATATAGTTATTTATTTATATAATGATCATTGTAAAAATTGCTTAAAGTTGCGTTTGTTATTTTGATGGTTTTTGCAAAATCTTTCAGAAAAAAAAAACGAGATTTTTCAATTAAAAACAATTCAACAATATTCGTTTATTTTGAACACCCTGTGAAAAAATTAAAGCATTGGAAAAATTACATTACATTACAATTCCATTTAGAAAAACCTATGTTTGAATTCGTCACTCTTTTTTGTACCACCCTAATAATATTCACAATATTTGTATATACTAATTCCTCATAATTTTCGAAACTAATGGGATAATAGACTTCTTAATGAATGTTTTCTGTGTGGTCTGTGATCTACAGTGTATCTGGCACATGACATAGAAATCATTTCGTTTCTAGCAGAGTTAAGTTGATTACTTAGTTCTCTACTAATACATTTTTTGTTTCGTTGCCTGCTAGAGAGAATTGTTCATCGATTTAACTTGTAGTCCTTTTCCTGCTCCATAATGTCTTCGGTTTCCTAAATTTCTCAACTACTCTAGAAACGTTTTTATGGTCGGCATTAAGTTTCAGCTATAAACTCCTCCTTAATCTTTGCCTTTTCTCATCGGAGATTGCCGATAACCGTGCTTGAACGTTCAAACGCCACGGGGTTTGTTTGTAGCTACATTAAATATCTCAATTGCTCGAAAAGAGTAGTGAAGAAGTAAAATAGTAAAGAAGAAAAGAAGATCTTAGATCGCGCTCCGTCTTATGGACAACTAACTAATAAAAAAATCTTTGGCGTAATCTGTCGGATTAAGAAAAGCGATTTTATTTCTTGCAGTAGCGTCGTAGTCGGGGCGTCACTGAGTTGCCTCGCCTCCGGATACGATTCCGATGGGGTCGTGTCAGCGGCCATGCCGCCCACCGCAGCCATGAGACTCGAAAGTCCGCCACCCAATTCGACGACGGTCATCAGCGAGAACAACAACGGCCTCTTGGGACCCGAACTGGAGCTGCTCGCCAAGCTGGAGGAGGCGAACCGCTTGATCGAGTCGGACGCCAAGTCCCTCAACTCGTTGAGCGGCGCGTCGGGACACTCGAGAAAGAGCTCGGACACGAGCCAGATATCTCTCACATCGGGTAAGACGATCTGTTCCTCACAAAGTCATTTAAAAGGATTGCTAGGAGCAGACCATTTGTCGTGTCTTCTGAGGAACTGTCATTTCCTCTTAATAATAATGCAAATAATATAATAACAACCGTGAAAGGGCGCGCATGTATTGGGGAAGGACGATTCTTACCGACCGCACAATCCCAAATAATATACCAGATATTGTACTTACCTTGAAGGAGAAAAAAATAAGCTGCCCAACAACAGAAGAATATGTAGACAGTGGAGAAAGTAGTGGTGGCTGTTTTTACATGCAATTTCCCATAAGAAAATTTAACGTTCATATTGGCGAAAATTGGTTCGCTCAAGGTCATTCGATCCACCACAACTCTTGGCAACAACCGACCAACAATCACCCTCTCCCTCAAGAAAAAAAAAAGAGTCACGTGACTACATGTATTGAGCGGTTACGAGAGGGCTTTATGAAAAGTATAAGTCCTAACACAGAACCTCGCGGGAAACCAATTTTTATATTGGGCTTGTTACTTGTGTTACTTTCACAATCTGATACCTATCTGATACACTGATACCATAATGGGTCCATGTCTATAATTGACAATATTTTTACTAATATTGACTTGACTTTCTTTCAGTCAGAAATTATTCCCTGTGCTTTTTCTGATCATTTCTGTATCTATATCTATACCTTTTTGCAACATTCCTCCATATTTTTTCTACAAACGTTGTTTTAAAACTGAAAGTAACATAAATAAATTTCAGGTTGAAGTATCTAGGGTGGACTGGCAGTTTTTGTTTGACGGTGTTGGTACAGCTGAAGAGAAATTTGACTGATTCTATAACAAAATTTCAGGAATTGTTTCACTCGTCTTTTCCATATCAAAGATACATCCATAGGGCCAACAGGGCCTAAAAAGGGTGGCTTTCCGTTGAAATTAGGGAACGGGGTCAGTTACTTAGAGGCTTGCACAAATATTTTAAATATACCAAAGTAATGAAATTTTAACCAAATATAGAATTATAAAAAAGTACCATGAAAAACAACTTCAGAATGTTAAAAAAAGTTTTTACAATAAACTTCTTACAACCTCTGTTAACAAATCTCAAAATCTCTAAAAAGTTTCCAGATTACTTCATTGATGATGAAGGTATCGAGTATGTCAATTTACACGCCACCTCTGAAAATTTTAACAACTTTTTTGCGGATTCCGCGAGAGAAATAATAAACAATATAAAAACAACACAAACAACTAATAAAAAATCTTCAAGTCGAAGTCTATTCTTACCACCTTTCACGGGTGTTGACCTTCGATTATTTCGTCAGTGACAAAACAAGATTCAGTTGGGCACGATGAAATACCCTGTTCATTAATAAAACGTGTTACAGATTTTATAGTTAAACCTCTTACTTTATTGATTAATCTGTCCTTTTCAGAAGGTGTATATCCCTCAGCCTTAAAACACCCCATTGTTGTCCCTATACACAAGAAGAACAATACCCATTTAATTTCCAATTACCGTGGAATATCACTTCTATCGGTTTTTTCCAAAATATTCGAAAAGTGTTTTTACGTGCGGCTCGATGCAATTCTAAAGAAGGAGCAATTTTTCTCGAATTCCCAGTTTGGTTTTCGCGATGGATTATCTACTTAAGACTGTTCAGTTTCCTTATATAATCAACTAGTCTAGAAGCTGGATCAGAATAATAAAACATTGTGTATGTTTTTTGACTTCAAGCGAGCTTTTGATGTGCTTGATATCAATTTGTTGTTGAATATGTTAAATAATTACGGGGAAATAGTTACGCCCGGATTGAGTCCTTTTTGAAAGGTCGTGGCCAAAGAGTTGTGCTTAGAAGTGATACTTCTGTGATTAGATCCTCATCTAAAGAACTCACCAGCGGTGTCCCACAGGAAAGCATACTGGGACCTTTATTATTTATAATATTTATTAATGATATATCTGATTCTTTCCCAGACAATCATGTTTCCTTATATGCAGTCTTATATGAGTCTGGAAAATCTCACGTCCTTGGCCACTAGGGCAGTAAGTGGTATGACCCGATATTGTGAGCGTAACGGTATTTATTTGAACGGGACAAAGACTGAGATGATGTTGTGTTTGCAGGATTAATCGATTAATCAGACTAACGTTGTCAAGTATTTGGGTTTGTTCATAGACAGTAATTTGTCCTGGACAGACCAAATTGACTACGTATTAAACAAACTATTATATGCTGGGGAAACTCTTCCAGAGCTAGTGAAGTTTTTGTCCAACAAAAACGTATTGTTCGAACAATGTTGGGGAAGTCTCGTGGTCACTCTGTTCCCAAAATTAAATATTTTAACGTTTCCCTCTCTCTTCATATTAAATAGCATAATTTACATAAAGAGTAATCTATCTGATTATTGCATGGCCAGAATTCATTCATTATTATTATTATTATCATTATTATTACTATTATTTTCACTATGCAGAGACAGAAAAGTCTTATTGAGTTGGGTATGGGTATAGGTATGATGAATTCTTTCTCGAAGTAAAGCGAAACTAGATTTTGGAAGGAGGATTCGAATTACAAGTTACACCTGATTCTACGCCGCACCGCGTTGTTAACAAATATTTGGCTTATCTTTATTTTGAAGCGATAAGCGTTCAGTATTCAGTCGGTTAATAATCACTCAATAGTGCGGTGAGTGCGAGATGAAAAATTTTGCTTTAAATAGGAACGACTTATTGGATATCTTCATGTTGCTGAGTAAGTTCTGTCGTATCGACGATGTCCCGTTTACAACCATCAATCTCAGTTGGCTAGGCTCTCATTACCATCCGTCACCTTTTCATGTATTTGTGTGTCGCATTGATCGATGACGTCACACGCTCCAAATCGTGTTGTTAATTTTTAATTTAACCTTTACCTCTATTAATACAAGCTCTCTATGTTTGACCCCTTTTAAGCTGGCAGCCTGCAAAATTATACTGCAATATAATAAAAATAATAATAATAATAATAATAAACGTGTGATTCGGCGACTTTTTTGCTTAAAATTTTTAATATTTAAAACTAGACTTTTCAATTGTTTTTATGAATGTTCATCTAATTTAAGGCAAAAAGAAATGCCTGAAAGGATTTTTACTGCAATTTTGAAGAGCGCCAATGACTAGAAAAAGAATTCGCCCTGTTTCATCAACTCAATGTTTGTAAACAATCTTTGTAACTTGATTCGCTGTAAGGTTCATAAATCTCAATGTAGATGGCGCTCCAGTCGTATAAATTCAAAATTCGTTGAATTTTAAAAACAAAATTTATTGAATCGGAATTCAGTGTGCACTTAAAACATTTATCAAAAAAGTGTTTTTTGTAGTAGAAATAAAAATTCACGAGGTAATTGGTTTAAATCATTTACTGCAACAACAAAAATTAAGAATCTAGCTGATATATTGCAGGTTCTCACTGTTATATAAAAAAAATACTATGAAATATAATAATAGTTTATTCACAAACAATACATTTCATAGAATAAACAAGGGAGAAGTTCACGAAATATTAGCAAAAGCAAAGAAAAATAATCATCTAATGAATACAAAAATTTCATTATTAGAATATTAATTAATCACCAGTAAGAACAAGCAATACACGACATAAAAAATCACAGTTAAAACAGTTGAAAAGTAAAAATAATGCTAGAATAGAAATGAGACAAAAAAAATGACTTCGCTTTTAAAAAACGAACACTTCGATGTTTTTTTTTTACTGTAAAACTATTAAAAATGCATTTACATCTTCGTGAGCAAAATATCTAAAGTATTATAATAATCCGTAGTTTAAGGTACATATTTTATTGTTGTAATGTCTTGCTTACTTTCGTTATGGCGTACTCCTAGTGGAATTAATGATTTTTATTTTTGAAGTTTGACTTTTTTTCTTTCCATACATTAAGAATAAATTACTTACGCGGGCAACGATTTTTGACACCAGAAGAAGCGATTGATGCGTTTAAAAAGCATGTTTTGGAAGTGCCCGACTCGATCAGGGGGAATATTTTGAAAAACAAAGTCATATTTGTTGGTAGCTTATACTTTTTTATTACAAATCTCAGCCCGTCATGATATTTTGCTTAACCTTAAAATATAAACAAACCTTGATTACGTATCTATGAATTTGCCAACGTGTAAGGGGGCCTTCATACGCCCAATATTTAATTATCTAGCCGACTCCATATATACTGAGTATTTGCGCGATAACGTTTTAACTTTTCGCGATAAAAAAATTGCTCGAACGCGTTTACTTGGGTGAAACTTTTTAATCGTCGTTTTGACGGGTTAATTCGCGCGTTAGTGAAATAACATGGTAAAACGCGACTTTGGCGGTAAAAAACGCCGGTGATGGCCGACGACGAAACCGTAAGGGTCGTCGCCAATTCCGTGTTTTTCGTTGCTCTGGGTGAGTTTCACTGTGTGCTGTTCATTTTAATACGCTCCTTAACGAATAAATTATACCAGTGCGCTTTATTTTATCGTTTTTATTGTTATATATGTTATAATTTTTTTTTTAAATCGATTAAAATATTTGCGTCCGTGCCATGGACTTACACTGCTGGCAACACAAAGCGCATGTATCTACATAACGATATGCAACTATAAATACATGATTCATCCATAAGGTGTTGCCTATAGCATTGTGCAAAATACTTATTTTCGCCAACAGTTCCATCACTTACATTAGAAGTTTTTGTAAATTTTTCCTGTGATTAATACAAAGTTGTGTCTGTTTTTTTTTATTATTCGCATATATGGGAACGGAGAAAAATATTTTTATGAATACTGGACGTGCATTAAAATAGTTTTTATTTTTTTATACGAAAGGTAATAGTCGCCATATCTCAGGAAAGCATGGAAATTAAACTAACGCCAGTGGCGTACATTTACACGGTACAGTCACAATTTTTATTTACTAAAGGTCAAACTTATCATAGATCCGTAAGTTATGAATCTATTGCACTAGTGTGTCGTTCAAAATGAACGATGTATCTTGAAAAACGACAACCTCATTAATGATTAACCTCGGGATATTTTAAAAAAGCTAAGAATGAAAATAACTATCAATAAATTGCAAAAGATGCTCAAAAGGTTGTCCGTTGATTCTGCAAACACTCTTCTTTGCATGTTATTTGCAGTATTTTTATTTTCTTAAAATTCGTAGTTCAAAAATTATCATTTTCATCGTTTTTGAAACAAATCCGCGGACTTTATATAGAGCTATCCGTGTAATTCTACTAAACAAGCAACCCTGCCTAAAAATTCCAAGATAACAAAGTCACTTACTATTTACACGCGGCTTCGCCTTATACATTGAAGTTCATTATTTATATTTGCACCATATAGCTATAAGATAAAATATAGGCGCCCTATTGCGGTAAAAATTGATGCGCCGCAGGTGGCTATGATTTTGTGGTATGCGTCAATATGTCCGTAACGTACTCACAAACTTGCTCGTTCACGAAATCACATCAAGTACGACAGATATGAGGATCTAAAAGGATTTTAGGGAAACAGTGAAGGCTATATATTTGACATTTAACTGAAAAATTGACTTACACAAACATTTACAAACAAACAATTAAAAAAGATTAAAAATATTATAATTTTGTTGATACAGGGTGTCCAAAAAGTGTCCCGCCCGACATCAATTATGTTATTTTAAATAGTACACCCTATATATTACGTTTAAAGTTTTGTGGAATTTCCAACTGCCGCTTGTTGGCAATATTTGGTATTTTTAAAATAGCAAAGACATGACACTACTTATTTTAAAGATATAATACCCCGATGTAATTCCTACATGTATTTTTTCATGTACGCTATTTTTGCCGATTTTTTTTTTTTGCTTCCTAATCGGCGCAAAGCGTTAGTTTTCATAAACTCATAGGAAAGATGGCTTTTAAAAATCTAAATGTAACTTTGAGATGCTAGAAACATCTAATTGGGAAGAATGTTCAATGTTCATATAATTATGAAAAGTGCCAGAAAATTAAAGACCATTATAAAACCAGTTCGTCATGGAAAATTAATAAATTAATATAATTAATTAGTATATTTTCTTTAGCACTTCAAGGGAAGATACTCATTTCTCTCGTTTCTAGTATTGGTATTATAGATGTTTCTTATACACCGACAAAACATATGCATCGTAAAAAAACATTTTTGCAGAAACTTTATCCACACAATTTCAAAAACGATATTCACACGCAAGGTTTCCTATGGGGTGGGCATTTTTTATCACAAAAACACGAAAAAGGTACGGACATATTAACACCTGGAATAAAAACAACCGCGACTGTTCCGTGACAGTAGTAATTGCTTAGCTTAGCTTAGCTTAGAAAAATCTGTTTCAGTTTTTTACTGACCAGCGCCCTCTCGCGAAAGGGGTCGAATGTTCCAGCCGTCTCCCCGTGTTTTGCTTCATGAGTTTCTGTAGTTTCTACTTGTCTAGTAGCTATATAATTTGAACTCTTCTCGGCTTCAGTTTTCTACTGACCAGCGCCCTCTCGCGAAAGGGGTTAAATATTCCAGCCGTCTCTCCGTGTGGCAGCGTCCATCGTGCAGCCATGACCGGGCCTAGAAATATTTTTAGCGCGAGTGTTTCGAATTTTTGTGATATCACATCACTGTTACTGTGATTCCAGGTGCCAGTTCGACCAACGAGAGGGGCGAAGAGGGTGCTGAAGAATTGTGGGCGCGCTGGAGTCAAATCGTCAACGATTGGGAGAACAACTGGAAGAAGCAGACGCCTCAAATCAAGGAACTGGTCCGTAGGGGAATTCCTTTGCATTTCAGGGCCATCGTTTGGCAATTATTGTGTTCGGCGGCTGAAGCGCCCGAGAAGAAGCTCTACGCTGAGTACATCAAGGTACGAAACCTATAGAACGAAACGTCGGGTGTATTTTAATCGGCCGTTCACTTACAGACGAAATCGCCCTGCGAAAAAGTGATCAGGCGGGATATCGCGCGTACTTATCCGGAACACGATTTTTTCAAGGAAAAAGATGGCCTGGGGCAGGAGTCCCTATTCAACGTCATCAAGGCGTATTCCTTGCACGACAGGGAGGTGGGATACTGTCAGGGTTCCGGATTTATTGTGGGACTCTTACTAATGCAGGTTCGTCGGCGATAGTAGTGTATTTTTTCATTGCTTCTACGCTTTCCCTTGCGACCTGGCGGAAACTGGACGAAACTACAGATTACTAACCAAATAATCGATATTTAGTTTGGCAACTTATCTACAGATGGCAGCAGAACAAGAATTTATTTGGTTTAAATACTAGTGGATTGTAATCCTCAAATAATTCCTCAAATCTTATAAAGGACAAAGTACAACAACGAACTGTTTAGTAGAAACTAACAAATTTAAGTTGATCAAGCAAGGCGTTCCACAGGGGTCAGTAATGTAACACCTTCTAAGCTTAAACAGTTTACCGGCGATCCATTGCAGAATTTCAACAAAAACATGGAACGTGGAATTCGGAACATGGAAAAACGGACCCAAAAAATTTAGAATTGACTTTTGACAAGTCTCATTTGATTATCACATTAAAACAAAAAACTTAAAGTCGGTTAATTAAAGCCAATTTTAAATCCAAAACCAGATGTGGCCAATGGAGATTATTTATTTATTATTTAGGAGATCATTTACGGAATAGTCCAGTCAAATCAGGACTATCTGACAAAATCTACTTTCGGAATAAATATTCAGTACCTATTTTGATTTATCTTTAGTGTTATGTTATGTTCTTCGCCGTCGATTTGGGTTTGGGTCTTCTTTTCTCTTCTCCCCCCCCGCCCGCGGGGGGGGGGCAAACTTGCGTTCAGTCGTGTGTTTCAACAAGTTGCAAATTAAGCTTTAGCGGCAGTATACTCACCACAACACAATTAATAATTAGGCGATATATTAGCGCGCTTCTAGGCTCAATGCTCTAGGGCCCGCTTGCCAACATTTTTTTATTAGAAAGAAAGGTGTTGGTGAACGATTATTATAATCGAGAGTCGGTTCTTTTTGATTTGTGGTGTGATTCATGAAATAATTTTTTTTTTGGCACATAAAGGATATATTATATTATAAGGATAGTAGAACTTCCATTGTCTTTTTTATTTTTTTTTTCAAAGAAACTTCCACAGGCTACTGTAATACTTTTTACAAAACTTCTGGATTCATCCTGCGTCGGTTTTTACTGAGTCGAACTAGCTAACGTTTCGCCAATTATCCTGTTGGCTTCTTCAGAGCTCGCATTATTATATATTGTTTGAGGGGGGCGGAGCTAAATGAGGAGCATAGACACCGTTTCCATAAAATAAAAATAGTAATAATAATAATAAATAAAACCATGAGTCGCGGTTAAGATTGTTAGGTTGTTTCTAAATTTCTATAGACTGTCGGTAGAAGAATGGATTACATGCAAGAATTTTAGTTTTCTCGAATAAAATTTTCTGTCCGGTTTCATGAGTGTGTTCGACAACAACTGATAAGTTTATTTGTCTTAGTCGTAAAGCTCTTTTGTGTTCTTTGAACCTAGTTGATATTTTTCGTCCGATGACTTCGATGTATTCTTTGCCGCATATGCATGGAATGCTGTAAACTCCTGGCATTTCAAAAGGAATTTCATCTTTCACGGACCAAAGATGTTGAGAGATTTTTGGAAAAGTGGTAAATCTGGTTTTGACGTTATGCTTCTTTAGAACTTTTGATATGTGATCAGTGATATTTTGAATGTAAGGAAGGACTACAGTGGCAAGTGTAGGATTGCTTTCGGCCTCATTGCTATTGGACGTAGCGTTCCCATAATTTTGGTTTTAGATGAAAGATGTCGAGAGCTTTCTTCTCAAAGCCTTCCATAAATATATTCGCGATGACTAGTGATATTCATCGTGAACCCATAGTTGTTCCCGACGTTTGTTCAAAAATTTGACCGTTATAAGAACAATATGTTCCACACGAGCATTTTTCAATTAAAGTTGGTTCCAGATTCTCGGACTTTCATATATCCGAAATGATATTGAGAGTTTCAGGAATAGGAATTTTATCAAAGAGGAATGGTACGTCGAATCTATCTTATCTAATGTAAAGCTTTTTAATTGGTCAATGAAGTGAAAGGAACTAAGTAGGAAACCATCAGTTTTCCCTGAAAGGGGTTTTAATAAGCAACCTAGATATTATGCTAGAGAACCAATGGTGCTGACAATAGGTCGAAGGGGTAATCCTGGTTTGTGAATCTTTGGGAGTCCATAGAGGCGAGGAATTTTCATGGCATGACGGTTGACAGATTTTTTCACGGAGTCTGATAAGGGCGAAGCTTTAATAATAAGGTTGCCTTCCATAGATGACGTGGGATCTTTTTTAAGTTAACGATATGATCCGTCTGTAAGAATATCTTGAATCTTTTCCTGATAATCATTTGTGTTCATGACCACCGTAGCATTTCCTTTATCTGCCTTTAGGATTACGATGTCGGGATTAGATTATCGGGCAATGCGTTCAGGCTTTGCAATATTAGATTTAGGAGGTTTTGATTTTTGTAAGGATTTTTGCGGTTTCAAATCGGATTTCATTAGCTGTTTGAGACGGCAGTTTGTTTAGGATAGATTGGGATAATACGTGGGGCAAGGACGAAATTGGAACCTTTTTAAAGAATAGACTTTTTTTTCGTTGACTAACTCTGCATGTTAGCACCTGCAGAAAGCACTAAAGTAGAAGATCTACTTTACTGGGTGTCTTAGTGAGGTTTTCAATCATGTCGGTAGATGCCGGAAGAAGAAGCCTTCGCGGTGGTGGTCAAGATCATGCAGGACTACCGGATGCGCGACATGTTCAAGCCCAGCATGGCCGAGTTGGGCGTGTGCATGTTCCAGCTGGAAAACTTGGTGGCCGAATACCTACCCGACCTTAACCAACATTTCCAGTCTCAGAATTTCCACACCTCCATGTACGCGTCCAGCTGGTTCCTCACCTTGTTCACGACCGCGCTGAGTCTGCCCCTTGCCTGCCGAATAATGGACGTTTTCTTATCCGAAGGCATGGAGATTATATTCAAAGTCGCATTGGCGATGCTGACGTTGGGCAAGGACGAACTGATGTCCCTCGACATGGAAGGAATGCTGAAGGTGATTCGCGTTTCTTGTCTTACGTGCTAACGTAAAATGCGGTTGCAGTATTTCCAGAAGGAGCTCCCCGCGAAAGCGGAAGCCGATCCCGAAGGACTGCTTCAGCTGGCTTACGGCATGAAGTACAACCCGAAGAAAATGAAAAAGCTGGAAAAGGAGTACCACGTGATCAAGAGTAAAGAACAGGAGGAAATGACCGAGTTGAAGGTGCCGCGAAACAGTGTGAAACTAAGCCGTAATTACGATATCGTTTCGTTTCAGCGATTGAGAACGGAAAACAAACAGCTACGTCACAGATGCGAAATGCTCGAGGAAGAAAGCAAGGCTCTAGCGGACCGGCTCGTCAGAGGTCAGGTGAGCAGGGCGGAGGAAGAGGAGACCACGTTCGTGGTGCAGAGGGAGCTGGAAGCGCTGAGGCACACTTACTTGGACACGACTCATCAGCTCGCGTTGGCCAACGAAAAAATCAAGTCTCTGTCATTGATGATGGAGGAAACGGTAAGCGCGGGGCCTTACGTTAGGTTAAGCCTCACCCAAAGACGGTTGCAGCACACTTCGAGACAGTCTTCCATAGAGGAGATCACCCTGAAGCAGGAGCAGTTGCAGCAGCGCGAGGAGATGATCGAGTGTCTGCAGGAGGAGCTGGTAAAGGTGAGGTTGCGGGAGGCAGAGAACGACGCGCTGATCCGCGACCTACGCTCCCGCATTCACGAATTGGAAGAGGACAAGAAGACTTTGAGGGAAACCGCGCCGGATAACAGCGTCGCGCACCTGCAAGAGGAACTGATCGCGGTGAAACTCAGGGAAGCGGAGGCGAACTTGTCTTTAAAAGATCTACGTCAGAGGGTGTCGGAGCTGAGCCACCAGTGGCAGCGACACCTGCAGGAACACAGGCAGGAGCCGACCGCGTTGAGCGAGGCGCACAGCACGCCCAAGAAGCTGCTGTTCTGGGAGAACAGACACGGCGAGACCCAAAAGCTGGAAGAGGAACTGATGACCACGCGTATCAGGGAGATGGAAACGCTGACGGAAGTCAAAGAGCTAAGGTTGAAAGTGATGGAGCTGGAGACGCAGGTGCAAGTGGGCACCAACCAGCTGCGCAGACAGGACGAGGAGATCAAGAAGCAACGCGAGGCGCTCGAATCGGCCGAGATGCGGGATAGGGAGGCGGCCGCACGTCTGTTGGAAGAGCAGCGACGCTACGCGGATCTCGAGAGCAAGATGCAGGACGAGCTGATGAGGGCGAAGATCAGCGACGCGGAGAAAACGCAGGCGATCGCGGAACTGACGCAGAAAATGAGCCAGCTCGAGTTGAAGGTTTGGTTTCTAGTCGACGCGGCTAACAGGCGACAATGACGGCGTTTCGTTTTCGCAGAGTCAGGAAATCGCGACCGAAGGAGAACTGCGCATCCACTCGGTGGACGAGGGGGACCGAGTCAGGGAGCTCCAGGACAAGGTGGCCGACCTCCAGGCCGAGGTAAATATATCGGGCCGTCCATTTTTTAATTGAGCACTCGCTTTACGCCTTACTAAAAAAATATCGTGTATATATATATGTACTAACAGTACCATCAAATGTGATTCGAATCGGATCTAGTTTCTTCTTAACCCGTTAACGCCTAATTTTATTGGAAACCCTCTAAAAAAAATGCTGGAGTCTCCAGTTTTTTGGAAAAATTGAATCTTGGGAGGGTACAGTGTTTCCGAAAATTTAATTGAAATCAATTACTTCGTGCGTTTTCGAGAAAATACTCTTCCATCATACCTAACTCTACAGTTCAGCCAGCTATAGAGGTTTATAACCTTGATAGTGGGTCCTCTAGTGTAGCTCATTGGCTCTGCTTTGGTTAGATGGAAACTCACTCTTGATAGGCCCCGACATTGACGTGATATGTCTTTGACTGTTTCCTCCCAATAGACTTAGACGTCCAAGTCAATAGATCCTACCATTGTTCTAACCGTCTTTCTTTTGCGGCTTAGGTAAATTTGGAAAATTCCTTGATCTGTCCGTGCCCTGGCGCGATTCTCCTCCCGTCCATTTTGTGAGTGCTGGTTTTGCAATGGGGGATTCTGGTTCAAAGTTTCACCTTGATGAGTCCTCCCGGGCTACTTCAATGTGATTCTGCTGGATCTTTTATCGCCTATCGGTATAAATCGCAATTGTCTTATTGCGAATCTTTTTCATTTGTATTTCTCTTGCACAATGTTCTATCGCGGTGATGTCAGTTTCGAACACAAACAAATCGCGAGACCCGTTTAGTTTTTAAAATGACGCTGAACCATAAACAAGAATCTGGCAGGGTAGAGCACTTCTCAAAAGTTAAGTGGAAGCAATTACCAAATTACAAAAGAATCAACTATAAAAAGTTTTTGTGAAAACATTATCATTTTATGTATACCAAATGCCTCCCAAATTTTCATATAATGCCTCTTAGTCCTGATCTTACAAATTTCTTTTTGATTTCATATACCCGTCCCAACCAAATGGAAAAATATATAAAGCATCCAAAACTAACTTAGAAGTCAGTACAATTAGTTCTGCTTTCATAGGGTTGACATCTACATGCTTTTGTTCCGCTGCAAATTATGACATGTCCTTTGACATACGGAATAAACATAAGCCTTTTATTAAAAATATGGTACAGTAAACAAAAACAATAAATATGTTTTTGATAGTTTTTGAAGTTTTAAAATCCTATGAAATCGAAGACGCACTTAACGCCTTAATTTAATTTTTTTTCTCTAAATTTTTCCATTTATATTTAAAAAAAAAGAAATTAGAAACTTCTCATTATAAACCTTTGATCCCCGAAAATAAGGGTAAAAAAAATCGAATAAGTTTTGGGAATGAGCGCCAGAAGCTCTCAATATCCGAACAAAAATGCAGGTCAATTTTTAAAAACAAAGCCCAAAAAAAAAACAAATTGGGCTTCATTCTCATCTCTATGTATTTTATCCGAAATAAAAAATCCGGGTTAGTATTTAAAAACAAAATAGATGATTGTCAAAAAAAAAACAAAATGTTTTAAGTTAAATCTAACAAGTTCAATTTAAAAAACTATAAACTATAAACTTGTTTTCGGTTTATTCAATATATGGAAAAACCAAACTCTCATATCGCGCGATACTTCCCCTAATAAAAAAAGTTACTTCCGAAACGCCCAATCTGAAGTATCATCTGCATGGCTGCATAGCTGTTGTTTTGGTTTCGTAATAAAAGCTCCGAATTCGTGATATATAGGGTATTTTTCTTCGGTTCAAAAATAGTTCATCCTCATAATTGTTTTTTTAAATTACTCTGGAAGTGCTTTTGCTTGATATTAAAACAAAAAAAGTAAAAAATCCAGATAAATTGACGCAATTAAATACAACAAATAACTATTTATGTATCTTCAATATTGTAACATACGTTTAACTTGATATTAATAAAATTTTTCGCAATCGGCGCGGATACGATAACCTCGATAAATTGCTTGATAATTCTTTTACAGTGCCCACAATTCCATACAGTGCCATATTCAATCCAATAATTCAATTCCTCTGCGTTCTACACCAAAAGGCATTGTGTTCTTACACCTCGCAAAATACCCTTTGATTATACCCGACTCCCTCAGTTACTTTATGTCTGGAAGTTGACCTTTTCAAATTCGTTTTGGTTAACATTTATTATCATTTAAATCATTTATAGACCAACAGTTCCTGTGCCGCGAAAACCTAAATCCTTTACAACAAAAACAAACATCAATAATAAGTATCCCAGCTAAAATAAGAAATTTCTGGATTCCAAATGGTATAAAAAAAATCTTTAAAACATTATCAAATGGTTGCTAATGGGTTAAGACGAATTAAATCCGGTGGTAGGACCAGACTAACACTAATGGGATTTAAATTTAGTTTCCGACGCCGATAACGAGCCCGGACACAGAGCCTTGGAAGTGGCTCGAGTAAGTGTTTCAACACCCATCGTGTTGTTTGTGGCTTTCTCGCGGTGTTGCATGCGTTTAGAATACAAATACGTGATTGTGTATTAGTCGGAAATCTCTGTAGTTAGTTTCTATGTAGTTGACGTAACCATCATCTTTCTTCAAAGCACCTGACATGGTAGAAATATTGGTCGGTATTTTGGCTGATTATTTGTTTTTTTTATTACTTGCTTTTTCTTTGTTTGCGATGTTTCACATAGCGGCAAAACATAAACGTTGTCTAAACTAGTGTCAAAATTCAGCAGCGCGAATGGTACAATCTTCAATAAGCTATACTGTACACTTGTGGGGTTCATTCTTATCTACCAATAGTATTTCACATCATCTACTTATGTATTTTATAAAGCTGGATGTAATTTAAAAAGTACTCGTGCTATAATACGAAGATTGTAAGATAATACTACAATCCTCAATCATCTTTACTATAATCTCTTGGGGTTCATTCTCGTCTAGAAATAGTGTATATAAATGTATTTAATAAAGCTGGATGTAAGTAGATACATAAAGAGAGTTCAAACGAACATAACCTAAAAAAATAAATGTCGGTTTTGTTTGAGCGTTATAAAAAGACCCTCGGCGATCTAGGGTCGAAAAACATGGCTCTGTTAAGTGCTCAGTTTGTTTTATTGACGGCGATAGTGCAAAACATGTGCTTCAAAAACGCTATTAGTTATTATTCCTATTCGTGGCCGGACACCCTGATGCCGATGGATTGAGGCTGGGGGTGCGTTTTTGGGTTATGTCTGATTTCTCTTTTTGTATCTACTGATGTAATTTAAAAAACGCTGGTGCGATAATACGAAGATTTTGAGATATTACTACAATCCTCAATCAGCTTTACTATAATATATTAAGGTTTATTTTTATCTAGAAACAGTGTTTATAAATGTATTTTAAAAGCACTCGTGCTATAATACGATGGTTGTGAGAAAACGTGACAGCACAATCCTCAATCAGTTTTATTATTCTCTATTGTGGTTTATTTTTAATCTATAAATAGTGTATATAAATCTATTTTATAAAGCTGGATGCAATTTAAAGAGCACTGGTGCTATAATACGAAGATTGTGAGATAATACTACAATCCTCAATCAGCATTACTATAATCTTTTGGGGTTTATTTTTATCTACAAATAGTGTATATCAACGTATTTTATAAAGTGGATGTAATTTAAAAAGCACTTAAGCTATAGTACGATGGTTGTGAAAAAACTTAATAGCACAATCCTCAATCAGTTTTATTATTCTCTTTTCTTATATATTTTATAAAGCCGAATGTAACTCAAAGATCATTTGTGGTATAATATGAAGGCCGTGATATAATGTAATTGTGCATGCCTTAATTAACATCCTTAATTGGCTTTCTTTTGAGGTTCATTCTTATATACAAATAGCTTTTCGCATAAGAGCTCCTAGTTACTTTATAAAGCTTACTCTAGTTAACGCTTCATCTTGTATTATTCTTAAAATCGTTAGTTAGATCATTGTGATGGTTATAAAATCAAGAGAAATGACCACGCGTTGTTTCGTAATGGACTTCAGAGCAAGGCAATTAAAAATTCTGAACTTTCAAATATAAAAAGTATGAATAAAGTTCAGAATATCAAAAACTCAATTTTTAACACCTGGCCTATTTAATATTTGATTTCTATTCTGTGCATTTTTAAACTTAACAGAAGATATATCGATGCATTAAGAGTTTAGTTGAAACAGTGTATTGAGGGCTTAAAAAGAGGAGAAATATCCTTAGCGAAGCCGAGAAAGTTGAAAGTCGGTCATGTTGTTTTAGCAAAAATTCCACTAGTATTACTTTGAGACACCAAAATCATACGCCAACTCTGGAAGTGTTCTATTCAGGCGATTTTTTTGTAAAATTATGAAAAAAGTTTCACAGCGGTGACCCCTTTTGAAACGTAAATTTTAATATTGTTTCTTTCTTTTTTCTATACAATTCTTGAATTACTAGGACTTGGTTTAAGTTCTGAGGCAGGTGATTCATATAAACTATAAAGCATTATTTGTACACACTTGTTCTGTGCTCCCACAAAACATTGGCACTATTGACTATTGACAAAATAAACTCAATAACAAACAAAAGTGAGGTTAGGACCAGTGATTTTTGTTTTAATAAATTGGAAAGTAGTTTTTTCAAAGTAAACATGACTTTTTTGTAATATTTTTCGTTGTTTTTCATTAATGGGCAAATGAATAAATGGCCGTAGTCTTACCACCTGGCACGACGTAACTCAAAAATAATTGAAAACCCAGCTGAGATGACTCGAAAAGTTTGAAAAATTATTGAAAGTCTATTTTTTGCCGGAAATCATGTGATATAGCAAGTAAAGGCCAAACTAAAGAGAAAATACTAGATTTGTAAAATTAGAGTACCTGCGCTATGAAGTTCGTGAAAAGGGGAAATAAATTAATGCTTCACTGTGTTTATGCCGCATTTATTTATTAAATAGAAGATGCGAGTAAATAATGTAGAAAAATATCACCTTGTATTCTTTATTCTGGGAAAATGGCAAATCTGTTAGTTTTTTAGGAAGCGGTGTGAATAATAATAATAATAATAATAATATAACAAGAGTCGCTGCGTTCATCTGATTCCCTCAGGATATTAATATTTTCTTTGAAGGGCTCTAGCAAATTTAAAGCTTGGGGACTAAATCTGTTTTTATTTAAAGCTTTGATTTTGCGTAAGCTATCCTTCAAATTTGGCAGGCAAATAGCGTTTGGTCCCTTAACGCAACCTATTGAAGTTGGGGGAGTTGGAGGTCGGGATGTATTTTTTTTAAAATATAAACTGCGTTTGCAAGGGTCTAAGGAAAAGATCATTTCTCGATAAATATTTATGGAATCGAAAAAATCCTTGAACAGGACCACGCAGAAGATAGAAGAAGAATAAGACAATTTTTAAATTAAAACAAAACTGAAAAATTGTCCTCCTATTATTGAAAATTGGCGATAACTGTGTTTCAGATATCAGTTTCTTTAAGCTCGCATATACAGCTAAAACTTTTGTATTCAAGGTATGATATTAAAAAACGTAATAGGTCCACTAAATTTGCAGCTACCGACTTCAGATTTGGCGGAGAAATAGAAGTTCAGACCCACATTTAAACTATGAAAGTCTAGCGCAATTAAGTACCGCAAAGTATTTTTTTAACTTTCGATTTTTTTTTTTTTTTTGGTAATTTTGGCTTCCAGAAAAACAAAAAAATTTTTTAACTGGCAGACGCGGAGGATCCAGTGCTATAACATTTATTTCCAGCATTTTTTCAAAAATCTAAAAGGCATTGAAAATTGTTCTCTTCCAGAGAAAATTATTGACCGCAAATCAAAAATCGTAAAAAATATGGCTAATGGCTGCAAACAGTGTCATAGGCCGCATCAAGGGCTACAATTTTTGTAGTTGCGGTTTTCATCGATCACACACACTTCTCGAGAAATTTGAAAAAATCTATATGAAAATTACTATTCCGAGGGCTGTAAAGGCGCGTTGACATCATTGATTTTCTATGACTATGAAACGTAGAACATCCATTTCCGGATTTTTTTCAATATATGTACAGGGTGCGTCGATTATGGTTAAAAAAATCTAAAAAAACCCTCAAAATTGCCATTTTCGTGAATAAATTATCAGTTGTACTTGAAAAACTATAAAACATGGCATAATTTAATTGCGTTACAATTAAATTACATCGATTTTGAGAAAGTTCCATAGTGGTCCGCAGGAGGACGATAGAAAAACGATGCGTTCCTTTACCACAAGAAAACGCGCAGGCAGAATGAAGTAGAGTGATACCGTTTTGCTCGATTTTTGAGATATCTCCAAACAAAATTAAAGAACTTACTTTAGGTAATACACAATAACAGCGGTCACATGAAATCCAAAAAACAAAATTGTTTCGTTCTTATTGGTATAAGTAGCCTAAATTTAAAAAGGGTATTTACGCAGAACTTGGACAGCTTTTGAAATATTTACGGTTACCATAGATATGTTTATCCCGCGATTTAATTGTTTTTAGATAGTTTCAAAGCCTGCTTGCTTAATGTTGTAGTAAAATTTGGAGTTTGTTCAAACTTTTCGGGTCATCCTGGCCCACCGTGTTAAGTATTAAGTATATTTATTGCCTTCTCCTTTTGGACCCTCCGTAGTGAGTATACCAGAGTGCACGTGACCATGTGGTCATTTAAGCGCAAACTAGCTCGCCAGTCGCCCGATAATTGAGCCCTCGTTTGTGTCCGCAGGTCATAAGGCTCGAGCGTAGGTCAGCGATAAGTGGCACTTCTCGCCTGCACTCTGACCGTTCCCTTTCGATAGACAGCACGGACGACGATAGCAAATTCCGAGCGGACGATCCCTCTTTGAGGTTAAACTTGGCCCCCGAATCGCCGTCCGGACTACCGGACGCCATCTTTGCCGAACCGGGACAGAAGGAACCGGCCCGGTGACTGGCTCGATAGGTTTGAGGACTAAATAAGACGTATTAACTCGTTAACGTGCGCAATATCTCCGAGTACTTAATTTTTTTTAACGCTATTTATTCGATGTGGAGCCTACGCAGGGTAGATCGGTGCGTAACGGCGTACGTTTTCGACTGACTAGGAAAATGCACAAATCCCCCCCCCCCCCATAGGAAGGCGTGTCGTTTAGCGAGAAAGAGAGAGGTAGCCAATAGGACTCTATAATATTTATCTGTGGTAATAGTAGTATTAAATCGAAATTATGAGAGGGTAAGGTCGGCGTGGTGTGGACTAAATAGACCCGCCGTGTGTGGGTCTCAGATATTCGGTATAACCCTTTCAGGACGGCACGATTTTGCCACACAAACAGCTGTCGGCATAGGACACGCCCTATGGACGAATGTCATATATATACTTCGGTCATAGAAACGTACTTGTGAAACCCTTTATAAAAACGCAAAAAGATAATTTTTTTAATCAAATAACTTTATTTTAATTTGATTAAAAAAATTAATAACTTTATTTTAATTTAAAATATATTCTTTTTACTAGCAAGCTTTTGAAAAATATTAAAAGATGTAAATGAACTTATACAAAATATTCTTAAATCAAAATTATAAAAAAATGACTCAAGTCTTTGTCACATTCCTTACACATAAATCTGACAACCTTTCTTTGTTTTTCCTTTGCTGTTGTGTGTAAGCATACAACACATCTTCTAGAGGCGGTTTTTGTCTTTCCAATTGAGGGATCTAATGCGCTTGTTGGCATTTAATTTGTAAATTTGTAAATTAACGTCCTTAAACAGAAGAACTTAAAAAAATCGGCAATATATATGAATAATAGCCAATAAAATTTTTACAAACCTTTTGAAAATTCCATGTAGAAGATTTTGTTGAAACTTTGCAAGGGGCAAGTCTGTTTCAACAAAAACATGGTATATGCATTCAACCCACGGATATTCAACGCATGAAAGAATAATTTTTTGTACCATTTTGAGGTCTTCCGCATACAATCAATGCTGCTCATCATCGTATCCGAACGGTCTACTGCTCCCATTTGTTTATTATAGTTAATCACACATTCAGGTGGTATTGTCAATTTTATCAAGTGCCATTTTGCTGTCTTTCCACCTGGCAAACCTGGCAGATGTCCGAACTTCCCCAGTCTATTTCGTCTTTTTCTGTTTTTTCCTTTAAAATCGACATGCGAGGTCTTTTAGATCTAACAGTCCCACAAGAATTTGTTTTTTTTTTCGTGAAGAAGATATAAGATCGGAATGCTATAGAAATTATCTGTAAACAGGGAGTGAGAATTTAGATGCGGTTTCGTAAGCTGAGCTACAATATTACCAGTGACTCTTAATCCTGTAATGTTTTCTTCTGCATTATGTGTGTCCAATATAGACTAGTTTCACGGTAAAAAAAAAAAGCTTCGTCTTTATCAAATGTAATTCTCATTGTTTGAAAAATGCAAATTTTTTAGAATTTAAGTATCTGTCTCTTTCCATTTTTGACTAAAGCCTGGAGAGTATAAGAGAGGATCTGTTAACCGATGTTCTTTTATTTCAAGCCTTCTATTTCTACTCACGATCATGGTCAACCCAAGAAATGTGAAAAACTTATCTAAATCAATCCATTTATTTTCATTTTTCTGTATAGCATATCTGTTGGTTTCGAAAATTATGAAAGGAACTGTATCTTCAGTGAAAAGATTCTTCTTCAGATGAGTCTTCTATCAATGTCATGTCCTTTACTCACACTCTCACTCTGACGACTGTCATCAAATTCACGCAACTTAGACACAAAGTTCTTTTTTTGTCCATATATCGGATAATGGCCGATATATATGGTGCTAGTCCATATGAGAAATTTTCCAGTCATGATATATCAGTGAGTCAGACTTACGGTCAGGCGTCTGTGACGCAATTTTCGCACTGTCCACCGTCTTGGAGGGGTTAAGTGTTGTTAGCGTGAGATCCTCCACCACATGCACCCCTTAAATGTATTTTAAAATTGTGATTTTTTATAATTAGTTTTTTTTTATAAATTGGTGCTTTCGACTCTTTAACATTCCATTTTTTTGCTTAATTTGCTGACGAAAATATTATTTCCGAAAACTTTTAGAGGCAATACTCAAACGCTAGTGTTTCAATCATTATTATTATTTTTTTGTTATATTTGATATTTATTTTTTAAAAAGAGAGGAAACTTGGCTTCCTAGGACTATTAACAATTTTATAGACTAATTTGTTAATATATTGATTGATGTATTTTTTTTTATAAATTAATAAAATGTTTGTACAACGCGCCTGTCCTTTTATTTACTACAATATAATAATAATTAAAAAAAATTATGAAGACTTCTTAGCGAGAGATTTGTCTACAACTTCTAGTTGTGTCAAGGGGTTTTCTTCATAAGCAGTGCAACAAGGAACTGGTCTGGTTATTTTCGTTCAGTCCAAAACAAAATTATTCCTTAAAACACTCAATACTCTGGTTAGAATAAAATGGTGACATATATGAAGCTGCATATTAGCAATGCAATATTATTAGTGACGAAGAAGAAAATGGAGGTAATGCATTTATTACGAAACTAGATGCTTCCATTCTAGGAAATGTAGGGTGCGCTGCACATATTTTGCAGTTTGCCGTGGACGATATCTTCAAGTTAAAAGGAGACTGTATTCCAGCGACTAAAAGATAAATGTTTTAACTATAATTAAAACAATAAAACTTAAGAAACCTATTATAGGTTGTGCGACAAGATGCGACGGTTATATGTTGGAAAGACTTTTGTATAGACATGTCCGGAAGCACTGCAAAAGCTATATTTAAGCCAAAATGATTGATCAGATATACAAAACATCTGTGAAGTTTTAAATCCCGCTAAAAAACAGCAAAACTTATTGGCTGGGATTTTTTGTTCTGCCTAGCTGAACTGTAAAATGTCCAAAGTGACGCTTCCCGCACGTTAGGTCAGTGGGTAATTAGGTATTTTACAGACGGGAGTAGAAAAAAAATCATTCTAAATTTAAATTTTTAATATTTATAAAAAGCAAAAATGCTATCACCACTTAAAATGCAGTTGATTGAAATTTTTAACATTTAAGTTTTTAAAAGCATAAATTTTTCGTTTTCGTTCTGACCGGAAACGAACAAAATACTTTTCGCTTTGAGTCCCTGCTTCATATCACGCTTGAAATAGTTCTCTGGTCCAATTATCCATAACCCACCCAATTTTATTGAACGATTAAAAAGCATTACATTAGATTCACAGGATACCCTGGTTAGTTTAGACTCGTAATGACTCTTTACCCTATAACTGACATTTTCAATATCATTTCATACGTTTTACCATTGAATTAGAAACTAGCAACAACCTCCCATTCTTAGATATTCTTATCAATAAAAAACCAGATCTAACATTAGGTCATTGCGTTTACAGAAAACCTACGCACTACCTTAATGCACTGCGCATCAGCATCCGACCAAAAAATCATCGGTTATCAACCCAAAATTAACACCTTACCTATAACTCTTCTCTATTATAATTTCACGAAAATAACTTCACCACAACCTTCCAAACACAATAAGCCATACAACACACTTGCCACTTGAGAAATATAACCTCAAAACCTGATTTACCAGTTGAAAGGGCTTTAATGCCCGTATCCATCAATGAAAACACCGAACATCTGTTGATTGATGCTTCCTGGTAGTTTGCTTAATCGATCTATCCATCATTATATTTCAGCTCGTGACAACGCAGCAATTTTTTAGCGCCATCTGTGGTGTAGTAGCAGATCTAAAATGTAAATATATTGGAATACGCTTCTCACGAAAACTGGCGAGAGCATCGTTTTTCACATGCATTTTTTCCGGAGTTTTCACGAAGTGAAGAATAACATAACCTATCCCGATATTTATTTACTGTGTTATGACGTCGGAGAAGAACCTCGTTCGGTCGTTAAATCGTCCGACAAAAAACCGTCGATTGTTTTTGAACGTGTAGCGGAGAGACATGGCGCGGATCGAAGCCAGATAAGTGCAAATTAAACTCAGTTATCAGCGCAGGTAACGATGACGCGCAAAAAAAATAACGAGCAGTGTTATCGCGACCGTGGCGTTTTGTCAGTAAAAATTTTCCGGATAATGTTCGAGGTCTACACTAAGGCCTTCCAAAGACAAATGGAGGACCGGCAGGAGCTGGACGTGAGTCGTAGATAATCGGAAGCAAAAGTTGCCGCGGAATTAAACAAACTGTTGCTTCGATATACTTAAGGCAAATATGCACCGCATTTAAAATCTATTTGAGCTGATTCTCTGAAGGTCAATCAAAATTACTCATTAAAAGTTTTATTTCAAAAAGAACCACATTTTCCTATAGATCTGCTATACGAGCTGTGTTCGAAAAGTAAGGCGACTGTGAACATATATTAGGGACATGTGCACCAACATAACGAAATAAATCGAATATCGCCCAATTACGTTTCCTGTTTTATTATTGTTTCCTTTCTCTTAATTCTTGCAAGGTTGCAATGCATTAGTAATACGTTCATTTTATTTAGGTACAAATCTATGGTTTTTTTTTGGAATTTGGAGAAGTTTTGTCTAAAATTTTGTGTGTGCATAAAAAAAATCGAATTTATTTTGCTTATGAGAATTTAACATTTTAATATAAATCTAAATATCAATGTCCGCTTATCTCAAAAATATTTATAAATGTGTTTAATGTTTATAATTTGTATTAAGTAATATTTTGAGCTGGGGATTCCAGAGGAAAGTAAAGGTACGAATAAAAATTACAGAGGGCGCCTGTAAATTGATACAATAAAAAAAAACGTATATAAAATACGATTTTGCTTTAACTTTATCGTACCGGGTGTAGGTTGATTTTTGAGGTGTTAAATTTTTAAAGCATTAAGCTTATTGTTCTAAAGGGGGCAAAAAAGCTGAACGAAGAACTGAAAACGCGACACAAACGACTAGAGGACGAGAACAAGGAACTGAAAGCGAAATTTAACCGGAACCAAATCGACATCCTAACCAAGAAGAACGAATTGAACATGTTGTGGACGCAACTCCAAAGGGAAAGGAAAGCCACCATGGAACTTAATCAAAGGCTGCAAATATCTCGGGAACAAATCGAGTCGGTAAAAAAAAACATTTTGTTTTGTGGATTTTAACCATCAGTCGATTTATTTTTGACTAACTCTCCCCTATTTATAATGATATATACAATTATAATCATTTATTAAAAAGTATTTATTAGAAAAAAAAAGTTACTGATTAGCAACTACTTTTAGATTGATTAAAAAATTTCTTATTGGTATTTATAAGATTTTCGAAGCTCTAGCTTTAGACTAAATCCACAGAATCATCCAAAAAAATAGCACTTTCAATAAAATAATTATGATTCGATTATAATAGTGTGTTTTTTTCAAGAATTTTTAAGCAGTTAATTTTACCCCTGGTATTACGCAAAGGGCTAAAAATGTACAAATAACCAGAAAAAAAATTTGGTTAATTTTTGAGGTATCCCACCCTCCCGGGTGCTCAGGGCTCAAATCTTTTGTTCTCAAAAATACCAAATACAATAAAAATAATAAAATTTGGAAAAAACAATGACAACGCTTTTTTCATTTAAGTTTTTAATGTCGCTTTTTGATCATCCTGTATTTTTAAAATACCAATGCAGACCACAAAATCTTTCTATAATGACATAAAATTGCTTTTTGATTATTTAAAAGGAAGTTTGCATTTAGATTATAACATTTGCAAAAGTCCTTTTCACAATGTTTATCTTGACATCAATGTAAAAGTGTCTAAACTGTAGATTATACTGCTTAAAAAAAAAGTATTTTGAAGATGCTCAAACTTTTTATTTAGCTTACTAGCGGCTGCTATTTGATAGTGCGGTAAGTTCTTTTGAGGTATGAGAAAACTAAATAAACCAGAATAATACTTAAAATATACTATATGTTGCTAATTTTTAACTGCAACGCACACTCCTTGACTTCTAAAACTCAGTGAAGTCTATATATAGCTGCCACTCTTCAGTCACTGTGACTTCCCGAATATATAATCTAACTATAAAACACACCTTCTTGTATATATGTATATATACATGTATATATGAGAAACTTGGCATCAACGCCGAGTCGTATACGGTAGAAGTAAAAAAGAATGTCTGATGTATGTGTACGTGAAATAAGGATATATTTAACTTTGGGTCTTTAACGTTCGATCATACGACTAATTTGCGCACACACACACACACACACACTGATAACACAAAGGCACTCCTTCCCTCTGGCGTATTTTTGAAGTATTTTGGCACATTCGGCTGATTATAACGATCCCTGGCGTCATATTGGATCGATATTTCTAATAGTAAAAAAGATGTTTTTTACATAAAATTCTAATTCTATTAATTACCAATCGCAATTGGCAGATTAGCAACCTAATCGACGAGCTGCGTCCGATCAAGGAACGACTGACGTTCAAGAAGAATGTAGCCGAGTGCCTGCACGACATGCTGGTGAAGACGAAGCTGAGGCTCGCTGAAAGCGAGCAGACGTTGCAGGAACTCCACGAACAGCTCACCGACTTGGAGTACGACGTGGAGAAGACTCGCGCGCTCCACCACAAACGCGTCGGCCAATGGCAGGCCGAGTTTCTCGAAGCGAGGATCAGGGAAGCTGACGTCATACTCGAGTTTGACAAGTTGAAGCGCGATGTCGCCACCGTCAAGCACGAACTCGAGGAGAAACGATTGGTTAGTATTCGGAGGAGGCGCGACGTTGACGTTGCTCTGTCTGGCGAAATTTATCTACTTCTAGGAAATTGGAGAAAACTACGGGAGTTCGCGGGGAATTTTAAAAGTCGCGAAACATTTTTTTTCTTATCATAAAACATATATTCGGTTGAGAGTTTTGCAACAAGAAAAATTAAATTTCCAAACGAAAATATGGTTTTCAAAGAAACTTCTGTACTTCAGTAGAATACTTTTGGATTCCCCTGCGTCAGTTTTTGCTGGGTCGAACTATCTGACGTTTCTACCCAGAATCACATTCAGAAATTTGAAAAACTAACGTCAACACTAGGAAAACCATCAAAGTCTTCTAAACTAACCAAACACTGTGATGAATGTATCATCGCACCAACTTTCGGAAACGGAAAAAATCAGTTGTTTCAAAAGGTTCCAACTTCGTCCTTGCTCCACGTATAGGAGTCTATCCTAAACAAACTGCCATCTCAAACAGCTAATGAAATTCGATTTGAAACTGCAAAAATCGTTAAAAAATCGAAACCTCCTAAATCTAATATTACAAAGCCTGGACGCATTGCCCTAAAATCTAATCCCGACATCGTAATCCTAAAGGCGGATAAAGGAAATCCTACGGTGGTCATGAACACAATCGAATATCAGGAAAAGATTCAAAATATTCTTACAAATGGTTCATATGGTCAACTTAAAAAAAAATAAATCTGTTATTAAGGCTTGTTCTCTATCAGATTCACAAAACAGGATTACCACTTCGACCTATTGTCAGCACCACTAGCTCTCCAACATATTCTCTAGTAAAATATCTAGCTTTTTTATTAAAACCCTTACAAGGAAAACTGATAGTTTCCCACTTAATCCGTTTCACTTTCTTAAACAATTAAAACGCATTACATTAGGTACAAAAGATATTCGGGAAACACTACGTAGATACTTTTGTTATTTGGCCTCATGGTCAAGAAACCCTAATAGATTTTCTTAGACATTTAAACTCTATACATCCCAACATACGCTTTACCCCATTCTTAGATATTCTTATCAATAGACCTAACATTGGGTCATTGTGTTTACATAAAACCTACGCACACAGACCGACACCTTAATGCATTGTCGCCCTTCCCTACATTCAAAACATCACTAACCACATATTAAAAGTTCTAAAGAAATATAACGTCCAAACCAGATTTATCACTTGTCCAAAAATCTCTCAACATCTTCAATCCGTCAAAGACAAAATTCCATTTGAGATGCCAGGACGACAAATCTTTGTATTGAAGTAATCAGATACTTCACATACTTGCAGATTCGAGAAGCCAAGCAATCTACCGTCGGCACCACAACAAGCGTCAAGATCAATTCGAAGGGCAAAAAGTATGAACGGATAATAGAGCAACGTGAACGATCGATAGCGAACACGGTCGAACTACAGAACGAGATAGACCATCTCAGGATATTGGCGAGGAAGCTGGCCGACCAAAAGGAAGACTGTGAAAGACGGATGAGGTCGAACGAGGAGACGAAATTGCAACTGCACGAGGTGAGGAGGAGCAAGTGGCAGAGGGAGTACGAGACGAACCAGAGCGTCGAGATGTTGCGTGAAAAATATGCTCGGTTAGCGGAAAAAATGGCGACGGAATCGGAACGGGTCCGGGCAAGTATAGAGGAGAAAGACCTGGCCATAGGCGAGATAGAAGAAAAGCTGAGGCAGCTTCAAACTAGGGTAAGAGTCTCAGTCTCAGTGGCTCGATATTGTGACTCCTTCTTCTTCTTAAGGTGCCTTATCCAAATAGGTTGTCTTGGCGACATTTCTGGCATACTCCTCTCGATCTTGTGTGGCTCTAAAGAGTGCGTGCGCATCGAGATTTGTCCAATTCCTTCCGATGCCTCGTTTTCCTTCTATATTTCCTTTCATTATAAGTTTTAAGAACTGATATTTGGAATTTCGAAATATAATGAACCAGATAAGCAGATTTTCTTCTTTTTATTATTGGCCACAATTCCAAAGGATTCCAGTCGATTCATCACGTTGGCCTTTAAGGTCCAGGTTCTACACCATATAGCAGTATGGAGTAAATTACAAAGCGATATCGAAGCGTTAAGTCAATTGTTGCTTAGCAAGGTTCTCATATTAATGAATGCCGTTCCGGCTTGCTCGATCCTGCTCTGGATCCTCTAAGTCTGGATCTAGATCTTCATTCAACTACCGAGATATCTGAACTTGGTGGCCTTTTGGATGTTCTTGTTTTTACTCTTTTATTTAACTGCATGTTTCTGTTCTGCTAACCGCCATTACCTTGTCTCTATTGGTCTTCAGTCCCAGTCGTTCTCCTTCATCTATTAATCGCTGTAGCGCTTCTGTAACATAGCGAAGGTTATTAACTGTCTGTCCGTTGAATTGATTGAAGCCAATCCATAAATTTCAACGTTGTTAGAACCTCTATGTATATGTCGTCTGGGCATGGTGCTTTTTCCCACTTACTCTGTTTGTTTGCCCTTACAACTTCTGATTTCAATATTTTAGGGGAGGGGTTCACTTTTATATTCACTTTCGAAATTTCTTCTAGTGTTTTCTGAGTATAGTTGCTGTGTACAGTTTCTCCAACAATGAGATAGATCCTTGGGATCAGTGAATTTATTGACCTTTACGATACTGTTAAAACTACAAGGTTTTGTATGAATTGTTACTTCTTTTACGGGTTTGTGTATGCTAAAGTGGTCATGTTTTTGTTCCAATTTCTCCATTTCTGGCAGCCATTGTTCTTTGACTTTGGGGATCTGTTTCCCTACTTGTCGATTAATCTTCTGATATTTGGTTCGGTCTTTATTTTTAAATGATCTGCGCTTATCCATCATTGATTATATTTCTTCTTTTTATCATTTTGGGCAACGTCAGAGTCTTGGTGGTGGTCACTATCGCTTTAGTAATATTATTCCGCTTGTCTTCTATGCTAGCCGGTCGTGATATCAGCTAAAGCCTCATTTAGTTTTTCTGTTACTTCTTGTTTCACGTTAGGTTGCTTTAAGTTGTTTATGTCGATTTTCCTCATAGATCTTCTTTTAATTTTCTTAAGTTTAATTCTTAATTTTCCTACCACCTCGACCTCCACAATTTCCTATCTGTGTTCTTCTTCTTTTAGGCCTTTTGTATCCTCCGCTCAGTTGGTGTGCATAATCTGGAGGTGTCTTTTTCACCAAGTATGTTTGAACCTGGAGCTGGAGCTCGAGTCATCTTCGTCTCCCACTATTATAACATGCGACTTTAACTAAAGTAGCTGCTAGTGAACAGCCTGGCCTTAGTTACTTAGTTACGTTGAATTCTCGAGAGATGTTATTTGCCCTTAAAGTAGAACTAACTTATTTAAATACTTATAATACAACCAAAAATATAGTGCATTTTACGGTACCTTAACTGGACCGTGGAAAAACCTATCCCAACAGATGTAGAAACTTAAAAAAAAATATATGTGAAACTTAAATGGACCGTTTTAAATTTAAATTTAAATTTAATTAAGTTCTTAAGAGTTTAGTATAAATTGTAATATGTTCGTATATATTACGGAAGTATTTGACTGTGATCCTTCCAGTAAGTACGTATTTATGTACCAGAATCTCGAGCATTGATTCTGCGACGCTGTTTTCACTGGATAGTTCAAAGGGAAAGGGTATACCTGTACTCTATCTTACAGGTAAGTGTGAAAATAATCATTTTTGTCTTGTGTGTCTGTCTTCTGCATAGTTCTTCGATTTGTAAACAACAGTCTTTTTTAAGATTTTAGATTATATTCGCGGTAAATAAAGGTACAGTTACACATTTATTACAATCTTACAATTAAACATTTTTTGAAGGTTCATGTTTTCTAACACTTTAAAATTTGGAGACGATTTTTTAAGTGTGCTGATACTTTATTATTATTATTATATTTAATATTTCGTATATTAATGATGACACTATGTAGAAATGCAATGAAATAGAATGTAATAAATTGTTAATATGTACTAATTTTTTTATGTACACGTTTCAAAAATGGCTCGGCGAGGAAACATACTTATATCCCGCTTGTTTATGAAGGGAGATAAATTCCTAGGAAGGTCGTGGAATGCTCGGCAGAGCGTTCTATAAGGCGGTTTTGGAGTAATAAACAGGAGGCAAAGTTAATCACGGCGTCGGTTGTAAAAGCACTATATTTCTGGTCGAAGTATACTAAAATTTTAATAGCAAATAGATTTAACACTTCCAAAAGTTTATGAATTTGGTGCGTTATTAAAATCCTATTTTGCAAATAACTGTATGGAGGTTTAACCTCCTTCTAGCTTCCTTTTCAGTTCATCCAAAGTAGGAACAATCTGGTCCAGACAATAACAATATCCTTTTTTTAAAGTCTTTTCCTACGCAGGTTTGTTTTAAATCTTTTTACTTAATTGCTCCTCGACTGCCTAGATCCTCGCATATAAACAAATCATTGGTTATTGGGTTCGTCCATTGTAGGTCAGTTCAGAGGAGGGAGTTCACAAAAACGATCCCGATTTGGACACCATCCAAGAACTCGAGGACCGAAAATCGGTTTTGGAACAAGAGGTGGGTTCGACATTATATGGGGCGTTCAATTGAGGGTGGCTCTGGGGGGGTTTCAAATTGCAATTGCAATTGCAATTGCCAACAAAAAATCAACTAAAAAGAAACATTAAGCCAATTTCCCGGGTATAACAACCCCAAGAGATTTTTCCGTATCCCTTTTAATAAGGGAACACAAGGAAGTAGTTTGTTTAGTAGTTATAATAAACTTACTGGCTTCCCATACCTTCACTGAACAAATATTAACTGCACGCTAGTAAGATTTGTTTTCAAATATTTTGATTTGCTTCTATTAGCAATTGCGCCCCCTACCGGCCATCCGAAAAACTATTTTCCGTTTACCGATAAAAAAAGTTTTTGACCGACCGCCATTCTTTTTTAAACGCTCTGTATGACGAGTCGGGATGTCGAAGATCAATTAAATTCGTGTATTTTCAGATAAGCGAATTAAAAAAAACTTGACGGCCCTCGCTTCGTTTGCAGCTACTAGCAACGTTGCCGCTTCTTGGCAAAAGTAGCATCTGTTTTGATATTTGGAAAAGGACACCCAAAATAATTCAGGTTTTACGGAAACTTACGTTTGTATCCAAGTGCTGTAGGCATGGGATCATTTGAAAGAGCGTTTACTTGTCGTCCAAGACAGTTTCTAAAATGTAAGGTGTTAAATTTGAAAAATGATGCTTTTTTCACAAATAAAAACAAATTTCACAAAAACACCACACATTTTCGTAATAACAATAAAGCCCTTTATTTTTCTTATGGAAAGTGCTCTCATATCAGTTACTAACAATAATTATTTATTATTACTATTAACAATATCACAAAAAAAGTAACAAACGACTTTTTCAAAACAAAGACATACAGAAAAATAAAACAAAAATTTTAATGGGTTGAAACATTTTACTGCATTGTAACTACCAAACGATCACTGAAGCGTGGCCTTTGTGTGCGTTGTTACAAAAAAAATCCTTATAGCGCTCAGATAAATGAGAGGAAATATGCCAAGTAGCACATAAATTTTATTATTCCACTAAATAGTTGCATGTTTGCTTTTTTGTTACTTCCTTTAAGACGGCCAGTATGCTTTAGAAACTGACATATTTTACTAAAGTGCCTAAAGTTGTTGACCACACCGTAATGAAAATTTTAGTTCTTCTGAAAGCTAACTAGAGCTTATGATAAAGAAAGTGCCAATTCGAAAATATACCACAGAGCTGCCCGAAAGCAGTAAAAATATTATGACTATGGGCTACTTCCGGTAATATTAGTCATTTTGCATTAAATGAAACGATAACCAATAATAATTACGATTATAAACTGTACAGGGGTTGATAGATTTCATAAGAGTACATCATGGTCTAAATTTCTCAAAACAAATGACTATAAAAAGAAAAGGGCAATAATTTCTATACAAAATATAGTTTGGTATCTAGAGCACGAAACAATATTTGACATTTTCACATTCACATAAATAGAGACAAATTTCTGTTTTCGCAATGACTTTTAATTTGATTTAATTCAAATCGCAAATAGAACTTCGAGCTTATTAGAAAAATAAATATAGATTTTTTTTCAAATGTAGTTAAGTAAAGTAAAGTTACCTGGTAAGAGTATTAAAGTTATTTATTACATACCTATCCCATTTAAGCGAAAGCCTAACTTCATCAAGCCGCCATAACTTAGAGCATTTAACAAAACATTTTTGTCGGCATTATTATCGTATAAATTAAGATTAATTAAAATTACAATCTCTTTCACGATTCTTGAAAAATGAAAAAGTTGTTAAGGTCCGATACGACACAGGTTGTTTTTAAATCAAACGTTTTCGATGCTGCTAAACATAATTTTATTATCATTTATTCAGTATTCTGTAATGGTGTTTTAGTGAAACGACATTTATGAAATAATTTTATAGCATTGTCAAAAGGACACCGCAGTGTTATTTAAAATTTTGAACTCACAGCTCTACTAAACAAATTGTTATATAACGTTTTTATAAAATGGTAAATATTGTTGTATTATATACCATATGTACTAATACTATACAACATATGATTATATAACTTCTACTGGATACAATTGTTTTATATAAGCGCCATATTAAAGGTTGTTAAAAGTTGTTAAATAGTAAGGTATATGACAATTGACAATTTGACTTGGGATAAACATTGGATTTGAGAATGTAGTATCTTCAACGGAAGCAGTTAATAGGCAATTGCGTTTCCGATGCTTTTATTCCTCCTTTGCGATTCAGGGGCGCCTATACGTCTTTATTTAATTATATTATTAATAAATAAAATTTGCGTTCCGCCGTTGTTTTCATTCAACCCCCGTATTACAGGCGACCTTGAACCGGCGTCAATAACGTCGTTACAAATGTAGGTGATCGTTTTTATCGTTACACGCGATCACGTGTCGTCCCGTGGCGACAAGTGTTTTCTTGGCACGCACCGCTGCCAAATTGTACTTACGCAATGGCCGATTTTGCGATACATATCCACACACACACCGATGCGGTAATCCGCCACGCCGAAAAGATCACCCTAAAATTAAACCGACACTACCGAACGCATCGCGAGGGGATATTAAAAAACATATTACGGGTGTTCCACGAGGTTCTATATCGGGGCCGTTGCATACATGCAGATACCCAAAACACGCTTAATATTACATTTACCTACTGATTCAAACCAGTGCTTGATAGTTCCAGCTTCGATACCTTACTATTACACATTATATTATTATTATTATTGCATTATTATTACATATAATATATCCGTTATCCGTACTGACAGGGCTTATCGATTTCTTTCGTTTTTTTCTTGGTTATTAGATAGTGAATTAAAATTATTTTTTACGTATATTTAATATTTCCTGTAATTGGGTCGGGTTACCTGTTGCTATTATTATTATTATACTACATTTGCATATTAAATTATTATTATTATACAAAGAATTTGTAGATATTCTGCATTTTACAACAAATAGTGGATTATAATTCGTACATTTCACAAGTGATGTAAAGCATTGATAGATGGAAGATAAATCTGGACATGTAAACATTTTGAAAATTTTATTTTTGGCATTAGATACCTCGCGTGGAAAGCAAAAGCCCGTATTTTCCTTGTTCTATATATGAAATTATATGAAACTGCACTTTAAAAACTCATCCTCAACTAATGTTTTTAAATTAATGATACTCCCTATTTTTTTTTTATTTAAGAGTTATAAACTTCATTTTGTCCGTTTCATTTTTCGATTTTATTGATGACTCAGGTTTTAAGCTAAAAAATGAATACCAAAACAAAATAAAAAAACGTGATTCATTACCATTGCCTTAATATAAAAATATATTCTTTTAAATCAGGTTACGCAACGAAAATGATTATTTTCTTTATTTCACCACATCAGTTTTACCTTAACTTTAGTTAAGACGAATGGCCATTTAAAAAAATATGAAAAATATGCAGAAAGTCGGCTTTCATAAAAAAAGAAAAGTTTAAGATAAAAAATATGCACATTTGTTTTGAGATATTTTTTACAAATCAAACTACCAGCTTCTGGGAGTTAAAGATTGTTTTTTTTTTCTCTCATAATTAGAATATCTCACATTTAAAGAGATCATCAAACACGTTTGTTTATGAAACGTGTACCAAACCGGCGATGTTTTTAAAGCCAAATTTTTTTTTCTAAATTTTTCGTTTCCTTTACAACTAAAAACACTCAAACGTGGCGACAATAAAAGTTGGGAGGGGGCAGAGGTAAGGGAGCGACAATATCGTAACGGTAATCTTTCGACCTTGGACAACGTAACGCGTAGACAAATTCTAAAAATTTTAAGCAGATAAAATAAAAATTTATCTAAAATGATTTTTGAAATTGGACTAGCTACGCGCGATGCTACGTCAATCGGCGGCAAACGAATCGGACGAGAATGCCAGTGGCGGCTCGCGATCGCTTTGTGCCAGGCGCTCTCAAATTTTATTAAAATGTACAATAAATTCATAGCTAGGAATATATATATATATATATATATATATATATATATATATATATATATATATATATATATATATATATATATATATATATATATATATATATATATATATATATATATATATATATATATATATATATATATAAAACTACGTTATTATTCTAATTGTCTAAATGAAATTCCGTTTCACTTTCAGAGTCCTCTAACTGAGATTAATAATAATACGATTTATGTTTATATTTTCTTGAAAACCATTTATTCTATAGGACAATTTCTTAGACCAGGAAACGTGGGAGGATCCAGGGCTATAACCTCTATTTCCGGCATATTTTTGATTGTGATTTATTAGCCGTTAATGGAAAAGATATAAAACATGGGAAAATTTGGTCCCAACAGGATCGTAAATTCTGTGGACAGAGAAATATAATTGGTAATTGGTATTATTTGTACAAATTTTTGTATTTACCAAAGTTTACCGTAACTTTAAAATTCAGCTAGATGTAGAAGACGGATATGCACAATAAAAGTCCGCATGAGTTCCTCTAGAACAAAAAGCCTTTAAAATACAAAGCCGCGTAATGACTGCAGACGCTTCGCACAGCCACGATTTTTCGAAATCAATCTTGTTACTTTCGAAAAATCCATGAAATCGAACTTTTCGAAAGTATATGCGCTTAGCTACGAAACCTATAATATCTCAGCAACGGAACATCGTACAGAGTTTTAATTTTTTGTCTGTTCTCTGTTGCCCCGCGTCTCTTCTCTGTTCTCTGTTGACGCGATCAGGCCTTGGCGTCCCTCTTTTTTTGATCATTTCGCACTGTTTTTCTTATATCTCTCATCATCTCATCATCATTTCTCAAAAACGATTGCAAATATAGAAAAAAAAATTGAACGAAAAGACACCGGGTCAAAAAATTGTTAGGAATAAGACGCTTAAAAATTTACACTTTGCGTCGACAATTTGCAAAAACACTAAAAAGTGGGTTTTTCTGTTAAAGACGACTGGCTACAACTAGAAGGGTGTGTTTCAGTTGCAGTATCGTAAACTGAGTAAAGGGAGAGAGTTTTAGTTTTTGTCTATCATACAGAATACGCGAGATATTTTAAAAAAATATTATTTTAAATCGCAATGAACAGTAAAATTTTTAACATCTACACTTTATACAGGCTCCACGCACAATAAAATTACATCAATTTTGCAAAAGTTCCATAGTGGTCCGCAGAAAACAATGCCTACCTATAGGACAAAGTAAGAAATACAAAGCTGCGTAATGGCTTTGTAGGCTGCGTAGTGCATCGTACGGAGCAGACGCTTCGCACAGCCACGATTTTTCGAAATCGATCTTGTTTTGCTGAATCTTTCAATCAGCGAATAGTGAAAACGCGAATAAGCAACTTTTAAGTTTCGAGAGTAAAATAGGAAAATAGATTATTTATTATTTATTACAATATTTATTATTATTGCATATTTTATAGCCACTAACACCATTTATTAATTTTTCTAAAATATCATATTTTTCCGCTAGTGATAAAGTTTCGTATGCTCTCTTTGCTGCCACGATGCTTTTTAACCCCTAAGAAAATCACGACTTGTCTTTTGCGGCTTTTTAATAATTACGGGATATAACACAATAAAAGTTACAAGAAATTATCCAATAACACATGATGGAATACATAAGAAATCCGGATTATAGAATACGTAATGTAAATAAGTAATATTTAAATTTTGTCCGGATAATGGAGAATTCGCATTAGTGGAGTTCTGATTAGCGAAGGTGTACTGTATTTAATATTTTGTATATTAATGACGATACTGCTGTTTTTTTACGCTTAAAACGTGAAGACCGATGAAAAAGGCCGAAACATACCTACATCCCGCTTGTTAGTGTAGGTAGATAAATTCCTAGGTCTACTCGGCAGGGTGTGAAAGCACTATATTTCTGGTGCGAGTATATGCTGGATTTCTTTCCGCGCGAACCGTCGCTATGCACTTGGAGCGCGCCACTGTTCGAGGTGCGCGCGCACCTCCGCTGCTATTCCCGTCCGTAGCGTCGTCGGCCGGGGCCCGGAGCACATGACCGCCAACGTCAACGCCTTTTCTCTCTCTTTCTCTTTCGATTGCGTCGCATCCGCCGTACGGTCGCTCACTAGCAGTTCAGTGCGCGGTCCGCAAACAACTGACACGTTCGAGGCAGCCTCAGTTTCCAAGCAGACCACCGATAACCGTCGAAAATGTCTCTCGCCGATCCCGTCGCCTTCCTCAAGGACTTCCTCGCCGGGGGCATCTCCGCCGCCGTCTCCAAGACGTGCGTCGCGCCCATCGAGCGTGTCAAGTTGCTGCTCCAAGTGCAGCACATCTCGAAACAGATCCCGGAGGACCAGCGTTACAAAGGTACACGCGTCCTGCGGTTACGTAACGCGCCTAGGCGGCACGCTAAAAATCCGCGATATCGCCGCCTTTAGTCCCGTGACGAAACGCGTTTCGAGGCCACGTGTCGCACGGGCGATTTCTCCGACGTAATGGCCGCCGTTCGCGATCGATAGCGAGCGGTCTCTCCCCTAACGTTACGTAAATACGGGTTACGTAAAACGTAAAACGCAGTTTTTTTTTCTGTTTTTCCGCTTTTGCCGTGTGCGTTGCGTTTTACGTGCCGCGAGTGACGTCATTCTTGTGGCGGACGGACCTCGTGACCGGTTCGACCTTGACATCGCGACGATAATGTCGCGATAATGCGATTGTCGTCTCGCTCAGATAACGGCGGATCACGCCGGACGCGATGACGGTATTTGCGAGTGTTTAAAATCGATTTATTTAAGAAATAGAAAAAGGTTTTAATATCGCCGAAAGCATGTGCGGTATAGGCGCATGCATATATGATCTTCGATTACGCTTACGCAGTTCGCGATTACATAAGCCGTCGGGCCAAACCACCCACCGAAATGTTCCCCAAATGATTTCCACTTTTACCGAAATTGTTTGTATACTCCCACCATAAATATAGTGCTTTTACAACCGACCCCGTCAATAACTTTGCCTACCGTCTTTTACTCCAAACTCGTCACCTAGTTCAATGATCATCTCCGCCATTAATCGCCCTCGATAAACATTTTCTTCTTTGATTACTCGTTTCTAATAGTTAGATCAGCTTTGTAATGATTTTTTTGCTACCTCTTGATGAATTACGTAGTATTTAAAAAAGATAAAAAATCACGCATGCACAGGTCTACAAAAAACATTTTTCAAAAAATGTTTACGAGACCAAAAAAATTCTTGAACCAGAAGATACGGCACTATAAACTTTTATTCTTGACAATTTTTCAAAAATATAAAGAATATACAGAATACAAAAAACCTGAAAATTGGTTATAACTGAAAGACTATGATTCAGATCTCACTTTCTTTTATATTGCGATATAGCCCGTATAGACAACAAAAACTTTTGCATTTAAAGTTTTCACCTATTGTACAGGGTGTTCCCCATATTCCGTGCTAAATGAGAAATGTGTTTCATAATAAAAAGCTGCTTCGCGCTACGCGCCATGTGTTTCATAATAAAAAGCTGCTTCGCGCTACGCGCCACGAGCTTGCCCCGCCCAGTGACGATTTTTCGAAAGCAATCTTGTTACTCTTGTCGCACCATCCTTTTTTTTACTGCCCTGAGTGTCGAACCACGTTTCGTCTAAATACAGTATTGGCCTATTTTGCCCTCGAAATTTTTCAATTGCATTTAAATAATCCACCCTCCATTGCGAAATTCGTTGGGATTTATTAATTGTTTTTTCAAAAAAGTACACAACGACTGTTTGGCACAATTAATAATTAATTAAGGTTGTCAGTACTTCTTTATGCAGTTCTTCTGGGATTAACACACTATTAGATCTGCGGGTTATTCTTTAAAAACTCGGGAAGCATCTTCTCTCACTTTCCTCTTGACTATCCCATTTGCAACAATTTTTCTTACAGTTGACTTCGGAACTTTGATCATGTCACTTGAATTTCTTATAAAATTGTAAACATTCAAAACAACTTGTTTCGGCTCCGAAGTCAAATGGATCCGTTTTCTTTTATTTGCTGAGGCAGTTTGTCTTATAAATTTTCATTAGGTCCGACTACCACCCCCGTTTCATTTTCAAATTCTGCGTTGTTTTCCATGTCTTCTTCTAACAAGGGAACATCTGCTTCATTCCACGGTCTCTACATTTTAAAGTGATAAAAAAAAACAGGAGCCTTCAAGTGAAAACAGCGTCGCATAAATACATCTCAGGCAAGACGTACTTAATGCTGTTGGGATGAGTTTTACTACGGCCCCGCCAAGGTCTGCGGTTAAGGTACCGTAAAACACTTAAAACATCAAAGCAATAAATGCACTACATTTTTGGCCGCATTATAACCGAATACTTTTTCTGTTGTCTCCGTCCAGGCATGGTCGACTGTTTCGTGCGCATCCCCAAAGAACAGGGTGTATTGGCCTACTGGCGTGGCAACACCGCCAACGTCATCAGGTACTTCCCCACCCAGGCGTTGAACTTCGCCTTCAAGGACAAATACAAGCAGGTGTTCTTGAGCGGCGTGGACAAGAAGACCCAATTCTGGAGATACTTCTTGGGTAATTTGGCTTCGGGTGGTGCCGCCGGAGCCACCTCGCTCTGCTTCGTCTATCCACTCGATTTCGCCAGGACCAGGTCAGTATTAACTATAATTGTCATTGACGTTTCGACCGGCACCCAAGTCTTTCTCAAAAACTGCAAAAACATTTAGTTCGCTATCAAAAAATAAAACGTGTAACACTAAATATCTTAAAGCAGTATACATATGTAAAATATTAAAAAAATAAATTTCATATATTAGTCATACTCACAAATTAATTAGTTTTTTCAAAATGTCTATTATTAGTTAGTTTGTATACAGATAGATAGGGGAATATTTTATTGACAACCCTCGTTACTGCAGCGTTTAGCATCTTTGTTTTTCACAGATAAGCATAATTGGGTTACAAATAATATTAAAACTTTTTTATCCAAATAATTTGACGATGCATGTATTATTGATTCAATGCCTTGCCTCATTTTTTGTTTTGCCACAAATTTCTTCTCCATATTCAGGAAAATGCAAAAACGTAGGATGACTCTAATAAAAACATCAATGATGTACATTCTTTTAATGTGGCGATAGAATTGGCAAAATAAAATGACTTACCCTGCAATAAGAGAAAAAGCTGTCAAGACAAATATCATGTAATTGTAAAATGTAAAATTTTATTGTTCGTTTTTTTAAATATAATCAATAACTTCGCTCATATTATAATAATAATAAAATATTTTCCAGAGTATTTTGATACTCCTTTCTTGCTTTCAGTGATGACAATCATAACGCGCCCCGTATAATTATGTTTTTTTTTTACCTAATCGAATGGCCACCGGTGGTGGATTTAAATCCGTAACGTCACGGTTGCCAAATATTTCGTACGTCAACAGTGTTTGAAGATCTTATTTGCTTACCACTCGTGGCGTCTCTTTTTTTATATAACTATCTCAAGGCCAAATTTTATTTTTACAAAAACCAGGTAAAACCACGAAAACTGATTGAACTTCTCCAAATGACCGTCAGAGACGCCGTGACATTTAAATTTCAACGTTTCTCAACAGCATAAATAACCTTTGACGGATTGTAGGTTCTAAAGGCTTAGTTTTGGTTGTAATCTGTCGTCTATTATCATACACCATTAAATGTCCGTCGATACTATTTTTATAGTATAAAAAGAGAGCGTTACATAAGCAAAAGGCGTAGGTGAAACTATGTAAATTTGACCGAGATGAATAGGCTGTCCGTTTTTAAACCCATAGAAATGCTATTATTAGATACCACTTAATGAATAAAACCCAAACGCAATCGTTGTATTTTTTTTGTCTATATTCACAGGGTACAATTATATATATATAACAGGTATATAATATATAATAAGTATAATAAGATAGTAATAGTAATAGAGTTTTTATTTATTATTAGTCATGGGTTTTTTGAGAAGTGTTGTTCTGCCACTGTATCGAAAAAAATTAATATTTAAAAAAGCACTAAGAAAAATTAAGATTTTCCACTGTTTACGCAAACATGATATTTTTCTTTTGGATAATTTTTACATTTTTTTAGAATTCGTTTTAATATTTGAAATTAGATTATCCGATGACATACGAAACTTATTGTATTTGCCATTTCGAGTAATTTGTTTATTATTTCTGAAGATATTTGATAAGTATATCACGAAACTTATTTGATAAATGGCACTTTAGTCATAAGTTTGTTGGTGAGTGTCTGAAAACCATTAGGATTTAAAAAAGAATTTTAAAAAATGATTTTTTAGAATTGGGAATGAATTTAGAATAAATTTGTATTCAAAATTCAAATCGCGTTTGTAAATAGTGGCAATAAGCTATAATAACCCGCGTTACTGCGTGCTTTATCGTGTAGGTGAAACACTTATTCCAATTGCGTTTATTTTGTTGATCAATGCCTGGAGCATTCACCAGATTTTTAATACCCATAATGTTTATTATACTAGTACATTGCGTTAAGTTTTAGTTCGTTATCACTGAAAATTTTGGATAAAGGTGTATAGATAATAATTTACATATTGCCCTTTTCAATTTGTTAATAATGATGCGTAGATTACCGGGAATTTTTATGAAAAACTAAAACAATTAAATGAACTAAACACAATGCAAAGGTAAATCTCCCATTTTGCTCAATAACCAACATTTTTCTATATACACATTGCGAAAAATAAAACAAATCGTCAATATCTCCCAAACTTTCCAAAAGCCGGATAGGATTTTCCAGGTTAGCAGGGCAGTATATCACTGACCAAAGATATTAAATTATTTATGACTATGGATCACTTTTCCCTTCCTTTCAAGTTTCTTTGACGACATTTAAAGAAATAATTCAAAAAGAAAAACTTTTACTCACTTCATGCATAAAACACACTGCTACTTAAACTTAATAAAATAAACGGTGACAAAATTATAAATTATTTCAAGCACTAGTTCCGACTTGTTTTAAATTGATTTATAAAAAAACACATTACATTTACTGCTTAATTTTACGCAAACCGTGTATATTACTCGTAATAATTAAATCTTTGCAACAGAAAATTTAGCAAATATGGTCGCCATGTAAATTACCTATCTGGCTTATTAAATTTATTATATTAAAGTTGTGCCGGTTTGGCGCAAATAATATTAATTCATTAAAATGTCTTACCTTAACAAAGATACTGCAACCAAAACGAAAATGATAAGCCACGGCAATGGCGGCCGCATTTTCGAACGACAGCTGATTGCCGTTTCAAATTCGCCTTCTGCGCATCTGACGTCACGTACTTAGCTCCGCGTTGCCAATTATGTTCGAATTTCAGAGATTGATGTTGTAATCAATTTTCCAGAAAAATTACAAAGATCCATGCCTTCTCTACGAAAATATCATAGCCACCTGCGGCGCATCACTTTTTAGGATATAGCTATAAGTGGCCCTACTACTACTATGATATTTTGGTAGAGAAGGTGTGGATCTTTTCCGCAAGCGTCACCTCCAACTATCTAAGTTGCCACATTTCCGCCATTTTCTGAAAAAATTGACTAATTTTCATAGGAACGCAAAATCAGTCTCTGAAATCCGAATATAGTTGGCAACGCCGAACTAGGAACTGTTTTTGCCAGGAAATACTAACAGTCTGTGCCCATTGTTATTTACATTTTTGGTGGTTATAATTGATTCTCTTCGTTTCTTTTTCGTGTTTTTGTGAAAAACTTGTTTGTGGTCAAAATTGCAAGGAAAAGAATGTGCCTATATACGGGTAGCAGTTGCCATATGTACTAATTAATTTAAAAGATTTAAAAGTGGTTTTTATGGTCACATTTCGTGAACTCGACTTGATGTACAGTTTCAGTAGAAGTTAAACCAATAAGTTTATAAAAACAAAATGTTTGCGCAGATTTACGGGCACAAGTTCGGCAAAAATTTGCTGGGAACGTGTCTATAGCGCTTAAAGAACCAAAAAGGTTGAAATACTTACAGAATTGTATTAACTCTGCACGGATTCTATGGTGTAGCATTGCACGCGGCGATATAGCCTCCGTTCGCCCCCGACAGAATACCTTGTTGGAAGTGGGGAACCCGATTTTTTTTTTATATCGGTCAAAATAGTTTTTTGCTAGCTGAGCAAATATTGGTTATATTTTTTTTCTTAAAATCCTCGACGGAAGTCGGCAATGGGCAAATGATCCTTGCAGTCGAGCTCAACAGTTATTGTGAAACGCATTATTGTACTTGTATTAACTCTGCACTTGTCGCTAATTTTTTTGAAAACGCTTTCTACACCTTAATTTCTTTTTTTGTGTGAAAATTTAATGAGATTTCGACATATTTCGAAAATATACTGTCAGCCAGCGGCCATGTTAGTTGTTTAAAGCCGCAAGACCTTATGGCTCGAACGTCAGAAAATGCATTTGGAGCTGCCATTGGTTAAAAACGAAGTTTCAAATCTCGCGCATGCGCATATTGAACAAATAATCTTAAAATTTGGTACATAGTTGCTTCACCCGTTCCTGTACTATTAACATAGGCAGGGCCTCTATATGTCTAGTAGCTATGTGCTTTTTACCGTAGTGGGCCACTATATATGGGTAAACGTATGATTACAGGTTGGCCGCTGACGTGGGCAAAGCCGCTGGCGAACGCGAATTTTCGGGCTTGGGCAATTGCTTGGTTAAGATCTTCAAATCGGATGGTCTGAACGGACTCTACAGAGGCTTCGGCGTATCCGTGCAGGGTATCATCATCTATCGTGCGGCCTTCTTCGGCTTCTACGACACTGCGAAAGGCATCTTGCCCGATCCCAAGAACACGCCCATCATCATCTCTTGGGCCATCGCTCAGGTAACTTTGAAACCAGGTAAGATTGGGAAACGATTCCCACAATCTGCTTTTTCAGACTGTGACCACCATCGCGGGTATCATCTCGTATCCGTTCGACACGGTGCGTAGGCGTATGATGATGCAGTCGGGTAGGGCCAAGAGCGAGGTCGTCTACAAGAGCACCGCTCACTGCTGGGCGACCATCGCGAAGCAGGAGGGTACGGGCGCGTTCTTCAAGGGCGCCTTCTCCAACGTTCTCCGCGGTACCGGCGGGGCCATCGTGCTAGTATTATACGACGAGATCAAGAACCTCATCGTTTAAGAGTAACCGCTATTCCGTATCGCGCATTAATTTTTGTAAAACACTCCATCAGTCGAAACGGCTCCCGCACCTACGGGAACTTTCTAGGCCAATTTCTAGGAGGCACGGGCCCTTCGAGCGACGCCCCCCCACCCCGACACACGGCACACTCCTCAAAAATCATTCCGATTGGAGGGGGGCGTGGCTCGAAGCCACGGTGTAAATAAGGTTAGGTGTACAATGTATTTATTTGCAACATACAAATGCGAAGCAAAACAACACTACACGCGTTCACTTTTTAGATTATCAGATTTGTTCAGTTATTTATGCGGATCGAAATCGGAGGCGTACTGTTCTGGAAACTACCGAGCGTAACATCAACACCGTTACCCAAGTACTGTTAAATGTTAATGGTTTATTATCCTCACCGAAATTTGGTGATAGAAATAAATAAAACCTATAAATTATGCTCCCGTTTTATTCCGACCAAACACCAAAAAATGACGGAAGAGTAACAACAAACTTTGTTCTTTTTAAAAAGTGCTATGTATGGAATGCATAGACCTATTCCTTAAAAACGAAACTTACCTTAGAATCCTCTACAACATGACATTTTCGGAAATTTCATATTACATCCACACTTTTACATGTAACAATCACTATTGAAAAATGTTCCTACATTGCGAGTGGCTTACGTAAAAATTCACGAATTTTACACGCGGTTTTAAATTGACGTACTTGGAGCGGTGTAAAACCGAATAGCGATTTGTTTTGAAATACCGAGATACGTCCTACCACACACATTAAACCTCTTATTTTTTATTAGTTTTGTTTTGATGCGACAACCACGGATCATAGAATTTGATATTGGAATGTCATTCGTTTCGGTAGTGGCCACTACACGGCATCCACAGTACGTTTATGGTTCATAGATACATCACAGTATCGAAATCTATACAAAATTTTATTTTTCTAAAACGAAATTCAATCGAACTCTTAGAAACATTAGGAATATTACAATTTGTGTGGCGTAATTATTTTTTCTGATCCCCTTCGCCGTCCAAAGCTCGACGCCTGTGTTCTAACCTTTTCACCGGCTTTCCGGTGCTTACGATGGGAATCTGTTTGTATTCCACCTGTTTACCCTGGCCTTTTATGGGAGCGGTAAGACTCAAAACCCCGTCCCCCGACAATTTCGCTTTTAACTGCTTGACGTCCAAATCGTTCGCAAGTACGTATCGCCTCACGAAATGTCTAGAAATCGACCCGTGCTCGTCTTTTTTATCCTCGTGTTTCCCTTCCACGACGACCGCATCGTCTCCTTCCAGTTTAACGGAGAGTTCTTCCGGTCTGAATTGTTGCACGTCGATGTCGGCCCGAAACTTGCTGTCGTCTCTACGCGTGACGAGGCTCTCTTGTTCTAATTGGGCCAGTCGACTTCTCAGGTGTCGAAACACGTCGATCGGATCGTCGAAGAAATCATCATTTTTGAAAAAGTTCGACCACGACGTGCGCGGAACCACAACGGAATCGTCAAAAAGTAACGGCAGCAAAGACATGCTTCTCGATTTCAAATAGTTTCCAACTAAACAGCGTCCGTTAGGTCGTCTCTATGGTGACATTAAAAAAAATGAATCTAACCAAATCCAACTGCGATTTTCATATCACTTTTTGCAAGCTTTGAAAGCGTCTTCAGCAAATATTTAACGGCGGCCATTTTTCTGAATGCTGCAAGGTTAAGGAGCAGAATTTAAATCTTGAGCATGCGCATTTTTTTAGGCACAGGCCTCTAAAAACTATTTCAACTAAAAATTTTATTGCCTTAGTAGCTGGTTGTTTTTATGCAATAAATACTACAGATATAGAGATAACTGTAGTATTTATATAACCTGGCTTGTTGCATAAAAACAACCAGTCACTAAGGCAATAAAATTTTTAGTTGGAAATAGTTTTCATTTTAATACGGAGTGTTTATTAAACCACTGTCAACATTGAATGGTGTGAATCCTTTGGTAATGTTATCTACATTCGTCGCAAATTTTTGAGCAACAGGGGATTTCAAGAAAAACTCGCAATTTTTTAATCATTCTGGATATTAGTTAGTTTCAGAAAAAAAATATTTTCCCGAAAACAATTTACTTTATGGGAAAAATTCACGGACCCGGAAACGTGTGAGATCCAAGGCCATAACCTCTACTTGGAACAGGTTTTCAATTATATTATATATACAGAGTGTGTTCATGGTCAAAGAATGTTAAAAAACCTGAACATTTCCCGCATTTCTGGTCCACAAATTTTGCATATCGGGTTAACAATTTTCGAGAAAATATTTTTTTTCTGAAAGGCGAAATATACTAAAAAAAAATTTTCAAAGTTTTTTTAAAAAATACGAAATTTCAGTAGGTCCTTTTTTAACATATAAAATGCGGGTGTGGACTTCTACAATTCTGCCAAATCTCGATAGCTGCAAATTTAAGACCTGTTAATTTTTGAAGCACTCAATATCTTGAACACCCTGTACAACAGGTGAAAACCTTAAATACAAGTTTTAAAAAATCGAAAAAAAAAATACTTTTACATATCTTATGCACTCTGTGGACTGTAAAAGGAGCAATATTTGAAGCGTGTAGCTCAAATCGTCCGGAAGTTATCGTCGAAAAACCATGGAACAGAAAACGGACATACAAAAAAAAAACGTTTTTTTTTTCGATCTGTACTAACGGCCACGCTGTACGAGGCACCGTTATCGAAATCTCGAGTTACGCAAACCCCGTACATAGGATAAAATCAAACTCCACAAGTTTTCCATTAATTTATTACTAGCCATTTGAACTACTTACAATCGGTGGGCGGACTGGCGCGAGTCTTCGCCCAACGTTAGAGCGTTTTACAATTGAATTTATGCGTAACCACAGTAAAATCTAAATATCAATTTAAAGAAAAGAAAATCCATTCGCAATTGACGAGAATGGAAAGAATACACGTCCCTAAATAGAAGTCTAAAAGTAGATTGAAATACGCTTATAATAATTACCGAGTCCCAAATAGTTAGTAAGCCTCGCCTTCTTCGTACTCTTCCTCGTAGTGACGTTTCCCGTTCGCGTTTTCAGGCGGCCGGTACTTCTCTTCGTCCTCGTCTTCGTATTTGACAGCGGACTGATCGTAGGGCTGTGCCGAATAACCGTAATCGTAATCTATAACCGAAACCGCGCTTTATCTAGGAGTTCGAAGCAGTGTTGCCACACCCCGAACATGACATCAAATGAAGAATTCTTACTAACTGCCAAGTATTTTGTGTCAACATACTTAGCATAAATGATTTATCATTTTCTCTGGCAACTTTTAAATACATAGTAAAGCTAGAACTATTTAATCATTCGTATAGTGAGAGTAGTAACTGTTAGCTCAATCACTTGTCCTTTCGATTATCAACTATGGTTTAGTCCTCTATTACCCATGTCTTGATATATATAATTAATTATACAGTAAACTCCCTATAGCGAAACTCTGTATAACGTAAAACCCTGTATTACGAACAAAATTTGTTGTACTATTAGGTCTCCATACAAAGCTATGTAAAACTAGCAGAAAAGTACCCTGCTGGCGACATTTTTAATGCTGACGAAACTGGTATTTTCTACAAAATGGCGCCAGTTAGAACTCTTAAATTTCGGAGAGAAAAGTGTGTGGTGGGAAACTTTCTAAAGAATGTATAACAGTGTTAGTCGCTGCCAATATGAGTGGGAGAGAAAAAAGTAAGCTAGTCGTGATTGAAAAATCAATTAACCCACGATGTTTTAAGAAAATCAAGCATTTGTCAGTCACTTACAAGGCAAACAAGTCTGCATGGATGACATCGCAAATTTTTAAAGAGGGGATACGGATATGGAACGCAGAATTTAAGAGGAGGAAAATATTACTTCTCTTAGATAACAGCCCTGCACATCCCCATATCCTAAATCTACGGAATATTGAATTGGCATTTCTTCCAGCCAAAATAGCAAGTGTATTACAGCCGGTGGATCAGAGAGTAATAAAAAGTCTCAAGAGTCGCTGCAGGAAAAATATTTTAATGGAAATGATTGAGTCCTAACACAAATTTTCCATTAATATGCTAGATGCAGTCAACTTTATTAGTAAAGCTTGGAAAGAGATGACAGCAGAAACAATTCAACAGAATGCGAACAGGACTTGGAAGATGATCAGCCACTAAGTGGATAAAGCAGTTTCAAACAATTACATTTACAGGATTTGCCTACAACAGCAGACTTGACATAAGACGTCATATTACAACAAGCAAGAAAGGGTGAGGAAGAGCACCAAGAGGAAGAAGAAGATGAAGAAGTTGATCTGGGACCACCAACAACCATTCAACATCATGGGGAAGATGCCCCTCTCGAAGAAATGGTGAAAATACGATGTACAAGTTATACTTGGTAAGAGGGTATTATGAACACTGATAAGTATGTTATTAACATGTAAATAAATAACTAAAGATGTACATTTGCTGTTATTTGCTTTCGTAGTATTTCAAGCTAACAATAAATCAAAATATGCACAATATCAGAGCTCAGACCTTCAAAGCTCAACTCAAATTGGCTCAAACCTACTTATGAAGGGGGCGCAGCTAAAGGAGGGGCATAAAGAGAGCATGTTTGTTCATTATCATTTAGCTCCGCCCCCCTCATACGATGTATAAGCGGGTACAAAGTAGGACCAAGAGGATTATTATGTCAGCAAGTACGACATATTGGGAATCCAGCCAGCCAGTGGAAGTGTCTTTTTAATACATTTTTATTAAAACGACCAAAGTTATGGTATGTCTGTTATGCGCTGCATTGAGAGAAGGCGATAAGGCTGAGGGAAAAGGTGAATATGTTACAGTTTATTACGAGGGAGCAGCGAAAGAGTGATTTTATCGTTAGATCTATAGGTCAGTAGGTGTGGCCACGTCGACAAGAACCCCGCCTTACCGTCCGCCGGCTCCTCTTTGATCTTAACCTCTCCGCCGTCGTCGGTTTTGATATACTCGAGCCGTTCACCCTTCTCCCTTTCCCTACGCTCGCGTCGTTCTCGTTTTCTCGCTTCTCTGTCCTTGTCCCTCGACTTTGAACGTCTACGTTTCCTGTCGCGCTCGCGATCCCTAAATAACAACCGATGTCAAACTATCGCCTTAATCGGGACCATCTGCACCCCTTATTTTTATTTTATCCCTTATTGAAAGCGTGCGCACTTGACGAGCAGTTAATAAGACTTAAAAAGTTTCCCCCCTAAATATTTTTGCCCTAAGTGAAACATCAACATCATAATGATCAGCTATCGGTGACGTCACGAGGTACGTGACAGTTATCAGCTTGACATTTTTTTCTGTCAGTTTTCAGTTATTTTTGGGTTGAAGGAAAAAGAAAATTCAAGAAAAACAACGAAAAATATGGCTAAAAGCCATTATAGTGTCTTGTTTCAGCTAGAGCAGGATATGAACAACTATATGGAATGAAAAATGGTACGAGTTTAAGAAAGAATGATATGTTTTTATGTTTTATATTTTAAGGAATGCGAGTACTTCAAACAAAAACAGATAGCAAATGTTCTGTGGCAGTACTAATCTACCTACAACTACAAATATTGCCCCATCTAAAAGGTAAAAACATTGGTTTATTTATAGTACCGAATCTTCTGAGGCTAGTACTGCATTGGAAGAAGTTTTACATAAACTGCCGTAAACAATCAAAATCAAACGCAGACCATAGACCAAGCGATATAAAATGAAGGCCACAATGCGTAACTTGCCTCCAAGTATCTCGTGACGTCATAACCAATAGAATAACGTATTTGTATAACGTCAAAATTAAAAAAAAACAGGCTAAATATATCTCCGAACACTCTGAATTAACATTTGCTACTATTTCAATATACTATAACTGTCATTGTCATTGCGAATCGTGCCTGCATCTTAAAACGCCATCTATTGACATAAACACAAACTTTTCTTTCGAATAAAAAAACGACACCCGGACATAATCTAACCTACAATTTTACTAGTTCCAGCACTGCTTCGGCCGCAACCGCTGTAGCAGGAATCCGGAAGATTTGTAAATAGTATTGCAGTAGCCTGTAGAAGTTTCTTAAAAAAAAAAAACGCGTTAACAGGGGTAAAATAACGTTATAAGAGGTGCAAAAAATCCTTAATCTTACGTCGATCCCCCACCTATCTCGGTCCTTCTCTCGGGACCTCCTGTCGTAGTCGTCAACCGATTCCGCCCTGACTCTGTCCTTGCTTCTCCTGCGTTTTTCCCTTCTTGGCGACCGAGATCTGCTTCTTCTTCGTCGCTCGCGCGACCTCGAGCGCCGCCGTTCGAACCCGGCCCCCGCCCTGTCCCGGTCGCGCTCCCTACCGCCCCCACCACCGCCGCCGCCGCCACCGCCTCCCGCGGTCAGACCGCGCTCCTCGCGTTCCCTTTCCAATCGGTAACGTTCCCGTTCCCTTTCGTTGTCCTCGCGGCCCGAGTGTTTAATGTTGACGTCCGCGCCGCCCCTGCGCGTCCCGCCCAGTCCACCACCTTGGAATGTCACGTGACGTCAACATACTTAACCTCTTTCTTATCTTTTGTAGAGTTTTACAGCACAGTTTGAGGGCCGGAGGATCCGAGTACTTTCTCGAAAGAGACTCACCATAAAATCATTCAAATTTCTACTAGCATATTCTCAATTTAACAAAAAATTACAGAAATGCCGACCATAGAGGTCCGAAATAATCAGTTTTTCTTAATCCCAACCCACACAACAAATGAAGATAAAGATAAAGAGTTTTATTTCCATAAGACTTGAATTACAAGTGTTGGATATTGTCAGTGCGTTCAATTTATATCGATAACATTTTAATTGGTAACAAAAAAACAAAATGTAGATTTAGTAGTCAAGTTTTTTTTAATGGAACACCCTGTATATAATATATGTGTTTAGTAGAATATTTTATTGCGATTACAATGATGTAACACACTTTATATTGTAGTCAAAGGTTTTACATAATTTCAAAGAGTGCCGTGACTAACTGAAACAACTATAATTATTTACGAATTAAAGTAGAACAAAAACATTAAAAATGACAAGACACTTAAGTAAAAAATTCTTTAACTATTCTGAATACAATTCTCATACACTCCTGGCAAGGAAATTTGCAAAAAACCGTAACGTTGCTAAAAAGGAATGCCGGAATCACAATGTTTAAATGAATAAAATAAGGGAGACATATTAGGACTTTATGAATCACATCCACTTTCCTCTATTACTGGAGTATATGAAGAGACAGCTATTTTTTCGGGGATCAATCCACTCCGTTTTGAATGAATATAAATATATTTTTATATAGACATAATGAGAATAACAATTTTTGGAAATACATTTTATCACGATCACTACAAGAAAGGGTTGTAATGGACAAAATACGCGATACTGGTCTTTAAATAATCCTAGACAAATACACGAAATAGTCCGATTTTGGGTCCGATATTTATAGATCAAAAGTTAAATGGAGATCATTATTTGCAACTCTTAGAAGCACCAAATAGAACAATATATCTCACTTCTGAATAATATTGTATAACGATGCGTTGATGCCTCGCTACTGTTATGTGTGTTCTTACTGTCGTGTCGACTCCCATATTAATATTAACATTTTGGAACACCAACATTTGTCATACTAGGATTGGGTCTTTATCTATCTGTTTCATTCTGTTTTATTTTGTTTTTTAACATTTTGTTTATGTGAATCCTATGTTATATTGTATGTTCGTTTAATTTGGTGTAAAGCAACTTTCATCAAAATTTTGTATATAAAACATGTCAAAAAAGGGCGGTTGCTGTACACAATTATAAAGCTTTTGGAGTAATCAACTAGAGTTTGGGATTTTTTTACCACAAATAACGTTGCAGCCCGTAAACTAAATGGGGTTTTCATTGGATGGGCGTCAAGACAGTTTATATCTAATCGCAATAGAAGTAACACTTGAGAGAGACACTCACCCAATCTTCTGGGCAACCAACCCTTGACGGTTCTGGCACGCTCGACATCCACCAGCACCCGTCTACCATCGATTTTCTTACCATCGGCGTGCTTGTAAGCCGCTGCAAAAACATCGTAGTCCGTTATCCCAGAGAGTTCGAGAAAAGCAAGCAAACACGTTTTGCATGTTGTTCTGTGAATTTTTTGAACGACTCGACAGTTTTGGTTAGTTTTACCGATTCCTTTCGGGAGTAACCGGGGGAACAACATGTAAAATCCGAAGAATTTTTATTATTATTATTTTTTTAATTTTCCTGTTGAAATTTTCGCGACAAAAGTATAAACGTGCGGCACGCAAACCGACACGATTATTAGTTTTGTTCGAAGATTTATCTACTTACAAGCCGTTTGCCTCAAATGAAGAGTAATATTATTATAGCCCCAGATATATACCGGGTGACACAATTAAGTGGGAACACACTATGAGATGGCGATTTGAAAATTGAAAGGGTTAATGCAGGCTGAACTTCCAATTTTTTGACAATATGTAGTCAATGGTTGCACTTCCGGTTTGAGCGGAAAAGACATCTACTTTCGAATTTTAAATGGCACAACCTATACTTTTTTGCATTTTTGGATTTGGGGTGTCATTTTTTTTTTTTTAATTTTGACATCAAAATTTTCAAAACCCGTTAAAAAATAAGTTCAAAGCAAGCAAAAAACCAGATAAGTAAATACATTTTTATAAAAACAAAATATTACTTAGGCGGCTTTGCTTCTATTCATAAAGTCTGATATACGGGGAATGCAGAAAAAACTCTCGGCAAGCCCGTGCATTGTATGCAGCCCGCTATCCGAGACGTCGCCTTCCTGCACAATATTTCTTTAGAAAGCTGGAATTTAAAATGGGGACAGCGGGCTGCATACATGCACGTGCCTGTCAAGAGTTTTTTCTGAAACTATTAACTTTTTTCCATTTGTAAATTGATTATTATTTCTCATGATAACGATAATCCAAATCGATAATCAGATGAAAATGTACAAATGATCAGAATTTTCCATCATGCCGACTTGATGATCGATAGAAGCAAAGCCACTTAAGACTAAGTTATCCTAAAAAATTAATAGTTAATTACATTAAATGCTACTTGCGTTTAGACAAGTGAAGAAAAGTTGCATTTACAATTTTTCCCATGATCAGGTGACTCGGTAAATATGATGGTCACAGCCTTCTAGACACAAGTTTCAAAAATTAAATAAGAATTAAAAAAAAAAAAAGAGAGAACCCGTCCTATTCTACGTAGAACGACCTCCTGAAGCCAAAAATGCAAAAAAACATAGGTAACATTTAAAATTCAAAACTAGATTTCGTTTCCGCTCAAACCGGAAGTGCAACCATTGACTACATTATTGTCAAAAAATTGTACATTCAGTCTATATTAACCCTTCCAAATTTCAAATGGCCATGGCAAGCCGTTTGAAAGTTATAGTGTTCCCACTTTGTTCTGTCACCCGGTATACATAACACACCCATTTCTTGGCACTATGTATACTTGACTTAGATGTCTAAGAATTTCTAGTTTCCGGGAACACAAAAAGTATAACGCCAATAATTGTATATATCATCTTATTTAATTTAATTTTTTAATCTTATTTAGTTTAATTTTTCTATTCTTTTTCATACTTCCACTAAGAGTGTTTTCCTTGGTGCACTTAATAACTCTTATAACATCAAACATAAAACAATACCTATTGAGTGGTCGAGAAGGTTTTACTACTCTACATTCTGAGGAAACAGACTATATCTATAATAGTGTGCTCTCTAAGAAAATAATCGAGGACAGCGGGCTTATAATTTTGTCGATATCAGTTTAAAGGAAAAACAAAAAGGGCTCTGAAGAAATAGGCATACGAATGAAATATACCTACCATTTTACTTACGTTAATGAAACATCAATTCATATTAAAAGACGTATTTTGAATATATAAAACATCCCGATCTGCTGAGGTAGGCTCCTTTATAATTTTACCTGTAGCGCATCTACTTACGTAGCGCTTACCCAACTAACTTTAAGATTAAATTTTTAAATAATTTTAGAAACCGAATTATTACTTTATATATGTGTTTTACTTTATTAAGAATTGTTTTAAACTTATTAACTATGCAAATACAAAAGTTAGATTTTTTCCATTTATTATACTGCAAAGATATCCTCGAGAGAATTTCTGAGATATTTGGGATTGAACGGACATGTGGCAAAGTTCCACAAAAATAAACAATTAAAAAGTTTTTCCAACTAAATTTGAAAACAACCCAATATTTTCAGTATTCAACAAAAAAGTTCTAAAATGAACAATTTCCGTTCAGCTTCACTTAATTGTAAAACCCAAATTTTTTTTTCTTTGTATGTATGGTTCTTACCGCACATACAAACCTACATAGCCAGCAATAAGCAGAGGAGGAGAAACGGCACTTAGCAGACCTCAACTTGAACTGTGTAAAGAAATAGAAACGAATTAATTCAAGGCTCTCGAAATGTTTTTTTTTACAAAATACTTGTCAATTTTGCTGGCTATATAAACTAGCATTGCGATTCAATATACCACGTCGCGCACTTAAAGACAAGTGCGGGTTCTATGTACGCGGTGGTATATGGAATTCATAAATGGTTGGCTCCGGGAAAATATACTCACAGTGCATGTCTCTCTCATGTTCATATTCAATAAAAGCATACCCCCTTGGTTTACCATTAACTGTGTTATGAATTAGTATAATCTAAAATTGCAAAAAGAAAATCAATGGTCATTTAAACTGAAGCCCCATCATTCAATTACCTTTTTGATGGGTCCGTAGACTTCAAACTCCCTTCTAAGTTTGGATTCAGATGTGTCATAGTTCTAAAACCAAATATCTGTCACCTTTTTTCCAATGAAACTTGACAATACACTTACGATACGGGCCACAAACAATGTCTTAAATGGGTCCGCTGTAATGTTTGGAGCAGACGCGGGGTCCCAAACGGCAATTTCTTGCTCCAATTTATAGGCGATTTGTTCAGCTTTTTCCCTGCGTCTTCTTTCCAACCTTTCTTCACGAGTTTCAACTCGTGTGGGCGGCGGGGTATCTTTGGGATCCTAAGTAAAGTGATGTAACTCAAATGCAAGAAAAAAATCTCTTCCAATACATACCTCAAACTCTTTAACAAAATCTCCAAGCCCCTGATAGCCTCTGGATTTTTTCTCGTGCGGGAGCTTTGCTACAGGTGGTAAATATGTAATGGGATCCCTTGGGGCGAACAGCGCCAATAAATTGGGTGGTAGGAACTGAGTCATATTTATTCACTTCGTTCGTCTCAGCGTCAGCAAAAAGTGAAACCAGCACTATTATAGTTTGTGTCAACTGGCAAACATCACTATGGAAATGTATTTTACGAAATCATTTAAAAATTCATTTTTTTCTTCAAATTTATTAGAAAATGTCACTGAGCGCCACGCTTGTTCACAACACTTCAAAAATGGCGTTGACTTGCTTGATAGCTTTTTTCACAGCACAAGTATTGGAAGTACGACTAAGTGCGGGGGAAAAATGTTTTTCAAGAAAAAACTTGAAATGAAATGAATTAATTAAACAATTTTCACATTACCACCAAAATCTTGTGTGGATAAAGTATAAGCATAATACGTAACTTCGATTAGAATTTTAATCTGTGCGACGTATTGTAACGTTATCCTGTATAAAGCATAGACAATGGGCACTGGTTAGTATGCGAATCATCTGTTATGTGTCAACTTACAAGATTTTCTAATTTCTTCGACAGTCTCACTATTATTCATCTACATTGAGATATCCAATATTATCGTTAATTATAAATCCTGGCAGACCTTTAATAGAAACCACGTCCAAATCACAGAACACCGAGAGAATTTCATTTGGCGATGAACCGTCTAATCTATTCCAAATCTATTCTGTGGTTTGATCTGTATAGATTTTGGTTGTGCATGTGTGTGGTGTTTTAAGGAAAATGGTTGTGTTTAATAATTAAAGTTCGTGATAGAAAATTAAAGATCCGATGATGGTCTTGGACCATTTAAAATTTAGTTACTGTGTAAAAACAAGCAAGACTTTAAGGATAATATCCAAGTGCTTACCTAAGAAAGCTTCAAACTCATTTGAAGCTTTCGAGGCCGTGTTCATGGAACTATGAACCTAGATTCGTTGTCGTTTACTTTGTCACAAATAAGTTATTTAATTGCAACATTAACGAAAAAGAACCAGAAGCAAGTTGTCGAGGAACTTTCGCAGGTGAGGAATTTGGGGGTTCTAACGAAAAACTTTGGGTAAGACGTAGTGACATGTCAGGCTGATCGCCATTTTCTTTTTTTCGATCAGCTTGTTGTGATAAAGCAGTTTTGCTTTATTATCGACTGGTATGCGGCTTAACGAACAAAGGTATTTATCCAGTAGGTCAATTGTAATTTTTCATTTCTTTCACTAAATAGCTTTATTTGTACTGTCACTCCGATTGTAGAACTCTTGCAAGCTTTGGTATTATTTTATTAATTACGTGGAAAGATTAAAACCCTTGGCGTTGTGTTGAAATCTATGACTATCAATTTTTGTTCGCTTGATGCGTTTTTTTTATTGTTTTGGGTTTGGTATGGATTTCCAATCCATCAACTCAGTTAAACACCTGCTGGGACCAGCTATTTTCTTAAAACACCGTAAAAAATATATACTGCTACCTACATGCTCACTATTATCCTGTCACTTCGATGTGGAGAATAAAATGATATATCGCAACTTAATACTGTTTGTTTAATTAAATATTCAATTTCACGTTATTTAGAAGTGTTAATTGAAAATGTATTGGCGTTCAAAAACTGCATTCGTTTAAAAGATACACACATGGGCATTATTATTATACTCACTTTTTTTCTCAGTTAGTGACGTTGCATGGTCTGGAGGCGGACCGTCACTTGCTTCAATGTCTATTCTCAGCAGTGGATTTTTCTGAATCTACAACAAAAGTATCAGTACAATCTCCACATAACCAGGTTCTCCTCAAACAGTGCTCGAAATTATTAAACAAGCCAGCGTTACTGACAGCGGTCTGTTATGTCACAGATCACCCTTTATTTAATGATAAGGTAAGGTTCGCTCAATTGTTGGGAAATATGTAGTTAATAAAGATCAAATTTATTATTTTGTGTGTGCTAATGATTATCAGGTATTTCGCGAAGTTTCTGTCTTCACACTTATTAAAAATTAGCTTTATTTGTCAAATTATAATTTTAAAAGGCGCCACCATCTTTATTAGCGTTTACTCTAAACCAAAACCTACCTTCACATAGTCTGTGCTTTGATTTATGTATGGAAGCTTTTGGGTCGGTTTGTAATCTGTACTGTACCGACTTGTTCAGGGACAAAGCAAAAATAAAACGAAAAAAAATATATAAAGTTCAGTTTTGAAAATACAATTTCAAAGTCAATTTCCTTTTAAATTCGCGTTGTGAAAAAGGGGTAACAATTTGTAAAAGTATTAAAATCCCATATTTTACTTAAGAAGTATTATTAGACCTTTTACGTTTTAAAGACGATTTTATTAAATCCCGCAAATTTAAAATTTGAGGTAAATCTGCCATTTTAAATTTTTACCAAGAGAAAAAGGCATTAAAAATTGCTAAATAATTTATCAATCCCAAAGTTAATCCGTTATAATTATTATAATAGTGTATTATTACTGAATTATACATAACCTAACGTGAACCATTATTTTTTATTTCTATTTTTTCTAAAATAAAGTCGCAAGAAATCGCACTTTTAGAAGAATGTCTTAGCTACAAAAGAGAAGATTTATTCTACTAAAAGTTTACATTTTATAACTGAAACATAACACTTATTTTCATTAAAATAAGTTGCCTCTACCTACAGGTTTTTCTTGCATATTAAACTAGGTTGAAATGTGGTTTGAAATTTTCAGGGGAAACGCACAAAATTGAGATAAATTTACAACAAAGCGATATACAATCCTTTCAGTAAAATAAACGATCCTTGCGCTCTTGCCCTGTTATGGCTTACTTTACAAATCTATTTTTTTTATATGAATGACTATGAATATATGAACAGAATTCGTGATATTGGTTTGAATTGAATTTCTACGGCTCTTTATAGAGCAGCTAATCAGTTCTGAAAGCATTTTTAGAATGATCAAACGATTGGTTTGCTAAACTAGAGATTGAGGTCTTTGTTTTTTAATCAAATTTTAATGAAATTTGGCACGCATGAACTATGTATGCAGAGGCATTTTTAATGTACTAGATTTTTTCTTAAATACACCAGTGACGGGAGCACGCAATTTCACCTGTGTATTTTGGCTGTCATTGATGGTACGCCACTGATTTCTCTTAAAATAAAAATTATTCTTACAATCGCCATTCATTTCTAAAGCAATTTAATTTCACTTTAAAAAATAAAAATCTCTTTGTGTGATGATCAATCAGTGGCGTGCCACCGAGTACCTATGATGAAATAATATTTGGGTTAATTAGGTCGCCACTGCACTGGTTAAATCGAGAACTTATTTTTGTGAAAAATAAAATATCTATCTAAAACAAAATATCTAGTTTTTAGTTGCCAAGTTAGTTCCTCAGAAAAAAAAACTGTTATTTTTGGTCTTACAGGTTTATAGCGTTATGTCTTAACCACAAGGTAAATAATAAACGATTCTTATAAAAAAATAACTACCTGCTATTAATAATTTATAAAATTGTCTGTTAATAAATTAAAACCAACCTTTTTGGAAAAAAAAGTAGAGCATAGAAATTAGATACACGCCTAATAAAAAATGGTACTTTTTCTAAGAATATCGGAAAATCCTCTTCAAAAAACCGGCAATAATTATGGCCATTTAGCCTGTGGGGCAGGGAAAAGAGTCCAATTAAGTAATTTCCAACAATTCCAGCCCAAACGTTTACTGAGAACTGTCCTTGATGTTTATACAACCGCGTGGAGGTTTTTATCGACCCAAATATGGTTATTGTGACAAATTTCTGATTGCATTTCTGGAAAAGTTAGCTTCATCTATTAATCGTGTTTCTTGGTCAATTTCGTCCAAAAACTATTATGGAAACTTAACGCGAAAGGGAAAATCTATCAGATGACTCGTTAAATATGATATGGGTATGGTGCAAATTTTTCCAAAAGCAAAACGTGCGATATATTGAAATTATTTCAATAGAACTTAACTGCTTCTTTAATTTATGGAATGCTTACAGTTAAACTTTTCGTGCATTCTATGCATTTATCGTGCATTCTATGCATTGAAGAAAAAAAAACTATATTTTTAAAATACACTCGAAACTCTATATAGCGAAATTGAAGGCAATGCTTTTTTTTCCTTATAAAGAGTTAGGAACATTCTATGTAAATAAATATTTAAGAACTACATTTAATGTTTCAAATAATCGGTCATTTTCTTTTGAATTTTTTTAGTATGCCAATACATATGTGGTACTTTACTCTCGTACAGGGCTTGTTGAATGGTGGTCCCAGATCAACTTCTTCATCTTCTTCTTTCTCTTGGTGCTCTACCTCGCCCTTTCTTGCTTGTTGTAATGTGGCTTCCTCTGTCAAGTCTGCTGTTGTAGGCAAATTGCTTGTAAACGTAATTGTTGTTTGAAACTGCTTCATCCACTCGCTTAGTGGCTGATCATCTTCCAAGTCCTGTTCGCATTCTGTTTCGGCATGACGATAGGAGCGTTGAATTGTTTGTTCCCAGCTTTACTATTAAAGTTGGCTGCATATAGCATATTAGTAGAAAACTTGTCTTCGGACTCGATCATTTCCATTAAAATGTTTTTTCTGTATCTACTCTTAAGACCTTTTATTACGCTCTGGTCCATCGGCTGTAATACACTTGTTATTTTTGCTGAAAAAAATGCCAAATCAATATTCTGTACATTTGGAATATGGGGATGTGCAGTTCAGTTATCTAAGAGAAGTAATATTTTCCTCCCCTTTAATTCTGCATCCCATTTCTGTACCTCTTCTTGAAAATTTTGCGAAGTCACCCATGCAGACTTGTTTGCCTTGTAAATGACCGGCAAATGCTTGATGTTCTTAAAACATCGTGGGTTAGTTGATTTTCCAAGCACGACTAGCTTTCTTTTGGCAGCTACTAACACTGTTAGTTTTGAGCTACTAGCACTGTTAGTTTTATCTGGCGTAAAAAATACCAGTTTCTTCAGCATTAAAAATGTCGTCAGCAGGGTACTTTTCTGCTAGTTTTGGCCACGTCTTCTCCAGCCAATCTACATCACGGGCTTCGCCACTTATCTGTCCATAATTTATACCATGTCTCTGTTTGAACTTCCCCAGCCATCCTTCCGAAGCATTGAAATCGATAATCCCAAGCTGTTCAGCAAACTTTTCTGCTTTTAGTTTTACGATAGGTCCAGAGAGTGGTACATTTTTAAGACGTTGCTGTTGGAACTACTGCAACATTGCCCTATCGAAATCTTCAAATTTTTCCGTAAATAAGTTTGAGTAAATAACAAAAAAGTTTTTAAATAATATGTACTTTTGTATATGCGTATTTTCAAAGTCTCTGCAATCGAATAATTTTTCGACGCGTCGCGACGCCCAGCTCTTTGCAGGCGTCGAATTTTTTAAACTTTAGGAAATATCTACTTGACCCCACACTTTGACTACTTTTTACATAAATTAAATATTTCTTGTCGTTTTGGACTTATTGGCGTGCGGAGTTTTAAGTGAAAAACCCTGTATATATATATAAAATAGTACGAGTCTTTAACTTAACTGCATATAGCCTTTAAATTATTAAAGTATTTGACGAGTTTATTTGACACTAGCGGAGTGATTACCGAACGTGTTTTTCTATTAATGAAATTAGTTTTCCAATATGTCCGCCGGTTGCCTATTAACTTTTTAAACCTTTTTGCATCTATTATTTTTACGAAAATAGTGCTTTTCTTTAGGCAATGAGCAATTTAAAATATTTTCTTGAAAGGCGCGGTGTCGCCACGTTTAGCAAAATGCGGTATTTGACTCACGAGTTTATTTGACACCAGCGGAGTGACTTAAAAAGTTTACCGAACGTGTTTTTCTATTGCTCCCAAACCCGCGCGGTAAAATCCCGGAAATGTCCGAAGTGGCTCGGATCCGTGGGAAATAAAACTGACACTAGATCGGTAGATAACTAGGCAATTTACAGTAGAAAAAAGTTTTTTTTTGGTAAAATTAATAGATGGAAAACGGTTGAAAGGGTTAGTAAGCCACTCAACAATGATGGTTTAAACATAACCGGAATTCTGAAGGTCATCATTAATAAGTTCAAAATGGAACATCACAGACGCAGACTCGTATTTATTGTTGACTTTTCTTTCTGAAAGGACTATCCATTCTATTTAAAAAAAAAAAGGTAATTTTAATAGAAACACATTGTGTATTTAATTTTTTTGTAATCCCCGGGCCACCTTGCACATTAGGCGAGCCTAACAAAACTGTAAAAACTTAGAAGTTCAATTAAGTCGAGTTGTGCTTTAGTGTGTGTAGGTGGCACTAAAAAAATCCTCTTCTAGGCGCTGAAGCTTGGTCAGCAATTGTTCCACCACTTGAGCAAGTTGCTTCGACTCACCGCCGTCCAGGAAGTGTTGTTCGCTCTCGCGTTACGTCACTCGTCCGTACCCGAAATCGTCTCGCAAGCCCAAACGCATTTACGGGCCACTGTCCCCCTATTGGTGCAATCTTATATAGAGACAGAGGGCAGTAGCCGCCAACACGAGGGCGGCCTGCACGAAACCTCGCCCGAAGTGTTACATTTTATATTGTCCGCGATTTTAGAAGCGCCGAAAGAGGTCGGACTCACCAACGGTACACACACCACGTTCTTGAATACATTGCAAAAAGACTTCCCTAAGGGCCGCGTTCCCGTTGTTTTAGCGCCTTTAGTATATCCGGAACAGTGCGAGTTAGCTCCGGACATGTCTTCGGAGGGTGCGGGTTTGACGGGGGGCGGTATGTTGGATACGTCCCTCGCGGATATGGTCAAGGAAATCGGTTACGGGTTCACGTCGTCGCTGGACGAGTGCCGCAATAATTTGATAAAACTCGGCGGGCGGGACATCGCACCTTCGACGGTTGCTAGAGTGCTAGCGGTCATGTGCCGCACGCACGGCACCTCCTCCGACGATTCCCTCGCGAATTTTTCGAACAAGGGCTCCGCGTGGAACACCGACGTGTTCGTCCAAGCGCTCAAAGAGGTGTCGCCCTCGTTACAATGGAACAACGTGGTCGCCGAACTCGATCATCCCGAATTCGCGATCAAAGATCGTCAGGGACTTATAGTGTTGATAAGCGCGCTGAGGCAGGGTTTCCAGGCGCTCGGTTTTCATCCGGAAACGTTTCCCGTCGATCATTTCTACAAGCGGTGGACGAGTGTCGACGGACAGTTCGGTTTGATACAGACGATATTGAAAAACTCGGACGTGTTTTGTTTCGCCGATTATCCGTGTATATCGGTCGCCGTTGACGTGCTGAAAACGCCCCCGGATCAGGACGGTAAAGAGTTGGCGAACTGGCGCTCGCTGAATCTCGTCGAATTGCTCCTCAGCATGTCCGAATATGGACTGTATAATCACGTGCAGGAACTGTTTAAGGTGCCGATGCACGGTTGCCCCGATGTCCTGGTGCTGGCGCTCTTGCAGGTCTCGGGGCCGGTAACCCTGTTGCGTCAAGAGTTGTTGACGAATTTAATACCGCACTTCTTAGGTACGCATCCGAATTCCGGAATTATACTGCACCACGCGTGGCACACGCAGAACATAAATATCAAGCCGGTCATAATGCACGCGATGGCCGAATGGTACGCGCGCGGCGACTGCGATCAGACACGGTAAGTAATCGACATTGTCCGTCACAAACAAAACTTCTGCGTCGGTTTTTCTTGGGTCTTACTTGCCGACCATCCTGTTTGACTTCAGTGCTTTACTCTGTACCTGCTTATGTATGGTTCGAGGAGGGCGGAGTTCAACGAGGGACCTAAACATATTGGTGACAGGTATAGAGTTGAATCGAGGTGACGATTAGGGCGCTTATAGATTTCTATAGACTCTGGGATTGCCCTTTGGTACAAAAATTGATTACTTGCAAGAACTGCTGACGAGTTTATCTGTCTTATTCTTAAGACGCTTTCATGTTCTTCGAGCCAAGTTGAATTTTAGCTTCGACGCATCGCGAGATTTTTGGACAAATGGTAAATCTGGTTTTGACGCTATCTTTCTTTAGAACTTTTGATATGTGGTCAGTGAATGTAAGGACAAGCCTCGTGCTATTGGAAGGTTGTGGTGAAGTGTATTTTGTGATGGAACGCTTAATATCTTTAATGTGGAAATTACTGGAGAGAAGAGCAGAGGTAGGGTGTTTTAATTCGGTGTTCAGTGACTCGGGCTGAGATCGTTTTATGGCTCGGTAAACAAGAGAGTTGATAATAGATCGATAATCGGGCCGGACGGTGATGTGACAATGATAAGACTATCTAAGAATGGGTAAAACGTATGTTAGGGTGTATAGAGTTCAAATGTCCAAGAAAATATACTAGGGATTTCTGAACATTACGCCAAATAACAAAAGTATCATCGACGTAGCGTTTCCATAATTTTTGTTTTAGATGAAAGGTGTCGAGAGCTTTCTTCTCAAGGCCTTCCATAAATATTTCGCAATGACTGTCGATCAAAAATTTAACCGTTATAAGGAAAATATGTTCCAGACAAGCATTTTTGATGGTTGAGATGGTTTGGTTCCAGATTCTCGGATTTTAATATATCCGAAATGATGTTGAGAGTTTCCTGAGTAGGGACTTTAGTAAATGGAGATTCTACGTCGAAACTAACCAGAATATCTTGTGGAATGCTTTTTAAATGTTCATCGGAATGAACGGAATTAATTACGAAACTATCAGTTTTCCCTGTAAAGGGTCTTATAATTATATCTTCAATCTATTCCTGATATTCAATTGTGTTCATGATCACCATTTCCTTTATCTGCTTTTAGTATTACGATGTCGGGATTAGATTTTAGGGCAATGCGTTCATTCTTTGCATTATTAGATTTAGGAGGTTTTGATTTTTTAAGGAATTTTGCCGTTTCAAATCGAATTCCATTAGCTGTTTGAGATGGCAGTTTGTTTAGGATAGACTCCTCTTTTGGAATAATACGTGGGGCAAGGACAAAGTTGGAACCTTTTGAAACAACTGTTGAAAAGAATTTGATGGTTTCCCTAGTGTTGACGTTGGTTTTTCAAAATTCTGAATGTGATTCTGGGTAGAAGATAAACGAAGATTTAAAGCTTTGTCATGAATCATGTTTGAAAGGGTATCGAACTCTGAAAAGGACAAAATGGAAGCAGTCTCAAGGTGGAGAAACAGAAAAGTCTTATTGTATTTTCTTACGGGTATGATGAACTCTTTCTCAGAGTAAAGTAAAACTAGATTTTCGAAGAATTTTATAAGCGGATCAGGTTGGGGATAACGTTATGGTCTCTACAACATAACAAAAAGCTCAGTGTACAGAGTAATCAACAAAAACCGACGTAGGAGGAATCCAAAAGCTTAGTATTGAACAATTGAAATATATAAGTTTTTTCTAAAACCTTCGCAATTTAATGGGGACGGAGATCCCTGCATTTGAAAAACGGTTAACGCTGGAATAAACAGTCGATCGGTGTGACTTGAAAAGTTTTTTTTATCTCCCTCCGCAGTTTGTCCCGCATACTGGACGTGGCCCAAGACCTGAAGGCTTTGTCGATGTTACTTAACGCTCAGTCCGCGCAATCCTACCCATTCATCATCGACCTCGCGTGTTTAGCCTCCCGTCGGGAATACCTCAAGCTGGAAAAATGGCTGTCGGACAAAATCAACGAACACGGCGAGGCATTCGTGACGGCTTGCATCAAGTTCCTGCACCGCAGGGTGCCGCAGATCGGCAAAGCTGACGACTCGTTGACGAAGGTTGTACCCCTTCCGACCGAAACCCTGTCGACGATGATGCTGTGCCTGCAACGGTCCATGACGAACGTCAGTCCCGAATGTTCGGATGCGATAGTGGCCCTTATCACTAGCTGCACGCTATTTTTGAAATCGCGGCAGCAACAACAGCAACAGCCCAACGCGCTACTGAGGGGCAGGGCCATGGAGGCGGGCATCAATCCTTCAGTGTTCGCTAGTCAGTTGTACAATCACACGGGGGTCGATCCTATTCAAAGTTTGGGGACCAGTTTGGGCAATATCAATTTAGGTGAGCGAGTGCGGAAAACACCGCAAGAGCCCGCATATGTTATTCATTGTACAATTGCTGCACACAGCAACACCTCATAAGTCACGAGGGCCGAGGTATGAGTCATCGCGTTAATTATTTAAAATGCTGGTGCTTAGATTTGTTTTGGTTAGTTTCTACTGCAGAGGAACAAAATTACATTTTTTTCTATATAAGTATGGGCTGTGATTCACCGTTTCGGGTTATGTTTAAATCATCATTGTTGAGTTGCTCAGTAACTTTTTCAACTCTTTTCCATCTATAAGTTTTTCAAAAATAATGCTTTTCTTTAGGCAGTGATCAAATTTCAAATATTTTCTAAAAATACGCGGTGTTGCCACGTTTCGCAAAGTGATACTTTTCTCAATTATGTTAAATGAGACACCCTGTATATTATTGGAATAGCCACTTTAATAGGAATTTAAGTTAAAGACAGACTTTTCTGAGGCGTCTCCGTTCATATTCAGTCTTATTCCCGGGTGCTTTGGATTTCTCTTGGATTTCCATTTTTTGTATTTTTATCATTTTCCTTGTTTGATTGCCTGGTTCGTCTTTGAGGATGCGCATAAATATGCCTGGTTTTCCCAAAAGATATGTCAAATATATCCTTTTTGTACTTTTATGTCCTTTATTTTTGACATATATTGTTTAATAAATTAGTGATTTATACCTATACCTAACCTATATTAAAGCATTATGTTAAAAATTATTTAAATTTTTGTTTTTATCACTTCATATGCCTTTTGTATTTGGAGAACGTCCTTTCGACGTCGACCGAAGTAATTTGCGCGTATTTAAATGATGCAAGATGTTCTAGTCCCAAATAATGTAAATCAATATCAACTAATGGTAAAATTTTCGAAATTTTAAGTAACTTTTGAAACCCTTCATTTTTTGTTGGTACACTATTAAATTTATCGAGAATAATTCCCCCTATTCTGCTTGGAACTTTTTTCAACAAACGTTCGCACTCTTCAACCATTGAAATTGACTCTAACAAAGACATTTGTTGGGTCTCTAATTTTTTAATGAAGTAACTTTAAAAACTTAAACTAGCTTTGATATATGTCAGCTTATCTATAAATTCACATTTTTCATATAAATTTTTAGTTTTTTTAATTGAATTAGCTGAATCTGAAAAGTCTAATACAATGTTTTTTATTTGTTTCTCTAGAAACTTGAACTTGAAGAGGTGCTTTAATAAATATTTTTTTTACGTTCGAAATTAAAGAATTAACTAATGGAAACTGACATCTAATTTCCTCAGCAACTCTATTTATTCCAAGCCGTAAGCAAATCACTGGGGTTAAATTTTTATATATTTTTATATTATAAATTTAACCCTGCTTTAGTCATGTACGGTGCTGCGTCGGTGACTAAGGGAAGTATTTTATCAGTTGATAGTATATCTCGAGCAAAAGCCATTAATCTTTCATTTACAAATCAAACAATTTCTATAGTGTTAGTTTTTTTCCAACTGTTTTGTACTTATTAAAAAAGATTTCGGTAAAACATTTTCATTCAAAACAGCAACTAATGAATTCGTAACATAGCGATCACAGGCATCTGTTGTCTCGTCTACAATAATGTAAAGATGCTTATTTTTAATATGATTTCTTATGTCTTGAATTACATTTAAATGGAACTTACATAATTTTTTTCTTAGTGCACTTTCATGAGGCACATTTTTGTTGCAAAATGTTTCTAAAAACTATTTAAATTTAGTGTTCTGTATCTTATTAAGGGAAATATTTGCACTTAAAAGTGCTTCACATAACTGTAAATTAAAACCGTCTTGATCAGTTTTTCTTGAAGCTGCCGCTGAAATGCATGCTTTATTCTCTCCCATCCACTTTTATGTTTTTATGTTTATTTGTGATTTTTTTCCCTTAGGTTTGAGGGCTATAAATAGAACGTCCACAATATTGCAGGTGCATTTCATTTTTAATCCCAGTAATAAACTAATGAATGGGACAAAAGTATGCGATTTTATGCTCGAAAAATATAAGTTATTCGCTATATGTACAACAACCAAAAATATGTAATAAAGCTTCATTTTGTGCGAAATATGTAATTTTTTTATATCGTTATTCTAATTATTTCATTCTAAAACGCAAAATATTGGGTTGATATTCCTAATAATAAAAAATATGTTTTTTACAAAAAATCCCAACTTTAATTATTATTATTATTATTATTATTATTTGTACCATAACCTATTTGTTAGGTGGACCTTTTTCAATAAATATATATGTTCAGGTCCCACGAGCACCGCCTTCAACTTGCAAGGCGGTCTGGGGCCCCTGGTGCAGTCCCCGGGCTCCCCGTCGCGTCTCATAAGCGGCCCCTCCAACAGCCCGTTCCCCCTGATGCCGATACAGCATCAGGGCCCCGTGGGGGCGGGCTCGTCGTTGGTGCTCGGCGTGAACCAGATCGGCAACCTGGGCCGGATGGGCGGTCCCGCCTCCGGCATCGACAAGGCCCGCATATCCGAGTACAATTTGTTCTCGGACGGGGCGGGGCACGTTTCAAAAGAGATCGAAGACGAAGCGAACAATTACTTCCAGCGGATTTACAATCATCCGCCTCATCCGACCCTGTCCATTGACGAAGTACTCAGCATGCTGAAACGGTTCCAAGACTCGCCGAGCAAACGCGAAAAGGAAGTGTTCAATTGCATGCTGCGCAGCTTGTTCGAAGAGTACAAGTTTTTCCCTCAATATCCGGACAAGGAGCTCCACATCACCGCGCAGCTTTTCGGCGGCATTATCGAACGCGGCATCGTAACGTCCTACGTCACCCTCGGGTTGGCGTTGCGCTTCGTGCTGGAAGCGTTGAAGAAATCGGAGGGATCGAAGATGTACTATTTCGGTATCGCGGCCCTCGACCGCTTCAAAAGCAGACTGAAGGAGTACCACAAGTACTGCGAGCACGTGCGCGCGATTTCGCACTTCAGCGAGTTCCCGCAGCATTTGCAGGAGTACGTCGAGTTCGGTTTACAAGGTGGGTATACTCAGACCAAAAATATAGTGCTTTTACAATCGACCCAATATGAGTATCAGTTTAGGATAGTAAATAGTATTGCAGTAGTCTTTAGTTTCCGAAGACAAATGGATGTCAAATGTCAAATATATGCTTTTTTCTGCCATCTATGGACTTTTATGCCCTTTATTTTTTACATGTATAGTTTACTGAAAATCAAGGAAAGGATAGTCAAACAAAAAAAATTACAACATAATATTTACAGTTTTTAACATAAAAAATTAATAGATAATTAGGAGCATTTATTAACATTATTTAATAATAAATTAGTGATTAATATCTATATACTTATACCTTACTTAAAGCATTATTGTTTATTATTTATTTTTACAATCAGATCTATTATTATTATTATGCCAATTGACTATTAAATGCCGTTCTAAATTTTCTATGGTTAATTTTTGTCTTTTATCGCTTAATATGCTTTTGTACTTGGAGAACGTCCTTTCGACGTCGACCGAAGTAATTGGCGCGAATTTAAATGATGCAAGATGTTCTGGTTCCACATAATGAAAATCATTGTCAACTAATGATAAATTTTTTGAAATTTTAAGTAACTTTTGAAACCCTTCATTTTTTGTTGTTACACTATAAAATTTATCAAGAATAATTTTCCCTATTCTGCTTGGAACTTTTTTCGACAAATGTTCGCATTATACTACTATTGAAATTGACTTTAACGAAGACATTTGTTCGGTCTCTAATTTTTTAATCACGCCACTTAAAAAACTAAAATTGGGTCAATTTTGTTCTCGAAAAATATAAATTTTTTATATCGTTAATCTAATTATTTCATTCTAAAAACAAATGTTTTTTACATCAAATCTTAGCGCTAATGATAATAATGAATAAATGCGGATAAAACAACAACGGGAACCTTGCAGGAATGGAACCGCCTAGTAAACCCGAAGGTTCCGTGTTGCCCGCCAGTTTGGCAACTATGCTGGCTCCTCCGAATGTTGCCATTTCGCAAGTGTACAAAACGACGTCGGTGGCGGCGAGCAGCACTCCGACGTCGAGCAAAACGAGCACCACCACGGCCAACACTCTGAGCAGCAGGCCGTCGATAGCGAACGCGACCAACATAGACACCTTGCTCGTGGCGACGGAGAAGGAGGAGAAGGCGACCGCGCCTCCCGAGGCGTTGCAAGACAAGATCGCCTTCATATTTAACAACCTGAGCCAGTTGAACTTGAAGACAAAATGCGACGAGTTGAGGGAACTTGTTTTGGAGGAGTACTACCCTTGGCTCGCCCAGTACCTCGTCATGAAACGGGCGTCGATCGAATTCAATTTTCACGGTCTCTATTCGAACTTTATCGACACCATCGGCATGCCCGATCTCTACAAGATGGTCGTCAAGGAGACGTTCAGGAATATCAGGGTCCTTTTGAGGTCGGACAAGGCCATCGCCAACTTTTCGGACAGGTACGAACTGACATCCCACTAACAATTCCTGTTCGATGATCGGTCAGTCACATCTTACTATTTACAAATCTTCCGTTGGTTTCTTCGGAGCTTCACCGAACTCGGCCCGCGTGCTACCCAGTATTCGTTTGTGTACCGCCTGAGGGGGGCGGAGCCAAGGGAAAATTATCTCGGATGACTCGGTTACCGTTAAGATGTTTCGGATCTTTATATGGGCCATTCATTTTTGTTGTATATTGTTATGTACAAATATACAGTAGGGAAGAGGCAAAAGATTCTCCGCTTAACCTCTTAAATGTTTAAATTATATAAATATATATTTGAGAAATTAGCAGTTTCAACCTAATCTATTTTTTCAAAGAATTTATTTTTGAACGTGATTTTACCGAAAGGTAAACGATATCGTGGCAGCGAAACAAATTGTGGTTCAGCAACATCATCGTATAGCAAAGTAACGATTTGTTGTATGTTGTTAAGGTAATATTTAGAAAAGTTCAAACTTCGACTCCTTGTACCGTAAAATTGAAGTCTCTTCAAAAGCTTCAATAGCTTCCAATACCTTTATTTCTATAATTGCTTTCAATGTTGATTTGCCCGAAAGGTGAATCTCCTGAAAAATTTTATTTTTATCAAAATACAATACAATTCTTTCATTTACCAAAGCCTCATTTAGGGGCGAGGCCTAAATCTGTTGTCCAAACAATGCGGGCTGTTTTCTAGATGTCGTTGTTGTTGGTGTAGGGGACCTAAAGTGTTTATTTTTCTCCAAATTGCAGGTCTTTGCTGAAGAATCTCGGCCACTGGCTCGGTATGCTTACATTGGCCCGCAACAAGCCGATTTTGCAAATCGAGCTGGACTTGAAATCGCTACTGGTCGAAGCCTACCATAAGGGACAGCAGGAGTTGCTCTATGTCGTTCCTTTTGTGGCTAAGGTTCTGGAGTCGTGCGCGAAAAGTAAAGGTAGAGCCTCCCGTTTCCGTGGCCGCTTAGGTTTTCTCGAAACAAAAAAAAAAAATGGTCGTTTGCAGTTTTCAAGCCGCCGAATCCATGGACGATGGCCCTAATGAACGTGTTGGCCGAGTTGCACTCCGAGCTCGATCTCAAATTAACCTTGAAATTCGAGATAGAGGTGCTGTGCAAAAATTTGGAAATCGATGTCGCCCATCTGAAAGCGGCGGTCTACTTGAAGGACCCGCACAGGGTCAACAAGATCGAGTACCAACTCTCGCCGATCGTCAAGAAAGAGACGGGAGGATCGACGAGTTCTAGTCAGATCGTTAACATATCCGACCCGGAACTGGCGAACATTATCCCCGGACAGGCTACCAGCTCCCCGGTATGGGCGGTCCAAAGATATTATTTTAGGAGGGAACCTTATTCTAAAAATGGGCGTGTCTCTATTGGGAGTACGCTATTCTTAGTCTCCAATGTCATTGTGTCATCATATCATTATCGGGTGTAACGTTCTTGTTTTCAAGTGACGTGGCCTTTAGCCAAGTCTAAAAAAATGAACTGAGGTGGCTTTTACTTGATGAAAATCCATTTATCAAAATAAATAAGAACTAAAAGTTCAGATTTTCACGAAATTATATATTATGACATGACAATTGTTTCTACAACACCGTGTCTTTATCAATCAATCAAAAATACATTGGATAAAGACACGGTGTTGTCGAAAGAATAATATATAATTTCGTGAAAATCTGCACTTTTAGTTCTTATTTATTTTGAAGTCTAAAAAAGGCGAGGTCTTAATATATTTATGAAAACTTCACTTTTTTTGTGGACATTGTGAAATGTCAACTCTACCCGATTGGTGAATGAAATCCATCCTATTTCAAACTATCCACTTATTAACTTTATATTCAAATTTAACTTTCCAAGAAATAAATGGAATTTACACACATCGAAACGTCAATCGTGCGCCCTTAGGCAGTTGATGACCAAGACACGCCCACTGATGCGTCGTGAATTGTAATAACAACCTTGAAAATTCGTGTTTCAGGTGATAAGGGTTTGACTTGGCATTACGTAAATAAAAATTGAACAGTGGCCGTAGGGCTTGGATTGATTTTATAAAATTTATTGACAATATTGATACACCTTCCTTTATTTACAAGAGGAAAAATAAAAACAATTTTAATATTTATCATACAAAAAATATACAAAAGGGAGAGGGATTTAGCTGCGTCTTTTTTAAATCAACCTTCCAAGTCCTGAGGAAGGCAAAGGCAAAATTGGAAAACGATTGAATGATTTATGTCCCTTTTTTAATAAACTTACGTTTAAAACAAAACGTGACGCAACAGGCCGAAGGGATTTTACTACTATTTTGAAGCATCAATAACAAGAAAGAGGTTTGAAATTATCGGTTCCACCGTACTAACATAAAGTGAGTTGGAGTTCTAAAATCATATACACCGTTTCATCAACTCCATGTTTGTAGACAGTACTCAAACAACGGGACTTTCAACATGATTCACTATAAGTTTGAAAAACAAAAGTTATTGAACTAAACATTAAATCAAAAAAGTGTCGATTTTTTTTTAGTTTCGATTACGGAAATCCGATTTTTTTTTTTTAGTTGATTAATTTAGATAATTTATTGCTCAAAAAAAAATTAAGAGTTTATATATGACAAATTATGAAGCTGATGATTATCACAGAAACTAATCACCGAAAGAGAGAAGTCAAATCATGCAATCTTTGACTAGGTATCTTAGAAAATGGTAAATTCCTTGAAGCTGTAAAAGGATTGCTTTATTAAAAAGTCTTTGACCAAGTTTTTGAACGTGTTTATTGGGAGTTGACTTGTTTCGAGCTAAAGTTTATTTAAAAAAAAAAATGGATGCCGTACTAATATGTTGTAGGCCAAAAACTAGCCACACTCAGTTTATCAGACTAAAGCAAGTGGGAGCCAATTGGAATATGATATGCTGTCAATCATATGTTCCAATCTACATTGCCCTTTAGGCTACATAGTAGAAAAATTGCTCCGTGGTGGTGGTAAATTAATTCCCAAGAATTTTTTGGACTTTGTCCATTATTTACTTCGTCAATGTACATTTGAAAGAAGATTAAAGAAACTGCTTTCCCTTCGTTAAGGGTTATTTCAGAGTTAGCTTCAGTAAATTTCTTTTTTTATTTATTAAGCAAGTAGTGTCGTCAGCAAACCATTCAAAAGGGCTTCAGCAAGGTCGATATAAACGTGAGTGAGTTCATAAAATAATACAGTGTTAAATTTCCATTTCTGGAATGCTTCTGTAATGTCTAAAACTAAATTGAGAATGCCTGAAACAATGTTTTTATTTCTTCTGAAACCAAACTGATTATTAGTAAAAATGCCATTAATTTTTTAGCTATACAATTTTTGAAACAATTTTAAGTAGGTCAATAATTTTCAACAAAATCATTACCTTTTTTAAATACTGGTATTACAAGAGCTTTTTTTAAAATGTCTGGAAATGTGGTGGATAAATTAAAACTTATAAGTTTTTTGAGAGGCAGTAATATTTCATTCTTGCCGTCTCGACTATTTTTATTTTAAGTTCAGCAAGCGCAAAATGAGATGGTGGTTCAATTTTCTCCAAATTTGAAATGGGATCTATATTTCACTGAGCTATATTTGCAAAAAAATGTTGAATTCATCAGGAGTGATGAGGGCTTTCCTGTATGGATTGCTCTATTGTTATTTATAATATCCCACATGCATTTATTTTAGCTTTTCTTATTGCAGCTCGATAAAGCTGCATTGATTAACCAATTCGGAAAATGGCGAAAGTTGTTATCTCATAACACGTAAAATGTCATTGAATCAATTAATGTTATTAGAGTGGTCAGAATATAAGCAAATTCCAAGACATCCATAAAATTACCAAATTAAATTGTTATCTAAAATAACATCCCACGATGTACCTGATATGAAACTGTGAGATTGGTCAGTCCCTTCTGTGTGATCGGCCTGCACATTTTTTTTGGATCTGTGCCAAGTGTCAGGTAATAACTGAGATCGCCAGATCTAATTCACTGATCTGCGGAAATTTTTGCTCGGAACTTATTAAAATGTTAAACACGCATCTCATCTGGTCGCCACATACACCGTCTGTTAGCTAAAAAAATCAGTAAGTCGAAGGGTATTTGTTTCGTTGGTGTTATAATGCACACGAAAGTCTCCTGCTGTTATAAGGTTCTTTCTAGCGTCAAGAGATTTTAAAACTTTTTCTATTGCTTCCAAACAGGCGTCAAATTGGCCTAACGGCGATCTATATACAGTGAAAACAAACAACCTTTCAAATACACAAACACACACACATACACAGTTTGACAGCATCGTTTCTGTGATTAGATCGTGCAGAACGCGAGCACCACGCCCACCTCGTCCCTGACCGCCCCACCGGAGCCCCGTTTCGGCTACAACGACATCCAGATCAACGGAATGGGCGCGTTCCAGGTGCACACGGTGATATCGCCGTCGATTTTGCTTTTCCAGACGCAGCCCCAGCTGAAGCCGCTGGTCAGGACGGCTATCGAACGCGCCGTTCAAGAGTGGATCGCACCAGTCGTCGACAGGTCGATAAAGATCGCCCTGCAGACCTGCGAGCAAATTATCAGGAAGGATTTCGCCTTGGAATCGGACGAGGACAGGATGCGGATGGCCGCCCATTATATGGTGAGCCGTTGTGAAACGCTGGTCGAAAACAGCCGACTATAATCCAATCCCGAGTTCGATCGCCTTCCCACCACTTTGAAATTTGGATTACTGCTTCTATTTTGCGTTATTATGTTCAACACGTAAATATTGCGTGACAAAGTGCCGTTTCCTGACGTTTCCACAAGCTGCTGCAATAATCAATACCTGCTTATATATGGTTTGAGGTGGGCGGAGCTAAAGGAGGGGCGTCTCGAATATTGCTTGCTTATAGATTTCTGTATAAACCACAAGATCGCTTTCGAAAAATGGTCGCTGGGTGGGGCAAGTTCGTAACGCGTAGCGCGAAGCAGCGTTTTATTTTAAAAAGAAGCCGCTTCGCGAAAACCTTGGAGCAGAGAACGGAGAAACAGAAAGAAACTGTTTTTTTCGACGCTGATTCGATCTGTACCAATGACGGCCCTCTATGATCTACCGTTCAGAGATCTCGAGTTTAGTGAGGAGCGCGTATACTTTCGAAAAATTCGATTTCATCAATTTTTTCGAAAGTAACAAAAAAAAGTGTACAAATGGAATGAAATGAAATGCTGTTGTTAATTCCAGGGGTTAGAATCATATCCTTTGCAAGTGATACTGCTCTCCTTTTTGATGGCAATACGATCACTACTTAACAAAAATATTGCAACACTGACCAAAATATTTGATACAGAACGTAAACAATTAAAAGACAAGTTTTGAACTAACTGTTGTAAAGTCAAGAGAATACTGTTATGTTTATGATGTTAACGCATAAAATGAATTAAAAAAAAAAACTAAATTTATGATATTAAAAAAATATATATATCGAAAAATCTAGACACTCCAATGTCGACCAACCTACTTGTCGGTATTGTAACTTATAGTTTTATAATGTAGATCGAGCTATTTCTGATTAAAAAATTCGAAATGCCTGACGAGCTCCCGTTTTACATATTTTAGAATGTAAAGAAAATGCAGCCGGTGGCGTTATTATTCGGAGCGTTACTTCACTCAAAAATTGCTACGCGCCATGACAAGTTGCCATGACGCCTCGTCTCAAATGTCAACAAATTCACTTTGAGTTCCCAACAAAAATATATTTTCAGCGTTCGGTTTCAGGTTCGTAACTTGACCGCAGGCATGGCGATGATCACGTGCCGCGATCAGCTTCTAACCGCCATCAGTACCCACCTGAAACAGGCTTTGAACGCGAACTTGGTCACGCCCAGCGGACAACAGAAAGACATGATCGAACAGGCCGCCAATATCGTGGCCACCGATAACATGGAGCTCGCGTGCTGCTTCATACAGAAAACCGCGGTGGAAAAAGCGATACCGGAGATCGACAAACGATTGATAAGCGAATACGAGCTGCGCAGGATGGCGAGAAAGGAGGGCCGGTGTTACTGCGACGCGATCGCTCTCACTTATCAAGTCGAACGTATGCCGGAACCGATCCGACTGAAAGTGGGCGGACTGACGTCCACCCAGATGGCGGTTTACGAGGAATTCGCCCGGAACATACCCGGATTTTTACCGAACGAACGTGACGCGTCCCTATTGATGCAGAAAACTGCGATGACGCCGCTCGAACCGCAGCCCCACCCGGCCACGCCTTTCCCCCCCGTCGCTCAGACGACGTTGCCGAGCGACGATATGACGCTGCTGTTCGAGAAGCTGACGGCGGAGGTGGAGCAGTTTATCCAGCTGACCGGGCAACAGGCGCAGTACCTGCACATGAACAACAACATGGTCGTCATACGGGACTGTTTCGTGCACTTTTTGAGGAACCGAGACGTCACGCCTCCGCAGGCGATCGTGCAGAAGGTCAGTTTCGCGATAAAACGTTTAGCTGTGTGATCCCTTGGATGATCGGTTTACAACATTTTTCTTCCAATATCATTGTATATTTGCAAGTCAAACGGCATACGGGGCAGGGCTTGTTTCTAAAATCGAGCAAAATGTTATTCTAAAACGTTGTTTTCTTTTTCAATAATTTTAAATACTGTTTTAAATTTTTCAAAATCAATTTAGCAAATTTTTGTTCCAGTCCCGTCGTATATCGCAAGTCGCGGCACACTAGGGTAGGACAAAAAATACAAAAATTAGGCAAAAATAGACTACCCTTGTTTCAGAGAATTAATCCAAATCTTATTAAAAAAAACTTGTTTTTTGTCCTATAATACTAAATAAATAAATAAATCAATTTAGAACAATTTCAAACGGCATACAGTTGTTTTTTTTTTCCAATAATTTTAAATACTGTTTCAAATTTTTCAAAATCAAATCAGTTTAGCAAATTTTTGTTCCAATTCCATCGTATATTTGCGAGTATGACAAAAAATACAAAAATTAGGGGAAAGTAGACTTGACTTCCCCTGTTTGAAAAAATTGAGCAAGATGTTATTTAATTTTTTTTTTGTTCAATAGTTTTGAATATTGTCTCAATTTTTTTGAAGTCAAATCAATTTAGCAAATTTTTGTCCCGTCGTATATTTGCGAGTATGACAAAAAATACAAAAATTAGGGGAGAGTAGACTTGTCTTCCCTTGTTTCGAAAAATTGAGCAAAATATTATTTAATAAAGTTTTTTTGTTCAATAATTTTAAATACTGTCTCAAATTTTTCAAAATCAGATCAATTTAGTAAATTTTTGTTCCAGTCCCATTGTATATTTTTGCAAGTCAAACGGCATATAGGGCAGGACTTGTTTAAAAAAATTGAGGAAAATGTTATTCCAAAATTGTTTTTTTTTCTTCAATAATTTTAAAACATTCTACCCTTCTTTCAATAAATTAAACCAAATCTTATTAAAAAAGAGTTTTTTATCCCATAATACTAAATGAATAAATCAATTTAGTAAATTTTTCTTCCAGTGCCATCGTATACTTGCACGTAATACAGGGTAGGACTTGTGTCATAAAATTAAGCGAAATGTTATTTTAAACGACTGTTTTTTTTTTTCAATAATCTTAAATACCATCTTCAATTTTTCAGAATCAAATCAATTTTGCAAATTTTTGTTCCAATCCCGTCATTTATTTGCAAGTAAATCGGCATACAGGCAAAAAAGAAAACACAAAAATTATTTTAAAAAAACATGTTTTTTTTATCTCGTAAGACTAAATAAATAAATCAATTTAGAAAATTTTTGTTTCCGTCCTATCGTATATTTGCGAGTCGCACGGCATACAGGGTAGGACAACAAGTACAAAAAATGAAACAAAAAAAATTAAACAAAATGTTATAAAAAAAAAGTTGTTCACTGTCACATAATTTTAAATTCTAAATAAATAATTTAATAAAACAATTTGGAAAAAATTGAGCAAAATGTTATGTCGCAATAAGTGATTAATTTAGAACTAACCAAAACGAAACAAAAATTACACTCTTTAATTGCGACAGTTTTTGTGCCAATACCTTTTATATAACAGCATTGCGGCACCTCATCTCAAATAATGTTGCTCCACACTCCTCTATAACTTACCGAACTATAAGATAAATGAGTTTCAAGTATGTCAAAATAGAGCATTAAGATCGATCTTAAAGTGTAACAGATACACTGCTGTAAATCTAATGTCAAATGTTGTTAATTGCATGACGGTTAAACAAGGAATTATTTATAATGCAAATATTTTTATGTATAAATTAAGAAATAAACTATTACCTGATTAGATCTTTGATAAAGTAAAATATTTTAACATCGTGCATAGTTACTGTATGAGAAACCGCAATGATTTTATTTTAGTAGATAGGTATTGGTCTAACCAAATGACAAATTTTATTCTGTGTAAGGGTCTCTCTGAAACTAATAAACTGCCAAATACCTTGAAAAATTGTGATAATTTCCATAACTCTGAAACTATGTTGAGGGAATATGTGATGTCTGTTTTATTTTAATTTTGCCTATATCTTGATTTCTGGTTATGGTTATGTTGTTTGTTGGTTTTGTTTGTTCATGCATCTTATACAACTTTGTAAACAATTGTTTTTGTATGCAGCATCCCAAGCTAATGAAGAATTATTATTATTATTATTATTATTATTATATTATTATGATTATTAATTCTTTTGGCGGAGTCTGGCGGTTTGTGGATATTTGGATTTTTCCGTTTCAGTGCGTCGAAAGCTTGCAGGATTGCCTCGTGCCGACGTTGAACGACACCGATCCCGTCGTGCTCCGTTTCAAAGAGGTGATCGTCCGGATATTGAAGACTATGCAAGACCATCGGATTTTCGGGCAACAGTGGACCAACAAATTCACGACACGTTACCTTACGGACTGTCGGGACGAACAACAGCGCTACAACATCGACGCGGTCGATACCCTGATTAAATCGGGCCTGGTCAACGTGCCCCAGTACGATATGGCGCTCGCGCAGTGCCTCGAGAACGGTCTCAACTATATGGGCGTCAGTTTTGCCATGCAATTGGTCGAACATTACTTGATCAACGATCGATCGGGAAGTTTTATCTCGGAGAGCGACCTGTGCAATACGATCGAGATATTGGCGAAGATCCAGACGCACACGCGTCCCCCGCCCGAAGGTCTGGGCAACATGATGGACATACTACGTCAGAACCACGACTCGTCGGTTTTCGGGGAACGCGCACCGATGGGACCCACGGTCCACATACACAACGGCATTTTGCAGGTGAGTCTCGGCAGAGTGACGATTAAAAACGCGCATACGGCAGAATAGGTATACTCGAACCAGAAATATAGTGCTTTTACGACAACTTTGTAACCGTTCGGGCTACGAAATCTAGATTTACCTCCTTTGTAACCCCCCGCGAAATACATTTACCTATAAGAAGTGGCCTCGATCTGACGCCGGCGTCCATCTTTTTTTTTTTCGGATATTGAAATTTGAAGCGATCGACTTCATGTTCGGCCCATATATACAGCTTTGTTGAACTTGTTGAAAATTGGGGAGAATGGGGGGTTTGGAAAGTATTAAAATAAAATCGCATGTGGAACGGCCAGTAAAAAAAAACATTTTTCAAAAACCGTTTACAAGACCGAAATTCTTGAACAAAAAGCCGCAGATGGTTCGGCTCCACAAACTTTTATTCTAGGACATTTTTTTTTTAATTGTACAGGGTGCGCCACAAATTCGAAAATACTCCCCCTATTGTTGAAAATGGGCTATCGCTGAAAGACTGTGTTTCGGATGTCGGTTCATTTTACATGGAGATATAGCCCGCGTAAACAGCAGTATTTCAGGTTTTCACCTGTTGTACGGGGTGTTCAAAATATTAAATTTTATATTCAAAAATTAACACGTGTCTTAAATTCTCGCAAAGTGTTTAAAAAATTTTTTTTTTTAAATATTTTGGCTTCCAGAAAAAAACTTTTTTCGAAAACTATCAACCCGATCAGCAAAATTTGCGAACCAGGAAATGCGGGAGATCCGGGACCATAACTTTTCTAACAGGCATTTTTCCATTATACACAGGGTTTTTCAGTTATAGATAAAAATCTAAAAGACCCTGAAAATCGTTCTTTTCGCTATTAAATTATTCGTGAAAAAGCCACACCGAGGGCTACAATTTTTCTATTTAAGGTTTTCTTCCATCACACACACTGCTCGAGACGTTTGAAAAAAATTGCTATATCTCGCGCTCAATCTAGACGCTATGACGTCATTTACCATTAAGCGTGGATTCAGAAAACAAGTATTTTCTCGAAAAACTCAAACTAACTAAACTAAACTAAAACTTTTACGTCTTACATTTTTTGAATTATGTACCGTGCGTTCAATTTATATTGATAACATTTTAGGTGGCTGTAACTTTTTTGTTTTTAGGTATATCAAGATAAACAAAAAAATGTAAGGTTGATAGCCAAGTTTTATTCCAAGTGACAAATAAAACAAAAACAATTTTCTGACATATAAGCCTACATCAGATTTTTTAAGTGGAACATGTTATTGAACATATATATGTGTTTAATAGAATATCTTATTCCGATTGCAATGATCAAATCGGCAATAATAGGAATTTTTTATATATTTTAAAAGAGTGTCGGAACTGACTGCAACAATAATAATTATTTACATATTTAAAGTAGAACAAAAACACTGTAAATGACAAGACACACTAAAGTAAAAAATTCTTTAACTGTTCTAAATATCTGACCACCATTTTTCTGAACACTCTAATTGTCTGATGTTTTTAGGAACGTTTCCTGATTGTCTCTTAATTGATTGATTGCCTCTGAAATCCTTTGCCGAAGTTCCATGACATTAGTACAAGGAGTTCTGCGCACGTGATTTTTTAAGTATTCCCAAAAGAAATAAAAGTTAAGTGGGGGCTGTTGTTAAGAATGTTTTTAATTTGCACAGCATTATAAGAGGGGCACCGTTGTTCTATCACATAATCAGCGCTGATATATTTAGGGGTAATTATTCTATATATTGTTCTGTTTGGGGCTCTAAGAGTTGCAAATAATGATCACCAGTTAACTTTTGATCTATAAATAACTGACCCAAAATATATTCAAAAATATATTCATTATTTGATTGGTACTCCTGGGTTTTTATTTCGTGTATTTGTCCAATATTTTAACAATAATGACTTGGATAATAATTCAACTCTCAACGTTGCTTACTAATATGTCAATCATAATATTATATTATGCAACAAGAGCGGGTAAACTCCATTTGACTCACGAGTTTATTTCACACTAGCGGAGCGAATCTTTAATAAACGAGTGAGTTAAAAAGTTTACCGAACGTGTTGTATACAATACTTTTTCTACGGCCATTAATTTTTGGGTACATTTTGCCAAGCAACACGAATACATTCACTGACATGAAAGTCAAAATTGACAAACGTCAAAATTCAAGCCGTGTTGTAAAATCTATGAAAACATCCGATTGCTCCCATAATAACCCGGAAATGTCTGAAGTGGCTCGAATCAGTGAAAAATGAAACTGACGTGGAAAAGTGAGGCTTCCCGTATGCAAGATCGGTGTGTAATTTTCCTATTTTTGCCGATTTGTCTAAAACGAGTGGACTAAAATATAAAATGTGTGCATCATTGTAATCGGAATAAGATATTCTATTAAACCCATACAGTGAAAACTGTGTATTACGAACAAAATTTGTTGTACTATTAGGTCTCTATACAAAGCTATGTATTATTCGACTCTGTATAACGAATTTCTCACTCCTCTATATTGAAAGAAAAAAGGGCACATCAAGTAACAAAAGAAGGAATGTAGGCCGACTTGTAATTAATACAGTCTCTCACCTTTCTTTCTAAAGAACATATAACAGTGTTAGTAGCTGCCAATACGACTGAGGGAGCTAGTCAAGATTGGGAAATCAACTAACCCACCATGTTTTAAGAACATCAAGCATTTGCCGGTCACTTACAAGGCAGATAAGTCTGCATGGATGACATCGCAAATTTTTGAAGAGGAGATACGGAAATGGGATGCAGTATTAAAGGGGAGGAAAATATTACTTCTCTTGGATAACCGCCCTGCACATCCCCATATTCCAATTCTACGGAATATTTAACTGGCATTTCTTCCATCCAAAACAACAAGTGTATTACAGTCGCTGGACCAGAGCTTAATAAAAAGTCTTAAGAGTCGATACAGGAAAAACATTTTAATGGAAATGATCAAAGCCGAAGACAAATTTTCCATTAATATGCTAGATGCAGTCAACTTTATTAGTAAAGCTTGCAAAAAGATGACAGCAGAAACAATTCAACAGAATGCGCACAAGACTTGGAAGATGATCAGCCACTAAGCGAGTCGTTAAAGCAGTTTCAAACAACAGTTACGTTTACAAGTGAGAAGTTGCAAGATTTTATGGTGATATGTCAGGATTTGCCTACAACAGCAGACTTGAAAGAGGAAGCCATATTACAACAAGCAACAAAGGGTGAGGAAGAGCACCAAGAGGAAGAAGAAGATGAAGAAGTTGATCTGGGACCACCACCAACAATTCAACAAGCCCTATATTCAGTTAGCCTGCTAGAGAAATATTTTATGTATGATGGCGAAGATGCCTCTCTCGAAGAAATAGTGAAAATACAAGCCAAAGAAAATGACCGATTATTTGAAACCTTAAATGTAGTTCTTAAATATTTATGTGAAATGTTCCTAAGTAGATGTTAAAATGACTGATTATTTGAAACCTTAAATGTAGTTCTTAAATATTTATGTAAAATGTTCCTATGTAGATGTTAAAATATGTATATAAAATAATTAAATATTACAGAACACATATGCGTATTGTTATTTTATTAAGTGCCCTTTTTAAGCCCCTTCAAGCTGTATAGAGTTTCGATATAATATTCGGGCTGTTCTATTTTTAAAAAATATGATGTGGGCATATATGTCAGAAAATTGATATTGTTTTGTTTAATACGTTACTTCGCTGCTGACCCTACATTTTGTTTTTCTGTTTACCCAGATATCTTTAAAAACAAAAAAGTTACAATCAATTAAAATGTCATCAAGATAAATTGAACGCACGGTACAGTGTACAGGGTGTATTCGATCAATTTTGCTTGCTGGTATAATAGCAGCGTGAGCAAAAAAAAATGGATATCGGCAAAAACTCGTACTACACCCTTTTCAGGTGAGAGCGCCGAATTTCGAGGATCCGCCAGGCCTGGTCGAAAAAACAGACTACCTGCTGCGCGACTGGATCGGCATTTACAATTCTCAGCACCAGGGTCGCGACTCGACCAAAGCGTTTAGCATGTTCGTGCACCAGATGAACGTCCACGGCATATTGAAAACCGACGACCTGATCACGCGATTCTTTCGTCTATCCACTCAGCTCTGCGTCGAGACCGTCTACAGGGCGTTGCAGGACAAATCGAACCCGAACATGAACCTGATCAGGCCCAAGTGTTACCACACATTGGACGCGTTCGTGCGCTTGGTCGCGTTGCTTGTGAAGCATTCGGGCGACGCGAACAACACAACCACCAAGATCCACCTGCTCAACAAGGTGCTCGGTATAGTCGCGGGATGCCTGCTGCAAGACCACGATACCAGGACGATCGAGTTTCACCAAATGCCCTACCAGCGCATATTCACCATGTTGTTCCTGGAGTTGAACGCCCCCGAGCCGGTTTTGGAAGCGATCAACATGCACGTGCTGACTGCTTACTGCCACACGCTTCACATCCTGCGGCCGTCGAAGGCGGCGGGATTCTGCTACGCGTGGCTCGAGCTCGTCTCGCACCGCGTCTTCATGGGTCGCATGCTGGCCAGCGCTCCGCAACAAAAATGCTGGCCCCTTTACGCTCAGCTCCTCGTCGACCTCTTCAAATATCTCGCCCCGTTTCTACGGAACGCGGAACTCGCGAAACCCGTGACATATTTGTACAAGGGCACGTTACGGGTGCTGCTGGTGCTGCTCCACGATTTTCCCGAATTCCTCTGCGACTACCATTACGGTTTCTGCGACGTCATACCGCCGAACTGCATCCAGATGCGGAACCTGATCCTGTCGGCGTTCCCGCGGAACATGAGGCTGCCCGATCCGTTCACTCCCAACCTGAAGGTCGACATGCTCCCGGAGATCGCTTACGGGCCGCGCATCCTCACCAACATATCGGTCATCATCACTCCCGCCCAATTCAAGAAGGACCTCGACTCGTACCTGAAGGCCCGCGCACCCGTCATGTTTTTGTCCGAGCTCAGGAGCAATCTGCAAATATCGAACGAGCCCGGGGTCCGGTACAACATACAACTGATGAACGCGCTCGTATTGTACGTCGGCACCCAGGCGATCGCCTATATCCGCAACAAGGGCCACACCCCCAGCATGTCGACGATCGCCCACAGCGCCCACATGGACATATTTCAAAATTTGGCCGTCGATCTCGACACGGAGGGCAGGTACCTGTTCCTGAACGCCATAGCGAACCAGCTACGGTACCCCAACAGCCACACCCACTATTTCTCGTGCACGTTGCTGTATCTGTTCGCGGAGGCGAACACGGAAGCGATCCAGGAACAGATCACGCGGGTGCTGCTCGAACGATTGATAGTCAACAGGCCCCACCCGTGGGGTCTACTGATCACGTTCATCGAGCTCATCAAGAACCCCAACTACAAGTTTTGGCAGCACGAGTTCGTGCACTGCGCGCCCGAAATTGAAAAGTAAGTGAACCGCGTGCACTTTTTTTATCTTTTGAAAGAAACGTCCCTGTCAATTGGTAACAAACGTAACGATGATGATCTTTATATTGAGCAATGATGAGCAACGTACAGTGGAACGGCTAAAATTTGGAACGAATTTGCCTTTTTTTTTATGAACAAGCTTAAGCAGACTAGTGTAGTACTATTTACAAAATTTCTGGGTTCCTCCTGCGTCGAACTTTCTAACGTTTCGCCAATCATCCTGTTGGCTTCTACGGAGCTTTACTCCGTACCTGCTTATATATGGTTTGAGGGGGGCGGACCTGCAGGAGAGGCGTGAACGTTGGTTATCGAATATTATGTGTTCGGCAACTGCTGATGAGTTGATTCGTCGTAGCCTTAAGGCTCTTTCATGTTCTTTGAGTTTGATGTTTTTGGTCCGGCCTCTCCAATGTATTCTTTGACGGATCGAAGTGGTGTTCTGGTTTTGACGTTATGTTACTTTAGAACTTTTGATATGTGGTAAAGTTTTGAATGTAAGGAAGGACAACAGTGGCAAGTGTGGGATTGCTTTCGGCCTCATGCCTATTGGAAGGTTATGGTTTCGTGTGAGTAATATCTTTAATGTGGAAATTACTGGAGAGAAGAGCAGAGGTAAGGTGTTTTAATTCTGGGTTTGACTCGGGCTGAGATAGTTTTACGGCTCTGTAAACAAGAAAGTTGATAATCGATGATTTTTGGGCCGGATGGTGATGTGGTTTAAGGTATCTGTCTGTGTGCGTATGTGTTCTATATATAAATACAATGACCCAATGTTATGTCTGATTTTCTATTGTTAAAAATATCTAAGAATGGGAGGTTATTATTTGTTTCTAATTCAATAATAAAACATATGTTAGGGTGTATCGAGTTTAATAAAATCGACTAGGGATTCTTAACCGTGAGGTCAGAATTTTGAAAAATTAACTTTAACACTATTGAAACCATCAAACTCTTCTCAACTACCAAACATTATGAACCTTAAATCTGTTATTAAGACTTTTTGCGTATCAGACTCTGAAATTTCTCGTCTCTAAGGACTCCCAAAGGTTCGCAAACCAGGATTACCCCTTCGACCTATTGTCAGCACCATTGGTTCTCCAACATTTTTTCTAGCAAAATATCTAGCTTCCTTATTAAAAGCCTTTGCAGGGAAAACTGATAGTTTGGTACTTAATTACACTAATTACACAAGATATTCTGATTTGTTTCAACGTAGAATCAATCTTTACTAAAGTTCCTATTCCTGAAACTCTCAATATCATTTCCGATATATTAAAATCCTAGAATGTGGAAGCAAACCTTCTCAACTTAATTGAAAAATGCTTGCCTGGAACATATTTTTCTTATAATAGTCATATTTTTGAACAATCGTCAGGAACAGCTCTGGGTTCTCCACTATCACCAGTCATCGCTAATTTATTTATGGGAGCCTTTGAGAAAAAAGCTCTCGACACTTTTCATCTAAAACTAAAATTATGGAAGCGCTGCGTCTATGATACTTTTTCAATTTGGCCTCATGCTCAGGAATCCCTAGTACGTTTTCTTAGACCTTTAGTCTATACTCCCCAACATACGTGTTACTATTGAATTAGATACTAATAATAATGCGTTCTAAACGGGATAGACCAGTTTGAAAAGTCCTGTTATAACAGACAAATTGGTTGTTTTTTTTTTTTTCATTTTAAAATGTAGAAAAGAAAGGAAAATTATTGAAAACAATAATGAGTAATGTTTTGGAAAGGTTTTTAAACCGATTAGAACTGAATGGTGCGCATTTTCAACACTTAATAAAATATCTCGATAAATTTTCTCTTAGTTTTACTCGCTGGGCAATTTTCTTGAAATCCAATAGCTGGTTTTTAAATGATTTTTGTTCCATATTTTTGGCGTTCACTGTACAAGTTTCACAAAGCGATGTCTAACTTAAAAACTATTCTTCATTAGCCAAAAAATAAAAAAAAAATAGTGACAGGACGAAACTAGGCAGCATTTGAAATTCCTTAGTTTAGACTTTGGATTCGAAATATTTCCGGTTACACCGGAACTCTCCATTGACATTCTGATTTTAAGTGGAACGCCTTGTATATTATTTTGTTTTTGGATTTCGAGCTATTTTCAACTGTTTAGAATTTTTTTACTAGTTGCTTTAAGTATAGGGAAATGTATAACAAAAATATACAGAATATCTTATTTGAAAAAAACGAACTTTGTTGCAGAGGCGTTTATCGCCAATCAAAAATGGACGACAAAAAATATCTGAAAAACAGTTTTAAATAAGGTGTAAAAGGTGATTTCCGATGTAACTGGAAGCAGTATGATATTTTTAAACGAAAGGAAATATTGAATAAACCTAGGTACCAGAATTTCAAACTTGCCAAGTCTGTCCTAAACCCAAAAACTTTTACGAACGGCAACTGAATAATCTCTAGATCTTAAGTTAACTCAGCGTTAAAGCAGTGTTTTTTCAAAATAAGGCAAAAAAAATCGCTTACGTTTGTTGAGGTCGCTGTTTTCTTCTCTTTTTTTGAATGGACATGAAATGCAGGTTGGTATTTGAAATATAGGTGCATGCGCTGATGATCCCTTCAATTTGACCAGACCATAATACTTGGTGAAGTGGTTTAAAAAACATTCATTTGGCCAGTTTTTCATATTAGCTTTGTTCCAACACGCCACTAGAACCGTTTTAGTCTCTCGATTTTTGCAAACCGCGACTGAAAATTACCGGTTCTGACCTCTTGGAACAATGTGACCGATCGATCACACCCTGCTTTTCCGTCCTATTTAATTTTTCACCATCCTAAACACTGTAAATAAGTTTTACTAATTCAACGTTTCGTTTTTGATTGCACACACTAGCGGGTACTGCACTCTAAATTTCTCACTTCGTGGCAGCACCAAAAAAAACATTCCATACTAGGTTTTTTGCACGTTTTAGACTTTATTATAACTTTAAGATGATTTTTCTGTCCCATTGCGCGTTAATATCAATAAAAAAAGGAAACCACCTCTATTATACTCTGTTTATTGATAAGAGAGAGCAATAAATCATTTAAGGCTTCGCTGACGATCATATTTATACAATGTGTCGGTGTAAGTTTCTAGATACAATATCTTTTTTTAAATGAAATAATTTGCTAATATTAGGCATCAATAACCCGTTTCTTAAAACAGAGCTCCTTTTACCTCAATTGTTTCTGAAGTACTGAATAAAGATTAAAAGTAAATAAAAATGAAATAAATAAAATAAGAGCTTCTTTGTCTTAACTAAATCAAACATTTATAACTTAATTATATCCTCTTTTTATCTGATCTTTCATGGTGGGGTTTCTAGCATCGATAACGTAGTAACATTTTTTTTCCTTTTTTTTATCGTTTTGCTTTTGATGTCCCGCTTAAAAGTTGCATGCTGTTTGTCAGTATCATGTACGAGTCATTGTTACTGTACAACTTCATCCGTCAGAAAGCGTCGGAGTCCCGTTTAGAAATACTTGAAAATAAAGGGCAACCCGCAGGATGAGAGAGGTACTAATTCCTTTGCTTTACATTTGAAACGGAACATTCATCAAAAAAAAAAAAAAAACGAATTACTCTGATGTCGCTACTTCTTCGAGTTAGACAATTTGGTGCATGTTCTTCTTTTGCTTCGGAGTTTTGAGAATACCTGTCTCTATTGCCGGGTGCTTAAAACCTTGCGTAAAAAAACCTAATCTGTCCTTGATTACGTTAATTTTAAAACAATATTCGACTATTACCCGACGGCTGTATTCTCATAAGTCCATTTCATGCGGCGCAAGGATTTCCGCCATTAAGTACCCACTTTTGGTGTGTGCATGCTCTTACAAGTAGTCTAGTATCTAGAATTAATTGTATAGATACCCTATAATCGTTAGTATCCGATGCTGTGCTTATCAAACGAGCTGGATTATTTTCCTTGGTTATGGTATAGTCTGTCTCGATCGTCATCGTGTTCTTTTTTGACAATAAAAAATTAACAATATTATTAACTATTGTCATCGGGTAAAATCATTAACACGCAAGGATTTGCGGCAATGTTGAATAATTAGTTTAATAGTCATTTTACGAGCAAAAACGGGTTGTCATTAATGTGTATGAAACTTTAATCAGTAGAGGATTTAATAAACAAGAAGCTGTACAAGAAATCTGTCAACTTACACAAACGCGAATATCGGCGATAAGGCATATTATTAATAGTGGAGAAGTTAGGAAAAGTAGTGATTTTCAAACTCGCCGTATAGACAAAAGTGATCAAGACAATAAGAAGGAAAATATATTGTATTCTTTACAAAACTTCTGGATTCTGTACCTGCTTATATATTCTTTGAGGGGGCGGAGCTAAATGAGCGGCATAAACAATGTTCTAAAGAAATATAATGTCAAAATCAGATTTAGCACTTGTCCAAAAATCTCCCAACATCTTCGATCCGTCAAAGACGAAATTCCATTCGAGATGCCAAGAGTTTACAGACCGGACGAGAACTATCAACGGGGCTCGAAGAACAAGAGCCTTTTATTTAGTGCGTACAGTGGAAAGTACCAAAATAAGGCATTCCCGTTGCATCTTAGAAAGATAGGTTTACAAATAAATCTAAATTTTAGCACTCATCAGCACAAAGTCAATTTAAAGACAATTACAAGTTTAGATTTTAATTAGGGTGTTCTGTGTCGTACTATGTCCTAGAAAAAATTTTTTTACCCTGCATTTAAAACCTTAACAAAAATATCAACATCAAGAATGCAGTTATCAGAATATTTTGTAATCTGGTGATCCTATATTTGTTCGGTAGTGGTCGACATCAAATAGAACCCTGTCTCGTGCGTTCTGCCTTGGTATTCAAGGTTAATCTTTCATAAGAGGTAGGGAGAGTTGACTCGATATCTTAAAAATCTGTTTTCTACTCGTTCCAAACGCGTGATGTGGATGTTGTAATTAGGATTCCAAATGACTAAAGTGAATGAAAGTTTACTATGAAAAAACGCATAGTACAGTGAAAGAAGAGACGTGGTATTTTTAAAATCTATTGAGTTTCTTTTTATGAAACCGGTCGTTTTATTCGATCCGATTATTACTCTAACATTATGAGTCTTAACGGTCTACCCTTCGTCTAGAGTTACCCCCAGATCTCTAATCTCCGCCACTCGCTCTAAGTTGCTGTTGTTAATATTGTATGTTGAGTTTATTCTTTTTATAATTTTGGTGAGGGATATGCTAAAACATTTGGCAAGATTCAGGAAAAGATGATTATTTTGTCAGTATTGTTTCAAGCGCAGAAGGTCTCCTTGGAGATTTAGACAGTCGTCGGAGATTTCGATTTTGGTGTATATTTAATATATTATATATATTGTAAATTACAAAGGGCCAAGATGACTGCCCTGTGGTACACCGGACGTAAAGTGAAAAAAATCCGATTTATATCCATCGTCTGTCACTTGCTTTTCTATCACTAAGATTGCTGGACAATCTAACCATTTCGGCCTCAACCCTGACCTCTGCAAGCCTAGCCTGACCTTAAGACTAAGACAAATAAACTCATCAGCAGTTGCCGAACACACTCACGAAACCGGACATAAAATTTTATTCGATAAAACCAAAATTCTTGCATGCAATCAATTCTAAACTAACGAAAAATTTGAACGTCTATAGAAATCCATAAGCAACCTGACAATCTTAACCGCCATGTAGGTATTTATCTGTCACCAATATGGGAATCAGTCATCCGAGACGGTGTTTACGCTCCTCATTTAGCTCCGCCCCCCTCAAACAATATAATAAGTACAGAGTAAAATGCGAGCTCTGAAAGAAGCCAACAGGATGATTGGCGAAACGTTAGCAAGTTTGACTCAACAAAAACCGACGCAGAAAGAATCCAGAAAAAGTATTACAGTTGCCCGTAAAAGTTTCTTTGTTCTTTATCAAAGCGAAGTTGTTCATACATGAATACATGAAACCAATATAAATATAGGCCGTGCCATCCTCCATAAAGTTGTTTGTAACATGGGAGTTAAGTAATTAAGGTCGATAAACGCGGCGCTCTATTCAAAGAATGGCTTGTTCCCACTCAAAACTGTCAGACGAAAGCACCTTCAAGTAAAGGAAAAAACAGGAGACGATTTTTCCAAAACTGCCTACTGTTGTCTGCAAAGAATATTAAGAATTCCAGATTGGATTATCATGAGGATACAAGTGCCAAATTGTTCAAAAATTGGTTTTAAAACCAAGCACCACCCCCAACAAGTTTAAAAACAGTTAAAAAAAAATCATATGCAATTAAAAAACAGTATGTACGCGATAATTTGGCTGAACGCGCTTGGCATACTGTTTTACGTGTTCCTCCATATAGAATTTGTAGAACTAAGTAAAATCAAATGGCAGAGCAGAAAATATTACTCCTACTTAGTGAAACAGAACTAGATTTAGACATTTAGAATCAAAATAATTAATTATGTATTATTTAATATTGTTTTTATCAAAATGTTTGCGAGTATTGCGGGCAAGAACCAGTATGTTGAGGATCGATACAGGCTATAAACAATCTTGCAGCACAAAATGGTTTTGTATTATTTTTTGATTCGATACCAAAATTGGGTACGGTTCAGGTTTTCCTATAATTAAGGCTTCATTTTACTCATACCTAACTATTGATTGTAGGTTATTCGAATCGGTCGCAAGGTCGTGTTTCGTCAAGACTACAGTCCAACTCCAACAGGAAGGGACCGAGATCCAAGAATGATAATCAAAGCAAAACCCTTTGTGATCTGTATATATAAAGCTTACTTTATATTCGCGAGTTTTTTTTTTTAACTTTTTTCGGTGGTATTTTTTTTATTTGTCTTAAGGTGCGAACTTATAGTGTATAGAAATCGGATATTTGTAACATAGTCTAAGATTTTTTTTTAAGGGAGAAAATTTGAATTACTAAATGTATATGATGTTTGGATGTAATAAATGGTTTTTGAGCATTAGACTTCGTTTTTATTGTCGTCAGCTGGTGGCAGGCATGTGCTTTTCGAACATCCTATATACGGGTTCGTTGACGTAGCGTCGCACTTCCTTGGCCGCGACGAAGTCCACGTGACTAAACTCGTCTGTTATCCTATGCACTTCTTTGTTCTTGGTTCTCGCCACGAGTCTTTCTATTCCCTGCAACAAAACTATCGGTGCGGTGATAGAACTAGGTTAATCTCTACCTCTGGGTGGGTTATTAAGTCGCTGGTGCTGTAGACGAAAGCCGTGGGCGCCGTAACGTTCCCGATATTATATTCCGGGGCGTTCCTCCGTTTGTAGAGTCGGAGGTTTTGCTTCGCTCCGTAATCGTATGGTCCGAACACGTCTGAAAAGACATGTACCTCTTCGATTTCATCACATATTATTTCAAAAGTTAAGAGTTTTTCAAGACGATAACGATTGCAAATGTTTTCTTTGTTTTGTGAAACGATAGTTTCAAATAGTTGCCGACGTAGACCATAGACAAATGATATATTGGTCAGTTTTGGTTGCATGCTTGTAAATATTTCCTATACATCGCAATCCGAATTGATTCTGTGATGTGATTGTATTCCGTTATAGTCCGTTCATTGGTAAAAGAAAGTCACAAAACCAGTTAAGAAAGTGGCCACAGTCGTAAAGTATACAAGGCACTTCCCGACTGGTATAGTAGAGAACGTTATTTAAGCATTATACAGAGATTTTCACCCCACTCGGTCATTTAAAAAATATATATATATTTTTATCCTCCTGTCACTTCTGGTTCAACTTGATCATTTTTCTATGTGAAATTCTAAACTATTTTACGTTTAACTCGACTTACAGGAGGTTGTACGTTCGATTCCCTTGAGTATTGTGTGAGAGAAAATAATTGTTATGGGTAAATTTTTCTCGGTAGATGTCGGGAAGCGGGTTAATATCCTAATTTGGGGTGAGCCCAATTAAGCGTATAATTAAAAAAAAACGTTTTGCGGTTATTGTTATCTCTTTTGTATCTTAACTAATACACCCTTGCGACAAAATGAACTTCGTGTGATCTTTCAGCAGTTTGCACTATATTTTAGACCTATGTTTGCTGCGAGACGTCTGTTGGAATTCTGCCATTTTTATTTCAACTTCTGAAACGTTTACGGCACAGGTAGAACATTTACAAAATGGTAGCTTGTCTTATCAGTTGCATCTAAATGTTTAAATTGCCCTGCAAGCAAGTCAACTCCATGAATACACTCACCGCTGTCGATAAGTTGCTGGTAGTGATAAAACTGTTTCATCGAACATCTCGCAGGGACATATTCAAAGATTAGCTGGAGCACCATCTGAATAAAAAATTGGTCGATTTTGCGGCTTCGACTCACTGCATGCGTTAACTTACCGGATCCACCCTGAAAGATTCCTCGGGAAAATGCAGCAAAGCTGAGCAAATCTCGGCGAAAACCGTCATCTCGGAACACAGCATCGACATCGTTCTTCGCAGCGCCGCATTTAAGTTATCGGGCAGAAACTCGTACACTCCCAACGCTTTGGCGATATTCTGAAACACGCCTACAGTGTAGCAGCTCTCCGGCAGTGTGGCGTACCCGCCCCGGCATTATAAGAGAACCTTAGTAATGATTAACGGATGCGTGTTGGTGGTGATGCCCCCAATTTAAGAATTGAAATTACATTATATGGGGTGTGAGCCAAATCGACGGTTCAAGAGGAGCAGCATGTTATCGTGAATTTAAAAAATTTCTTATATTAACACTATAGTTATAGCATAGATGCAAATGTTTATTTGGCACGACGGGAGCGCAGCGAAGCAAGTGCATAATGATAAATAACTTTCCAGAAAAAGAATAAATGCAAGGAAATTTTGAGAAACATAACTTTGCAGGTTGTTATTAATGTCTAGTTATTCAGTTTTTACCAAATAAAACGATATTACACTATCTTTTTACTTCGTTACACTACTGAATTTTCAATTGTGGGCGACTAACTAGTTTTATTATGTAGTAACATATTTAAGGAGCAAATTTCATTCCAAGATTTCCATGAAAACAAATCTTGGTTTTTAATAAGTTAGTTAACTAAATTTGTAGGCCTTATCTTCGACCATGATCTAAAACTTTCAACGTCGCTGTCACCGTCTAGTCACAAAACTGTATTCAGAAGTAAACCCTGTGAAAAAAATCAAGCAATGTTTAACCAAAAACAATTAACCCAAATGCAGAACATAGAATACGATATGGAGTGTCTTTTTGAGCCTGGTCCAGTCAAGAGGAACAACTTGTTGTGGTCCAAACACAACACGTTAGTAAACGAATAAAGGGAACGTAAACGCTTTCGTACGGTAATCACATTAAGTTGCTGCGCTCGTCACGCACGTCATAAACGCAGTGGCCGTGGTCTACTGAGCCGCAATGCTCCGCGCGCCACCTGGTGTTGGGAAGCTGTAGTTGTCGCTCTGGTCAAAGAAAACTAGTCGTAGCTTCTGTGTAAATATCAATCGACATTGTGAATCAGAATCTTGATGTCAAAAAGAAAGAATCACTTAGTTGAAAAATGTTTTTACAAAGTTGAAACGAGGAACGTTATATACACTTCGTTAGATGTTTTAGCTTTAAATATTTTGTGACGATTCCTACACAATTTTATTTTTATTTTAAAAATCATTTGGCGTCTTAAATAATAAACTAACGTTTCATTTGGTAGATTCTTGATAATTGGAAGATAAATTAACCCCGTAATTTGAAAAATTTCATAAGTCTTCCTGGAGATATGAACATTTATTTATTTTGTGCGAACACCCCCAAGCTCACGTCCGCCATCATAGACGATATTTGTACTATTCAAGATCCGCTAAGTAATAGTTTATTTTAATCTCTTATAATACCGAGAGTACCGTACTTTTATTAGCGTCCTGTGTTTCGACAAAACTCGAAAAATCAAGAGACGATTACGACCCAGCATCGCCGGCGTCGCGACGACGACCCCCATGGCGATTTTTTCGTTGTATTCTGGCCGCTCTGAGTTGAGAACAAAGTAAATTGTGGCACCCTGCGCGTAACCGAGGTAGAACAATTTATTCTTGGTTGTGACGTTCAAGATATAGTCGACCACGGCTGGTAAGTCATACACGCCCATTTCGTGCCAACTAAAAACGTAAAATATTCCATAACGTAACGGTCACGGACCATAGATTAGATAGTCGCGACGCGAATTTTTTTGACAACTGTCAATCGTCAGATAGGTTATTCTCCGTTTCCATGCATCATGTTTCTGACGTGCTTTTTATTTTATTTTCCGACATAAATTTCATTAAACACGAATGTGTAATGATTTCTATCAAACGCCGTTACAATAAATTAATTTGAAATTCGTCGTAATTGTCATGCGCCTGCGCGATGAACAAGACATTTATATCACGAAATTGAGAAGTGGGGTGTACCATATTTTTTCAAAATAACCGGTCACTTTTTTTATGTTGTGTATTTAAAATTTAATAAAAAACTTATCCGTTATACAGGGTTTTTGACCCAACTCGTTCGTTAACAGTTTATTGAGACGTAATTACAATTTTTGGGGTTAAGATAAGTACCAATAAGTGTAAAGATAATAAAGTTGCTTGCTTGCTTATTTGAAATAGGACGCCCCGTATATTTTGAGATTCTGTGTGAAATTCTAAACATTTTTTACGTATAACGTTTTTGAAATATTTAACCTTGAAAAAAATTTGTGCCTTCAGCTGAGCCAACTTTGAAAATGCGTATTTTAAAAATTAATAGACGTTACTGATATAAAACACAAAACACCAATTTTGTTGTAAAATGTGCATCCATAAAGATTAATTCATTTATCTTAACATGGTGACCTGTTCTAGAGAAGTATAGAATAAAATATACCTGAAGTTCCAGTACTCCGCGTCGCTATCGGGGTCCAAAGTTTTATGTTTTCGAGAATGCGCGGTTCCTCTATTGTTCACTAACCAAACGTCGAAACCTCTGTCGGTTAAATACCACGCGATGCCCTCGGGATGACCGGGAAGCAGGAGAAACTCTCCCACAGTGCACGGACCGGCTGTTATTATTATCGGGTACTGATTGGTGTGGTTTGAACCCTGCCCGCGTGGTATCCTGTGAGCCGTCAATACATATCCATCTTCTGTGGTTATCTCGTGGGTCTCCAACGGATAACCATATTTTTCTAGCAATCTCTCCTAGAGATGCGATGCGATTTTAATGTTATTTATATTGATATAATATTTTAAGATTCGCACAATTCATAATCGGGTTGTGTTACGGATAAATCGCACGCTCCAGCAACGTTGCATACATCTAACACTGCGGTACTACAGATGAGCTGTCATTTTTAAATGTCCTACACCAAAGACAGTAATGCGCGAATGTTCCTGGTATACTTGCCCACGTTACGTTAAAGCAAAGAAGAAGAACGTTCTCTGATATATATTTGCAGTAGTGTTGTGTCAATCGTTCATTTTACGAGGACCGAATCAATAAGTGACCGATTTTGACAAGGCCCGAGTCATGTCAATCAATCGTTCATTTTAATACTTTTTGTCGCCAACATAAACGGCAACTGTATCCGAACAGTCCGAAGACCGATTCAGATTCATTTGAATTTAAGTTGTTGTTGTTAGTATAATATTTAGCTGTGTTCTACCTTTTATTGAATCATGATTTTATCAAAATAGGTGTTACGTATTACGTAAATACTTGTGTGGAAATAGATATTTCATTCAATATTCAATTCAACACATAAGCAAATCTACCAATCTATGTCGCAACTCAATACTATAGAATAATTATAACAATACTCCCATTCCTTTGCCGTGACCTGTCTCAGTCATGCATTTAAGTCTTAAACCATTCAAATCAATCGTATTCCGCAAGGCGAATTCGATTTGTTTTGGAACGGTCGGTTGATCGGTCGTCCAGTATTCGGTCACTTCACACCGGTCAGGGCGGCAGCGAGAGCGAACAAGGTGATCGAATCGTTACGAACAAGCGAGATTCTGTCGTTCGATCCTATGAAGTCTATGAAATGATTGATTCTAAGTGACCGAATCAATCGTGATTGACACAACTCTAATTTGCAGTACTTGAAGGTCTGTGTTCGATCCGGGTTCATGCCCATATGGCCAAGGATAAACTTTCGCAATGTCAACGCTTGTTTGATTTCTAATAAAAAATTACAAGAAATTATTTAGAAGAGAATGTAGATCGATATTTATATCAAACATTATTTAGTTTCGTTGTTAGGGGCAGTTCAACGACGGTGTACATTAGATTGTTCTACTTATGTTGGAAATCTGAAAAAAAATTCAAATATAACTTCTCTTTTTAAGAAAGGTGTGGTGTATTTGGCAACACCGCGGGCCGACCAAAAAGTTAGTCTCAGCGGGTGTGTCCAAGAGGCAACAACGTTTTCACGTGCGGAAACGTGGTAAAATAAAGGAACCTTTATTTTTGTGATATTAAAGTGGAAGTAATTAACTTTACTGTTTTCTTTCGAAAACCCAGTCCGCCGACATATCAAAAGGCTATTGAAATGATTGTGAAATTTAGCGATTGTAGAAGAGGTGGTATTGAGTGATCGATGTTTAAAGGTCAACGAAATGGCAGAAATTACTAAGCTTTCTGATACAAGTGTTCGTCGAATCCTGCATGATCATTTAGTTATGCATAAAGTTAGTGCAAGATGGGTTGCTAAAAACTTTTCGGCTACTCAAAAACAACGCCGTGTCTAGTGTGCGCGGTCTTTTTTGGAACTCTGTAGGTCGGAACCGAAGCCTGTGATAGAAATTATTGTGACGGGAGATGAAACTATGGTTCTCTATTATGACCCTCTTTCGAAAAAAGAATCAATGGAGTGGCGTCGTGAGGGTGAAACACCTCCAAGAAAATTCAGAGTCTGCCAGTCAACAAAAAATGTTATTACCACGATCTTTTGGGATTGTGAAGGAATTTTTTTTGATAGATTGTAAAGAAACTAATACCACCGTCAATGGTAAATATTACGCAACATTATTACATAAATTGCGAGAATGCATATGTGTAAAACGTCCAGGAAAACTGACAGAGGCGTGAGTCTTTTGCACGATAATGCACCTGTCCATACTGCTGGCGTTGCACAAGCTGCCATTTTAGAGTATGGGTTCCAACAGATAGATCATCCTCCCAGATATGGCCCCCACCGACTATTATTTGTTTGGATATTTGAAAAAGGACTTACGTGGACCGCGGTTTAACGACGAAGTTGAGTTAAAAGGGGCTGTTTTAGCTCATTTTGCAGACAAATCAAAAGAATATATTTTTAAAGGGATTGAGTTGTTAATGAAGAGATGGGGATGATATTGAAAAATAATAAAAAATTGTTACTCTACTTTGTTTCTTTCATATTCAGGCCGGGAAATTTTGGCGCTGCCCTCGTAGTTATTTTATATCTAGTCCACTGGTCCAATATCTTTGGTTTAATCGATACAATTTACTTTCTACTTACCAACGACAGCCCGGAATCTGGATGGGAAACAAATCTGTAAGGCTGATTTACGATATAGTTCAAAACCATCAGTATGACTTGTTGAATGGAAACCATTTCGAGAGCGCACTCTATGATCGTCAAGAAAAAAATGTTAATTGTCGTTTAGATGAGCAATGTCTAATTGTTCGGTAATTAAGTTGTATAATGTGTTGGTTATTGTTTCTGATAAAATGTATCCTTGATGTTCTACATACTGGCAATTACAAATACAACTGAAAATTATTATTTTGTTCGATGTAAATTACTCTTCCAGGGCTACCATTTTTGGATTTACCGTTTTCGTCTATCATACAGGGTGCGCGAGATATGGGCCGTAACGTATGGGCCAAATTGGGTTTAACGCTTCTGTAAACAGTCGCTAGGGCTAGCATTCGTGGTATTTATCGTTTATGTTATTATTATAACCAAAACTAACCAAAACCCTGAAATCCCTGCTTAAAACGATAATATCGGCAATAAATAACTTGTATACACACCGAATCGTAAGTTGCACAATTGCAGCATGGCTCCAAGGAAGGATGCGACAAGGAATATCTCGGGTGCAAATCTCATTCGAGGTCAGTGTTTTTTCTCTCTAAATATTTAATTTTATTATATTCTTATGTAGTGACTGCTTAAGTTTGGTAAATTTTTGTAACTGAAGTTTTCCAAGAGGAAAACTGGAAACATTTTTTTGAATTCAGCAGAAAAAATTATTTCTATTTCCAAGTAACACCGGTGACGGCAGTGAGTGTTTCGTTTTTGGAGAACGAACCAAGAGAACTTTTTGAAACTTATTTGGCTGCTATGTTTGAGCAAATACAGCATTGCCAGATCTACAGTATTCTTTTGTTATTATACAATCTCTACTATTTATCTACATACGCCTCAGATAGTTTCTGAGATAAGGGGTCGGTCGGTCACCCCGTACATAAAATTGGGGTATACCGATTCGACTGATGTTTTGTGCAATAAATTTGTGTTGTTTTTGTTTTTATTCACACATTAACAATTATGCATAACTGCTAAAGAACATCTTTCCATTTTTGGCAATTACAATTGATTAATGCAGGGTTGCAGAGTCTGCTGGAAAACAATCGACGAACAAACTTCCGAGTTAACACGTAGTACGGTTTTTAATTTGGGTAATTAGAAACCGGCAATTTATTAAATTTTATTACTCTCTAGTGTACAAGCGATGTGTATTTTCGAATCGTCCTGTATAACGGTTCATTGATCACCTGCGTGACGTCTCTGGCGAACAGGAAATCGACGTGGGAGAACGTTTCGTCGATTTTAAGAACCTCGCTCCTCTTTGTCCTCGAAATTAGCTGACCGATGCCCTGGAAATTGCAGCGGACATTTTGTTACTTTCGAAAAATCGATTATTTTCGGTATAGATTAAAGTAGGGGAAAATTTGGCTCCTTTTTTCCCGTACACATCAATATATGTAACAATGACCGCGATCGGACCTTGGCGTCCATATTTTTTTTTTCGATTTTCGACTGATTTTTCTGGTTTGGATTAATTATTTTTTATCAAATCAAATACTTTTAAAACATGTACCTAATTAATATTGTTTTGCTTACTAAGTTTTAGAGAAAAAGGTATTTCAAAAATAAAATAAGTTAAATATAACTAACTGAAAACCTATATCTGAGTTACGAAAAATGATTTTCCTTTATTAATATTATGCAAATTTGGGAATATTTTGTTATTGAATGAAATGAAATGTACATATCATATATTATCGAAAGTTGTTCGCGCTTTTAGTCAGCAACGACTGAGTACAGAGAACAGAGAATAGAAAACGGAGAGCATACAAAAAATAAAAACGTTTCTTTTTGGATGCCGATGCCATCTGTACCAAAAGTAACGTGTCCTTGGTCTTACCTCGGGTTTTGTTACTATGTCACGCGCCCCATAAAAGTAAGCGGTTGGGGCGGTGATATTTTCAATGAGATAGAGTGGTGGTACTGTCACGCCGTATAGCTTTTTGTTTCGTTTCGGCCCGTAATCGTAGAGACCAAATAAACCTGAAATGATAAGCTACGCTGACCAAACGGTACCCCTCCCTGGACCTATGGTAAAACTAAAAGCAAAAAAGTTCGCTGAACAGCTTGGCATTATCGATTTCAAGGCTTCGGCAGGATGAAATCGATAATGCCAAGCTGTTCAGCGAACTTTTTTGCTTTAACATAGGTCCAGGGAGTGGTACCTGTCTGCCGCTTCAGCGTGAATTATTTTTTCTTTGCACTTCCAAATCGTAGATACAGTCGACGGTGTAAGTCCGTATCGACGTCCCACATCACTTTTCATTTCTCCCCCTTCTATCTCCCGAATTAAAGCAACTTTATCATCTAGAGATAAAATTTTTCGTTTACTCGCCATGCTTGCCGTATTCACCAAGTCAAATTAGAACTGATTGAAACAATAGTGTGCTTTTATGCATACCGATAAAGGCATTAACATAATCGCTTATTACGAGAAAAACACTTAGGAAGACCAGGTTCTCGGCAATTAGATTATTAGCGTAAGAAAGTCTGAGAAGGTAAGAAACTCTATTAATTACAAGTCGGCCTGCATTCCTTACTTTGTTACCTGATATGTCCAGTATAGATAGTGAGAAATCGTTATATAGAGCTTTGTATGGAAACCTAATAGTACAACAAATTTTATTCGTAATACAGAGTTTCCCTGTAGGGAGTTTTCACTGTATTTTGAGGCCCTTTTTCCAAAAAACGATATATTTTTGCTCTATCACGTCATTTTCCACGATGATGATGTTCCATGTTAAGCGTGATTTTTAAATCACTTGATTTTTATGAAATTAAATGTGGTTTGGCAACACTGGATAATATTCGATTTTCGTCCTAAGCAACAGAGTTGGCGCAGAAGCGTCAGTACAATGTTCTAACCTGCCATGGTTTGCGGCTTGCGGTCTTCGTTGTTGCCTATTTCTAGTGCGTTCTTTTGTGAAAAATGTATACCACGCTTATTTTGGTGTAAAAATAGGCGACAAAAGACAAGTCCCGGATCGTCACACTGTTTCTTCCATTTGCGTTGAAGCATTAAGAAACTGGTAGGAAATATGTTTAAGGTTTGGTGTTCCTATGGTATGGCGAGAGCCTAGGAATCACGGTGATGATTGTTGCTTCTATTCGTGTAATGTTCAAGAACATCAGTGGATTCTTTGAGGTGACCTTAAAATGCTGTACATGCTCCTAGGACAACAGGGGGGTTATGCAAAATTTCCCTGCTTTATTTGTGAGTGAGTTAGCCGGGCAAGAGGTAGACAATGGATTCAAATAGAACAAACCTTAGACCTGGTGACAAAAACGTATGAAGAGAGAGCTTAGTTGACCTGAAAAAAGTTTTACTACCTCCTCTTCATATCAAATAAAAATGAACAGTGTTTTAAATAGTATATCTGATGCCAAGATAAAAGAAGACAAGGATTTTCAACACAGAATGACCAATGTTGAGAAAAACGCCTGGGTTTCATTTAAAGAAGTAATTGATAAGGTTCTTGGGAACTCTAAGGACGAAAACTACGAAAATATTGTTCAAAATATGATTTCACTCAAAAAAGTGTGTGCAAAGATTTTTTTTGCCAAGGTCACACTTTTTTACTGAATAAAAAAGATATTTTTTCCTTTGATATTTGCAAAAAAACTTTACGTGAACAAATAAATGCATAGAAATTTTTGAAATCTGCATGCCAAAATTATATAAAGTCCGTTTTCAAAATAAAAACATCTGTCAAAAATTGTAATTTTGTAGGCCTGTGTAATTTGTACATATTTATATTTTTAAAACAACTAAACTACGATACCGGCTCGCCAGCCGTTAACGTTATACAAATTGAACTGAAGTGGCTTTTGCTTGATGAAAATGAAAATTATATATATTCACATGACAATTGTTTCGACAACACCGTGCCTTTATCAAATGTAATATTTACAAACTACCTGCTATTATATATACCGAAAAATGACAATAATACCTTAATTAATGTTATGAGAATTTAAGTTTAATAATGGAGAGGTATTCAATCTAATTGATCATTAAACAATACGTTTGAATGTCTCATTTTGTCTCCATGGCTTCCAATAAATTTAATTTTCTACTTTTTATGGCTATATGTAAAATTTAAAAATTGTCGTCAAAAATTTGTTTTTCTGTGTATGTAGCATAATTAGAATCTAGACTATTGTTGTTAAACGCTCTTTTATGTCCATTAATGCGTTTCTTGAAGGATCTACCTGTTTGTCCATTATAAATTTTAGGATATGATCCGCATTTCAACCCGTAGACACCTGAGTTTTGAGATTTTGGATACTTCGTTTTATTGTTTTTTAAAAATTTTCCTATTATGTTGTTAGTTCTGAAAGATATTTTTAAAACACATTTTGACACACACATTTTTCACTGGGTTCTCGTATGTATGTAATTGTTTTAAATTGTTCGTGTTCGGTATTAGGTTTCGGATAAATAGAGTTTACTGTTGTCTGGATTTGTTTTTTATTTATAATTTTATCGATAATAGACGGATTGTAACCTTTGTTCAGTGCAATTTGTTTAATGATATTAATGATTAAGTTGTTTGTTGTAATTTTCTGTTGAGAGTGGCGTATTAAGAAGTCTGGGTATAAAAGAGGGAAATGCAGCCATTTTGTGTTTAAGGGCGATTTGAGCTGTTATGTATGACTGTGTCCGTTTGTGGAGGTTTACGGTAAATAGTTAAGTCTAAAAAATTAATAGAGTTATCCTGTTCAATCTCGATAGTGAATTTTATACGATTATGTAATGAGCTAATGAAATTTAAAAAAGAATTCAATTGTCTGTCCGTTCCAACAAAGCAAGCAAAGACATCATCCACGTATCTATGTCACCATAAAAAAATTTTACTTAAAGGATGTTCTAGTATGATATTTTCCAAATTCTCTATAAAAATCTCGTTTAACAAAGGACTAAGTGGGTTTCCCATAATCAAACCTTTCTGTAAATCTGTCCATTAAATTCAAAATAATTTTGGTCTAAAGATACTATTATGGGTTACATCCAAAATCTCAAAAATCTGGTGTCTACAGGTTGAAATGCGGATCATGTTCTAAAATTTATATTGGACGAACGAAGAAACGCATTAATGAACATAAAAGAGCGTTTAGAAACAATAGTCTAGATTATAATTATGCTAAACACTTAAAATCAGGAAAACACATTTTTAACTTTGATATTTTACATACAGCCACAAAAAGTACAAAATTAAATTTAAATTTAAAATTTAGATTTAAATACCTCTGCATTATTAAGCTTCTCACAACAACATTAATTAAGGTTTTAAGATCATTTTGCGGTATATATAGTAACAGGTACTTTGTAAATATTACATTTGATAAAGACACCGTGTTGTAGAAACAATTGTCATGTGAATATATATAATTTCCTGAAAATCTGAACTTCAAGTTCTTATTTATTTTGTTAACGTTATACTTTGAAACACACCATACTTACTGGTTTCCATCACCTGTATGTAATGAAGAAGCTGTTTCACGGAGCATCCCGCGGGAACGTACGTAAAGACCAACTGGAACGTCTCCTGAGAAGTAAAAGTAAGAAAAAAGTCACTTGGAGGTGACCGTTTTGACTAACCGGATCCACCCGGAGCGAGTCCTCGGGAAAATTGAAAATGAAGTTGCAGACATCGACGAACGTGTTTACCTCGGAACATATGTACCTCAATGTGGCCCTTATATACGGGTTCGAGTTGTATGGGAATATTTCGTGAAAATTAAACGCCTGCATCACCATCTACAATAAAACAAAAGAACTAACGAGTTTTCCTAAATAATTATGTTTCTGTTAGAATCGCCTGCGCAAAGATTGGCGTAGAACCCGAATCTGTAATAAAATAAAATAAATTGAAATTCGAAGGTTGCCCTTGGTTTCGCGGAAATGATATGATATGATATTTTCTCGTGCAAGTGCTAGACCTGTAGATGTAATTTAAAAAAATGTGTCAATTAATAATAATGATAATTATAATATAATTTCTGTGTCAATGTTAGCTCTGATTTTCTATTGATAATATCTAAGAATGGGAGGTTATTATTAGTTTCTAATTAAATGGTAACACGTATGTTAGCGAGTATAGGGTTTAAATATCTAAGAAAATCTACTAGGGAGTCTTGACCATGAGGTTAAATAACAAAAGTACCATCCACGTAGGGTTTCCATCATTTTGGTTTCAGATGGACGATGGGCGATGACTGATAGTGGCGATGATAGTGGAGAACCCATAGCTGATCCCCACACTTGCCACTGTTGTCCTTCCTCACATTCAAAACATTACTGACCACATATCAAAAGATTGGATTTGATCAGATTTACCACTTGTCCAAAAATATCAACATCTTCGATCCGTCAAAGACAAATTTCCATTTGAGATGCCAGGAGATTACAGCATTCGATGCATATGGAGCAAAGAGTACATCAAATAGGCTCAAAGAATATGAAAGAACCTTAAGACTAAAACAAACAAACTAAAAAACCGGACATAAAATTTTTATTTGATAAATCTAAAATTGTTGCATTTAAGCAATTCTTCTACCAGCGAAAATTCCGAGAGTCTATAGAAATCTATAAGCAACCTAACAATCTTAACCACAACTCAGGTCTTTATCTGTCACTAATATGGGAATCAGTCATCCGAGACGGTATTTATGCCCCCCACTTTGCTCCGCCCCCGTCAAACAATATATAAGCAGGTACAGAGTAAAATTCGAGCCAGTTTCAGTCAGGCTCTGAAGAAGCCAACAGGATGATTGGCGAAACGTCAGAATGTTCGACTCAACAAAAACCGACGCTGGAGGAATCCAGAAGTTTTATAAAAAGTACAATAATATATAATATATCGTCAAAACCTGGGAAAAAAATCGGTATAACACAAAAAAAGTCCAGTCTGCCTATAAAAACAATCAATCAAAATCGTTTAATTAAAATGGATACAAGCAAGAGGCAGCGCATAAAATAGCACGAACAAAGATACATACAAAAACTATTAATTAAGACGAAAAACAGATTAAAAGAAAAAAAAAGGAAAATTATTAAGTTACAGACCTAAAAACATGAAAAAACTTTCTGTTTATGGGTCTTCGCAACAGTTTCAAACTCTGTGTGTAGAATGTAGTTTGTTAAAAGGTCCAATCTGTCCCGAAAGTTTGGTAAAAGCCTATCCAATTTTATCCCTAGAAATTTGTATTTTCGAAGCATTCAATAAAACAAATCCATTTATTTGCGAATGCACTATACCTACCTTGAAGAGTCTTCGATATTTGCTTATGATTTTGGCCACAACGTATTTCCCGTCGCCAAGAAACGCCGAGGGTGCCAGATTGATCCCCAAGGCGATTTTGTCGTTGTATTCGGGTCTTTGCGTGGTTAGCACCAAATATTCGGTCGAGCCCTGCGAATGACCGACGTAGAAGAGTTTCGTCCTTTTCGTTACGTTTAAAATGTAGTCGATGCTCGCGGGCAAATCGTAAACTCCGACTTCGTGCCAGCTAAAACAATGTTCTGTCTCAATTATGGAAGAACATTAGAGACTCTTCATCAGGCCCAAAAAATAAACACGAAGACAATTTAATATGCTTTAGTATGAGTTTAAATTTGCCAAGAGCGCTGATCTTTTATGAAACGTGTTCGTGCAGTAGTTATAGTGATAGCAACAAACTTGTTTTGGTGAATAATTAAAAAAAAAAAAAAAAATTTCTCTAGATAATAAAGTTGTTTTAATTCGGGAGGCTTACACCGTCGACTGTATCCACGATTTGGAAGTGCAAAGAAAAAATTATTCAGGCTGACGCGGCAGGCAGTTCAAACAGAGACATGGTATAAATTATGGACAGATAAGTGGCGAAGCCCGTGATGTAGACCGACAGAAACGTCACCAACGATTGGCTGGAGACGACGTGGCCAAAACTAACAGAAAAGTACCCTGCTGACGACATTTTTAATGCTGACGAAACTGGTATTTTTTACAAAATGACGCCAGATAAAACTCTTAAATTTCGAAGCGAAAAGTGTGGGTGGAAAACTTTCTAAAGAACATATAATAGTGTTAGTAGCTGTTAATATGAGTGGGAGAGAAAAAGAAAGCTAGTCGTGATTGGAAAATCAACCAACCCACGATGTTTTAAGAACATCAAGCATTTGCAGCACTTACGAGGCAAAGAAGTGTGCATGAATATAGAGATACGGAATTGGGATGCAGAATTAAAGGGGGGGGGGGAAATATTACTTCTCTTAGATAACTGCCCTGCACATCCCCATATTCCAAATCTAGGGAATATTGAACTGGTATTTCTTGCAGCCACTATCTCAAGCCGTTTAAAAGTTATAGAGTGTTCCCACTTTCTTGTGTCACTCGGTATAATCTGGAATTCTGAAATTGATGCTCTTGTTTCAACTCAAAATGGGGTAAACTTTTTTTTTATAAATCTTCGGGTTACTTTAACTAGGTAACAGTTGCTTAATTAATACTATGCGAAGACGGAATCCCGATTACGATTTGGGTATTTTTGGCTCAAAAACGTATATTAAGGAGTATTCCACGTATTTCCAAGTTTACATCTTGTTGGGTTTATGCCCAGTACAAGATGTCTTTAACAATTTCTCAACCTGCATGTTTGTTGGGAAATAAACGTTTACAACCATGTCTATTTAAAAAGAGATTGAAAATATAATGTGAAGAAGGAAAAATCACGTGGTCAGAGGAATTTACACCCAGTAGATGGGCAAGACCTTGACGAATGCTCCGCCACTGATCCCCTAACCGTAGTTCGATATCGCAGACTGTTTATCATAATGAAAGAAACGAGCATACCTAAAATCCCAGTACTGGTAATCGACGTCGGGGTTTAGGGTGGAATGTTTCCTGGAATGGTAATTTCCTCTGGTGTTTAGGAGCCAAATATCAAAATTGCGTTCAACCAGGTACCACGCTAGCCCCTTACCGAAGCCCGGTAACAGAAAGAGTTCCCCAGCGCCACAGGTACCGTGTACGAACACGATCGGGTACCTGTTGGTACCATTGGAGTTGTGTCCGTGAGGAATCCTGTGAGCCATCAGGTGGTACCCGTCTTGTGTAATTATCGTATGCTTTTCTAACGGATAGTCGTACTTGCCAAGGTACCGCTCCTGGAATGTTAAAATTTTCTTGATTTTTCAATTCAAATAGGTTAAGTTTCATTTTTGTGCATAAGTGAGCTTTCCATATGGTCAAGACTGCGTTGGCTTAAAATAAACGTGGAAAACTCTAAATATCTCAAGTTTAGCAAAACGAAACGCTTCTTTTGAGTATTTCACACATCACAAAAATGTGATTCGGTTTAAAATTACGTAGCAACTTGAATTGTGCATACACCGCATAGTTTTTTTAAAATATCATCTTACTCCATTTAAATCAGCACAATTTGATATTTTACATATACTTAATATTTATATAGTTGCATTAAATCAAGGAAAGGCTTTAGCGAAATAATTGTACTACCGTGTAATTTGTACAAAATCTTTGATTGTCTGCTTCTCCATATAATATACAGGGTGTTAAAAAAGTACGCTGCCAAACTTTAAGAAACGATCGATTCCTTTCGTGATTTTAAGACAAAAATTTCATATAAGTTTTGTAAAAAGTACAGTTACAGTAGCCTGTCGAAGTTTCTTTGAAGAATTGCGTCTATTTGGTTTCATCAATCCTCCACCATTGATGATATCCCTCATCGGCGATATTGGCGTTTTTGTAAGTAGACAGGTTTCTTTTAATACTGATTATACTGATTAAAATTTCATGCACATTTTTCACACCCTGTTTTGTTATATTCTCGTAACATAACTTTTTCGAAACGCACAGAAAAAACGATCGTCCAACACTACCACAAATGTTCGACACTCAATAAATGGTATTAGAAAGAAAGAAATATACCTGGCCCACCCCTGCGTGTGAATGACTTTACCCAATAACAATAGATAACAACGCTCCTAAAGTTTTATTATTAAATAGATTTACAAATCGAATTTTTGACAAGCACGATGTTTATAATAATTGATAAGCACCGATTTCGTAAAGTACAGGTTCTACGTACAATTGACAAGCCGGCGTCTGGATGGTCCACGAATTTCATCCGCTGATGTGCGAAATAATCCAAAATTACGAGTAACACCTTGTAAAAGGTCGACATGCTTGGAGATAATGAGCCTGACGTTGCGGACAACGAAAGTTCTTGGAAAATAAATAATTTGCGTATTCAACCTGTCGTTATTCTTTGTAATTCGACCGTTTAACAGGATGCTTGTTATGAATAAAACGCGAACGTTATCATCGGCGTCACACTCCAAATAATTGCCGCAAAATAATATATACTCGGTAAGAGCAAAATAGATTGTTCAGCTTGTGTTCTTTCCCCTAAATGTCAATGCACTTGGGAGCAAAAGAAATACAGGGGGCGACTTTTGGGGCCATTTTGAAAAAGAAAACTTCATATGAGCGGCTTTTGAGATACCACCTTAGATATTTTAATGAAATTTGGCTCACGTGTACCATGTACCAGGAGACATTATTTAGTGTACCACATTAAAAAAAAAAAACAGTGGCGGGCGCACGGAATTTCACATGTCTATTTTCGCGGACGTTGATGGCGCACCACTGATTTCTCTTAAAATAAAAATTGGATTTCTCGAATTTTCGAATATCGTTAATATAACAGCGTCCAGGGAAATTAGATTTTATTTTTGAATTGAAAAATTATCTCGCAAAAGAATGCAAATGTCTTTTTTTTTTTAAGGAAATCAGTGGCGTGCCGCCGACTAATTACGTCGCCAGTGCACTGGTTGATTCTAGAACTTTCTTTTGTGGAAGATGAAATATTTATCTAAAACAAAACATCTTGTTTTTAGTTACCAACTAGTGTGCTTCAAGAAAAGACTACCTACCATTAATAATTTTTAACAAAATTATCTAAGCCTAAGCTAACCAAATTAATAATTATGAAGATTTAAAAAATACACCTCAGAGTTCGTATGATTTTTTCACGTATTTTAATAAAGCAGATAGACAATAACTACACTAAATGATGCCTCTTAATGCATAGAACGCGTATGCCACATTTCATTAAAGCGGAGTTACAGATATTAACAAAATGTATTTTATTTTTGAAAACTTTACCATCAATAGTTAAGACGTTTAAGACCTGTGTTCTTACGAACTTTTCTTTTTAAAACATTCAATTACATTATATTTGTCACAAAATACCCATTCACTCCCGTTTTTCCACCCGAGTTTCTTAAGTACGATAAATTATACAAAAACGGTACTTTAATTTATTCCGAAATATTAAAATCGAAATACGGTGAAAACTCCCTGTAGAGAAACTTTGTATAACATAAAACTCTGTATTACGAACAAAATTTGCTCTGTATAACGAATTGCTCACTCTCTATACCGAAAGAAAAAAGGGCACAACAGATATGTAACAAAGTAAGGAATGTAGGCCGACTTGTAATTAATAGTCTCTTACCTTCTCAGAATCCCTTACCCTAATAAACTAATTACCGAGATCCTGGTCGTCGTCCTAAGTGGTTTTCTCGTAATACGCCTTAATGCGTTTACGGGTATGTATAAAAGCATACCATTGCTTCAATCAGTTTGAATTTGACTTAGTGAATAATTTAAAAAAAATAAAATTTTATCTTTAGATGATAAAGTTGTTTTAATTCGGGAGGTAGAACGGGGAGTAAAGAAAAGTGATGTGGGAAGTCGATACCGACTTACACCGCCCACTGTATCCACGATTTGGAAGTGCAAAGAAAAAATCATCAGGCTGAAACGGCACACGGTTGTAGTCAAAAACTAAGAAAGCCAAAATTTAAAGATTTGGATCGCAGCAGAAAAGTTTGCTGAACAGCTCGGCATTATCGATTTCAAGGCTTCCGAAGGGGAAGTTCAAACAGAGACATGCAATAAATTATGGACAAATAAGTGGCGAAGCCAGTGAAGTCGACAGAAACGTCACTAACGATTGGCAGGAGAAGACGTGGCCAAAACTAACGGAAAAGTACCCTGCTGACGACATTTTTAATGCTGACGGAATTGGTATATTTTACAAAATGGCGCCAGATAGAACTCTTAAATTTCGAAGCGAAAAATGTGTGGGTGGAAAACTTTCTAAAGAACATATAACAGTACTAGTAACTGCCAAATATGAACTAACCCCCGATATTTTAAGAACATCAACCATTTGTCGGGCACTTACAAGGCAAACAAGTCTGCATGGATGACATCGCAAATTTTTGAAGAGGAGATACGGAAATGGGATGCAAAATTAAAGGGGAGGAAAATATTACTTCCCTTAGATAACTGCCCTGCATATCCCCATATTCCAAATCTACGGAATAATGAATTGGCATTTCTTCCAGTCAAACCAACAAGGGTATTACAGCCAATAGACCAGAGCGTAATAAAAAGCCTTAAGAGTCGATACAGAAAAAACATTTTAATGGAAATGATCGAGTCCGAAGACAAATTTTCCATTAATATGCTAGATGCAATCAACTTTATTGGCAAAGCTTGGAAAGAGGTGACAGCAGAAACAATTCAATACTCCTATCGTCATGCAGAACTTATTACCGAGACAGCATGCGAACAGGACTTGGAAGATGATCAGCCACTAAGCGAGTGGATGAAGCAGTTTCAAATAACAATTACGTGTACAAGTGAGGAGTTGTAAGATTTTATGGTGATAGATCAGGATTTGCCTACAACAGCAAACTTGACGGAGGAAGCCATATTACAATAAGCAAGAAAGAGTGAGGAAGAGCACCAAGAGGAAGAAGAAGATGAAGAAGTTGATCTGGAATCACCACTAACCCTTCAACAAGCCCTATATTCAGTTAAGCTGCTAGAGATTTTTTTTATGTATCGTGGGGAAGATGCACGTCTCGAAAAAATGGTGAAAATACAAGCCAACGTACGAGATGCGTAATGGCATACTAAAAAAAATCAAACGAAAATGACCGATTATTTGAAACATTTAATGTAGGTCTTAAATATTTATATAAAATGTTCCTAAGTAGATGTTAAAATATGTATATAAAATAATTAAATATTACAGAACACATATGCCTATTGTTATTTCATTAAAGAAAACAGTCCGTTTAATTTCGCTATATAGAGTTTCGACTGTATTTAATTAACAACGTGTATTTAAAAGTAATGCCCATATGTGGGCCAGTTTGGATGCTGATAATCATGAAAAGATCTAATTCATATAACTATTAGAAGTCAAAGGAAATACTGGGTGGGCAATAAAATAGAAACTTCGATTCATATCGCGGAACCCCAATAAAAATCTGTCTCAACAAAAAAATAAAGTTTCCAATCAAAAACGTAGCTCAAAACTTCATTATCTATAAAATCTAACTATTTTTGGTTATTTCTGCCATAAATTTTGAAAATCTCTAAAATTTTATAATGTACCTTAGCATATTTAGTTATCACACCCTGTATCTCGCAGGATCTTCTTAAATAGAAGCTGTTTAGGTGTGGATTTCGCGGCGGAACCCTCAAGCTAACAGAATCGTATTTACTAGACAGGGAACATTTTGTGGGCCATGACAGACGTAAATCCTCTTTGGTGAAGGTCTCCATTAGAGCCCCCCAAGGGTCCGTTATCGGTCCTGTATTGTTTATAGTGTATGTTGCTGATCTACGCCGTTTTTTAGGGTCTGTCAAATATGCTTTATTTGCGGACGATGTCAGTTTTACCTTATATGGTCAAAATTCGAATGACCTGCACAACATTATCGGGGAACTGGAGAGCAATGCGAACAATTGGTTAAAAAATAATTATTTCAAATTGAATTACTTGGCATTACACTTGATAGTAGACTTGACTGGAAAGATCATATTTTATCCTACTTAAGCGAAAACTATCTCCCAGCTTATTCGTCCTTAGGAAAATTAGGGAGAGCCTAGGCCAAAATGCCCTAATGACAGTGTATTATGCTTTATTTCATTTCCACATATCATATGGCACAATATTATGGAGAAGCTCTGTAAATGCTGTTCAAATATTCAGGATACAGAAAAGGGCTATAAGAATTCTTGATGGGGCTAACCACAATGAACACTGTACTCCATATTTTAAAAAATATAATATAACGACACTGCTCTGTATCTATATTCTCCATAATCTTCTAGAAACTCACAAACATACTAATATATTTGAAGGTGTGTCTCCTAGTTATCCAACACATGCAAAAAATCGTATAAGAGTTCCAAAGCACAGACTTGTTATATCAGAGAAAAATTCTTTAAACATTAACTTGCACAATATGCTGCCAGATAGGTACAGATATATGGCCTTTGAGGTGTTGAAAACAAATATTAAAGTGTTGCTTTTTGAAAATTGTTTCTATAGTGTGGACGAGTATTCCATCAAAATAAAAAAACTAAATTGAAATCCTTGGCTTACTGAAATGTGTGAAGAGCATAGCATAGTATCTTGCACTTTCTGAACGATTTCTATACTCCGTGTTAGTGTTGTTGACCTTTACATTTGTTATTGTTCGCTACTGTGTTATTTATAAAATACGTTTTTTTACACCTATAAACTTTTTCATTTTTTTTGTATTTTTACCTTATATTGACAGGCTGCAATTGTATTTTAATTGTACAATATGTGGTTAATAAAGATTCTTCTTCTTCTTCTTCTTCTTCTTCTTGTATACGTCGACTAAACCCTTTTCTGGATCTTTAAAATAGAAGGAACAACAAAGTAGAAGCAAGCAGAGTTTATTAGAAGCCTTATAACACGTCAGTCGATGTTAACCACATATTTCTTCATCATGCTGTACAGAGGCTTGTTGACGATTTCGATGACATTCTTTGAGAACAGGAAATCGACGTGATTGAAGCCCTGCTCTATTTTGTACACTTCGATGTTCTTGGTCTTCGAGATAAGTTTGGCAATGCCCTAGAAATAAGTTAGTAACATTAAATGTGGGGTTAAAAACTTTGCACTAGCGCTATTATCAATTAGATTTTCTAGTTGATTTACGTCTGTTTGAGTACTTCCTCACCCAGTATATAAACCATATCAATTATTTCAGTTTCAGGAACATCCACGCTCAGTTTATTTTTAAATTTACTAACGCTGCAATAAATTTTATGAATTTGTTCACTCAGTTTCTATGACAAATGAAACAAAAGATTTTCAGAAAAACATATAATATACCGGTGAGTCCACCATTAGGATCTCGTTAACTGTAAGGTAATGTTACTTTGTGAAATTGAAGTTATTTTTGTTATATTGGCGGATTATCTGAAGCTATCGGTCTTTGTTTTTGTTTTTTTGTGTTTTTATTTTAAAACAATTAAATGTGGAAAAGGTGTGCATTATATCAAAGTGCACATATTATTGTAATTACTATTGAATAAAAATGAAAAAGATTATTAATCAGTAATTTTTAATCAACTTTAGCTTATTAGGAACAGATCCCATTATTTAGGTAAATAATAGGATTTCTATTATTTTTTTATCAAATTATATAAACTAATAACAAATTTTTTGTTTAATATACAGATTATAACTGGGTTAATAATTTATGTAAATAAATTATTCAAAAAATTGTATTGAAGCAGTAATTGATCCCGAAAAAAAAAATTTATTCTGTGCTGCATCATTTTCAATGTGAGCCACTGTAGATATTAATATAATAATAAAGGAAAACTGTTTTTATTTTCTAAAATGTTTTGCATGTATTTTTGTATCACATTTTTCTTTTTTAATTTTTGCAAAAATCAATTAACCAATATTTTGTTGGAAGCGCCGCCAGTGTAGTTACAAATTTAAATTTAAAGCAAAGAAATGTTTTTTTTTTATAATTTTGTTTCAGTTTTAACACTCTCATAATGGATAAGTGGCTAAATGATGGACCAACATCTACTAAACTTAGAAAGAGTGTGGATGAAAACCCAAATAAAAACCAATTCAGTGGCACTGTTGTTACTTCAAAAAATATTAGACAAACTATATTATGAGAAAATATCAAGAAGAGTTTATGAAATACGGATTTACATTTTGCGTTGTTGATGGGGAAGAACGTTCGTTGTGTGTTGATTGCTCGGATAAATTAGCAAATGAAAGTTTGAAACCTGCTAAATTAAGAAATTTGGAAACGACCATAAAGAATTTGCAAATAAATCTGAAATTTTTTTTAAAAGTCGACCTGAAAGTATGTAAAATCAAATTGTATTTTTGAAAACATATACAACAATTTCTGAAGAGGATCTAAGGGAACATATCATTGGAGAATCCCTCATCATTCCTTAGGAAATTAAAGTGACATCAATTATGCATGGAGAAAAATATGGTAACGATTTAAACAATACCAATATTAAGAAATACCATTTCTCGGCGAATTTCACCCATATCACGTATTATAGAATCAGTTCTGTTAAATTGAATACCAACCTTGACGAAACTACAGACATTAGTAAAATGTCTCAATTAATTGTTTATGTGAGATACGTTTTTGAAGAAGATGATCTTGCCTGGGCTCACTGCGTCGCCGTGCCGCAGCATTTACAGGTAGTAAAAAAGGACTTGAAGGGTTAATAATAAAAATTCCTCCTCATATAGTACTCAAACATTGCATGATACATAGATAAGCTCTAGTTGCAACAGACATCGATGAAGAATTGTACAAAGTAATGGGTGCTTTTTTTCGATGTATATGACTTTAAGTTGGCATTACTGTTCAAGATGGCGACCGATTTAAAAGCTGTCAAGTGATTTATTCTCAGTTTGGTTTGGCAATTCATCATGAATAGATTCATGCCTGAACAACGCTTGCAAATGGCCCCAAAACGAGATTGCCGTTGTTCCCGATTTTCATAAGCGAATTTTGTTTAGCGATGAAGCGCACTTCTGGTTGAATGGCTACGTCAACAAACAAAACTGCCGCATTTTGACCGAAGCTAATCCTCAAGTGTATGTCGAAACAGCGTTACATCCAGAAAAATTGACTGTTTGGTGCGCTGAATCAAATAATCATGATGTCCAGGAGATGTGGTTTCAACAAGACGGCGCAACATGTCACACAGTTTGGTGACCGCCTAATTTCACGTTTTGGACTTGTGAATTGGCCTCCGAGATCTTGTGATTTATCACCGCTGGACTACTTTCTGTGGGGCTATATAAAGTCATTGGTGTAAGCCACAAACGCTTGACCATTTGGAAGACAACATTCGCCGTGTTATTGCCGATATACGGCCACAAATGTTGGCGGCCGTGGCGGTCATATGCCAGAAATCATATTTAAAATGTAATGCTACAGATTATCTTTCGGATAAATAAAATTCATGTTAATCGAACGTTGTTTTATTGCAAATTAAAGTTCTATACATCGAAAAAGAACACCCCTTATTACAGGATGTTGTTACTGTAATTAATTACATTAAAGGCAACGGCCTAAACAGTCGTCTCTTTTCATTACTCTGTAATGAGATGGGTTCTGAGTATGTATATTTTTTTATTAAATAAATATTTGCACTCATATGAAAATAAAGTTGACTATGGGGAATTAATACTATTGAAAAATCATTAGATTTTAATGATATTCAAAACGAATTCCAAGGAATGTGTGTTTTATTCATCACGCGTATTTGAGCCACCCCGTATATTTATAAAATAATTTTAAATCGTGCATATACGAGAATTTGAGTTTTTTATTTTAATTTGATATATATTAATGTAACATATCGCCTAGGAGAAATAGTCGCGTTTTGTTTGAAACGTTAAAACTGGCGTTTGTTAACTAAAATTTTCATCCTCACCTCAGGTTTCGTTATCACGTCGTGAGTTCCGTAGAAATAAGCAGTCGGCGCGGTGATGTTTTCCAAATTGTAAATCGGGGGTTTAACTTGTCCGTAGTACTTTTTGTTCTCTCTTCGTCCATAGTCGTACAATGCGAAGCTATCTAAAGCACGAAGACAAAGCAATGCCGGTTCGAGTAGCCAAGAGAAGAAGAACCCACGAAAGAGTTTTAAAAATAAAGAATTTCAATTATTTGATGATGTCCTATTTAGTTGATTGTGATTTTTTTTATAACGCTTCAAAATCACCAAACTCCGGGGATTCAAATGCAATTGGAAAATTCTGCTTGCCTAGTGCATTGCGAAATTGAAGTATTTTCGATTCTCAAGCAATTCTTTAAATCTCATGAAAGACAATCGAACAGGAGTTCAACAAAACCGAACAATATTATCATCAATAATAGGACATTCGAGAAAACTTGGAAAAACGGAACCAAAAAATTTAGGTTTTGACAATTCTCTATCATTTGATTGTTATATCAAAACAAAAAAGTTAAAGTCAATTTTTGCCCATTGCATACCTTACCGTGGTGATATATCCCCTTTTTTGAATAGTTTGATACATTGATAACAAGAAAAACAAAATGTAGGGTTAGTAGCAAAGTTTTTTTTTTTAAGCAACGTATAAAACAAAACGCTATCAATTTTCTGGCATATAAGATAGCATCATATATTTGTGCCCTGAGTGACAAATAAAAACATGTTTAACATATTAGTAAACGACCTTGATGGTTGAATTATTGTCCAAGTAATTGTTAAAATGCTTCAAGTATACTTCTGAATAATAAAAGTGCAACCGCAGCTCATGGTGAGTATATTAGACTTAATCCAGATATTTCAGATAGTTCCAAATTTGCAGAAAACGTATGAAATGCTAAAAAGGTATGCCGTTAGGTATAATGTTTTAAATGGAGAAATGAATTCAAACGTATTCGGATTCTATGAACCACATCCAGTTTCCTCTATTACTAGAGTATATGAAAAGACAGGTATTTCTCAGGGTTCAATGAAAGAATATAAAAACCAATACTAAGTGCAGAACAATGTCAAGGGAGGATGCAGTTTTGTTTGGATTTTTTAAATAGACATACTAAGAATAACAATTATTTGAAAAATATTTTATGGACTGATGAAAGTTTGTTCGTTAAGTAATCCTAGGCAAATACACGATACAAAAAATCCAGGGGTACCAACGAATTAATGTATGGTGTGGTGTCACAAATTTTGGCTCCGATATTTGTAGATCAAAAGTTAACTATAGATCATTACTTGAAACTGTTAGAGCACCAAATAGAATAATGTATAAATAAATAATAAAATAAACATATCAGGAATATGCCATGGGTTGGATAGGGAACGGCGGAACTACGGATTGGCCAGCCAACAGTCCCGACTTAACTATAATGGATTTTTTCTTTTGGGGCCACATAAAAAATCACATGCACAGAACTCCTTGTAATAATGTCGTGGAACTTAGGCAATCAATCAGCTAAGAGACAATCCGAATAAATGCATACAATTAGAGTGTTTAGGAAAATGGTGGTATTTCGAATAGTTAAAGAATTTTTTACTTTAGTGTGTCCTGTCATTTTTAGTGTTATTGTTCTCCTTGAATTTATAAATTATTGTTGTTGCACTCAGTCAAGGCACTAATATAAAAATTTAAAAATATGAAGTGTTGTATCCTTGTAATCGGAGTAAGATGTTCTCTTAAACACATAAATAATTTACATTTAAAAAAATTTGATGTAAGCTTATATGTCAGAAAATTGATAGTGCTTTGTTTTGTACGTCACTTGAAAAAAAATCTTGGCAACCAACCCTACAAAAACAAAAAAGTCACTGCCAGTTAAAATGTGACCAAGATAAATTGAACGCACCACTGCTCCCATATTCCCAAAGAACAAAAAATAACTCAACTTATATTGTTCCTCGTTTTAGAACGTCAGCATTTTTCTTTTAGAAAGGTGTTGGTCAACGATTATTGTAATGGAGAGTTGATCCTTTTTGTCGAAATTTGGCATCCATGAATTTATATTATTGAACTGAGGAGGCTTTTACTTGACGAAAATCCATTTATCAAAATAAATAAGAACTAAAAGTTCAGATTTTCACGAAATTATGTATTTTGACATGACAATTGTTTCGACGACACATTCGATAAAGACACGGTGTTGTCGAAACAATTGTCATCTTAATTTTATTTTTTGTTTTTCCTTAAGAAAGACCAAGACATCGAAGTCACCATATTGAAATGGTGGTTTCGAACGTTTTCTTTTTTCTTTACTCAAACGCCCAATTTGGCTGAATTACGACGAAACTTACTAGACTCCACGATCTGCAGGTAATGGTTGAGCTGTTTTAAGGAACACCCGGCAGGTACGTAACTGAAGATCAACTGAAACGTTGCCTGAAACGATGCCAGGCTTACAGGGTGAGTTAGCGATAGAGCAAAGTTAATTATCTCATTGGTTCCGTAAGCTATGAGAAAAGGAATAGTAAGAAAGTTGTAAAGATTGCTGGGATGCATATTTAAAGTTTATTCCAAAATAAAACATACATTTTTTTAAATGGGATTATCTATTTTTCTAGTTTCATTTAGTATTTTCCCGTAACTTTCGAAACCGATGAGATAAAATACTTTGCTCTATCGTTCAGTTTATTAAGATTTCATTTAGCCGTTTTTGAGATATTTCAGTTTAAAAATAATTATCATTCGATTTATGGACAATACCAGTAGTCTGCCTTGATAGCAACCATATTATCTACGTTTGCAATTGTTTCAACAATGTTCTACTTTTAAAGATCTGCAGCGTAAGTTAAATAACTTAAGATATTTCAAATGGATTATATTGAAAAAGAAAAACACCAAATAATCAAATTATATTATTCAAACTATAAAAATATCAATAATTAATATAAATGGGGTTTCTACAAAGGTCGCATTGTACTTACGGGATCCACCTGATGGGTGTTGTCAGGAAAATTGAAGACGATGTTGCAAACGTCCACGAAGACGTTGATTTCGGAGCACACGAATCTCATCAGCGTCCTCACGAGTCTGTTTAGATTAAAGGGCAGCACTTCGTGGAAACCGATGCCCTTCATGACAGACTGGAAAAGCAGCCGTTGACGTAATTATAAGAGGGGTTATTTCTAACAAATGTTACTTTACATTGTGGGATTCTTTTGTGATGAAACGGCTAATATTTCTCCCGAAGTAATTGTTTCCTTTTGGCGACATTTTGATAAGCGTTGATACATTTCAAGGAAACATGGTTTGACTTCTTCAGAACTAGATCACCTTCTATTTTGTTATGTATAGTGGCCTTAAGGCTCTTTCATATTCTTCGACGTGTATTCAAGAAGTAAGGTGATTTTTATGTTTTTATAAAGATTGCTTTTGCTCAAAGTAGATTCACCATATGCCGTTGTCACCATTTAAAGTGTTTTACAGCACTGTATAGCACACAAAACACGTCTAACGGTTCTGTCTCAAAATAAAGTAAGCGGGCAAACTGGCTGAAACTGTGAACATGTGCTACAGACTTGTGTCACCTTACTTTTTAAACGCACCTGGTATGTCAAACAGAATTTTGTCTTTGACGGATCGAAGATGTTGCGAGATCTTTGGACAAGTGGTAAACGTGATTTTGATGTTATATTGCATAAGAATTTGTGGTCAGTGATGTTTCGAACATAAGGAAGGACAACAGAAGCTCGATATTTTACAAGAGAAAATGTTGGAGAACCAATAATGCTGATAATGCTGACGTTTCTGTTTACTAAAGTCCCTATTCGAAAAACTTTCAACATTATTTCCCACGTATTGAAATTCAAGAATGTAGAGAAAGTTCTCATCGTAAACATATGGAACATGATAGACATGACACGTTGATGATATTATTGTTATTTGGAGGTTTTCTTAAATGTATACGTCAGGTTTTTAAAAACTCCTTTGTTAACTTATTTGCTGATGACACGCTTATTTCAGTCTCTGGAAACGATTGCAAAGAAATAGCTGCCAAACCGAACACCGAAGTGCAGTATTTCAACGAATGGCTGTGTCAAAATAAACTGAAATTAAGTAGCTCCAAAACCAAGCGCATGGTTATCGGTTCTAAGGTTAACGGTCAAAAATTTTATAAGTCGGGGTATTCTGTGGATATACAGGGTAATAAAATTGAGTTTGTTTCCGAAATTAAATATTTAGGGGTGATATTGGATCCACAATTATGCTTTAGTAATCATGTTGAATACCTATGAAAAAAAAAATGGTAAGAAAATAGGGTTTTTTAACCGTGTATCGCGGTTTTTATCGCAGTGGACTAGGATATTAGTGTATCTTGTACAAAAGAAGATTTAAATAAGTTACAGTTACAACAAAATAGGGTTATGAAAATCATCCTGAGCTGTGATAGATATACTCCTACCAGGCTATCTTAAATTATGGTTGGAAAAATGGTCAAACTTTTATCAATATAATATACGTTCCAATCAGCACTTCAATGTTTCTATGGTAAAAACAAAAAATTTACAGAAAACTCTAGTCTACGACGGTGTCGGACTGCTGGATAATATTAAGGGCGCGCCTTGCCCAAGAGTGTTCAAGAAGAGACTTACGGGGTATTTGCGAAGTTTATAGTTTTGTTTATGCAAATTTTACTCGCTTATGTAAATAGGCAAGTGCTAAATAAAATAAATAAATAAAATTTTTAAAAAGAAAACTTAAGATGGACATATATATTAAACGTCTTCATTTTTGAGATACAGGGTAGTAAAGTTTTCAAAAATAACACCTTAGATATTTTTAAAATTTTAAAATACACCAGTAATAAATAAATTGCCTTTATTGTTGTGTATTGTTATATACAATTATACAATAGAGAAGAGGCGAAATTTAGCAAAAGCTACTCCACTTAACCTCTTAAATGTATTAATTGAAAACTAAATAGGAAGTTCTAATTAGTTAGGAAATTATAATATGGAACAATGGAAAGTTATTAAAAGTAAAAATAAAAAGAATAATATTGAAAATCAAATTATTCGAGCAGTTTCATCCTGAAACATTTTTTAAATAATTTAATTGATTGAGATTTTATTGAATCGGGTACACAAAAATTACAACAGCGTTATAAGAAAATGATCTGCGGAACAAAGACGAACGATATCGTCGCAGTGAGAGTCTGTAGGGGTGCCTTAAAGCCACTGACTGAACATTACGAAACTATAAATCAGCAATGACAATTTTTAGCCAGCTAAGTTCCTGGATTCTGTGGGAAATCCTATTAGATTTACGCAAGCCGAAAACAAATCTGAATTTTTTGCAATCTGTAATAATAATAATGTAATCTTTATTTAGAATTATGCTACATAAAAAATATAATAAATGTAATATAAATTCGAAATATAAAATTTATTAATTGTATCACAGTTTTTAACATCACCCGGTAAATTGTTAAAATGGTTTAGACCTTTATCTAATATAGAGTTTTGTACATAACTAGAATGACATTCTCTCAACATAAAATTTGCACAATCTCTTGAATTGTAAGAATGAATATCTCTGAAGTAGATATCTTTTTCACAAACATAATTGGGAACACACTGTTTAATCTTAAAAATAAATAAATGGACATTAAACATTTTTTTTTGATTTACAGACAAGAAATCATAATTGTTACATTTTAGTATATTTCTAGATATAAAATATATCTATAAATTTATTCATTATGTAAACGGCATGTATATGAAACGTCAAATTTGAGTCAAATATAACACCCAGATATTTAATTTCGTTTTCATGAATTAATTTTTTGTTGCTAATATAAATGTTTACATCGAAATTTAATTTACTCAATTTATGTCGTTTACCAAAAACACAAAATTTTTACTTGTCCGTGTTTATGCAAAGCTTCAGCATTCATTTTCATTCATTCATTTTTCTTTGCATTTCATCCACATTTTCACCCACAATAAAAATCATAGTGTCATCTGCAAATAATACCGCTTTGGAATCATCTAAAATATTTACAATATCGTTTATATACCTAAGAAACAACAATGGTTCCAAAACTGTCCCCTGAGGAACACCATGTTCTACAGTTATGCAATCAGATATGCAATTTTTATATTTCGTTTTTTATACCCTATCTGTTAAATACGAATAAAGTCATTTACACGCTGTTCTCTTAATACCCATTTTGTACAATTTTCTTAAGAGTCTAGTTCTACTTCTTGTTTGGCTTAAAATCCAAAAACACATCCAACACAAATTTACCATCCTCCGAGGCCCTCAAGAAATCATCACAGACAGTAACAACGACAGAGTCATTTGAATATTTGGGGCGAAGGCAATACTGATTAGGCACTAAAATATTGTTTAAGTTACAATAACTTTGCAGCTGCTGTTTCACTACAACCTCAAGAACCTTCCTAAATTCTTGACATAGATTGGTGTACAGGGATCACCAATGATGTCTTCCATGCCTCCGGAAAAATTCCACTCGTATAAATATTTATTAATACTATCAAGACATGGGTAATAGAGGACGAAACCACAGTTCATCATCGAAAGGACAGGTGAAATTAAGGACCGTTCTATGCCTGTATAAATGATGCAAAATCAAACAAGGCTTTCTCACCCACAAAGATACATATTCCACGAGTCTAAGTCTACAATCAAATATAATCCCAGGGTTTTTATTACAATTCACAATATTCAAACGTTCGCTTTTAATTGATAAATACAATTGGGATATTGATGATACGCCTCTCATTTATCTCAAAATAAAAATTACTCTTGGAATCTTATAATATATATATATATATATATATATATATATATATATATATATATATATATATATATATATATATATATATATATATATATATGTATATATATATATATATATATATATATATATATATATATATATATATATATATATATATATATATATAGAATTGCCTCTCTCAAAATCAACGTTCTTAAAATGGACGTTCCTACCTTGAAGAGTAGCCTATGCTTGCCGACCAGTTCCATCAGCAAGTAGTTATTGTCTCCAATGAAGGCGGACGGAGCCAGATTGACGCCGAGCGCTATTTTATCGTTGTATTCGGGCCTTTGGGTCGTCAATACCAAATATACCGTAGACCCCTGCGAGTGACCCACGTAAAACAGTTTCGATTTATTGGTAACAGTCAGGATGTGGTCTATGGCGGCTGGCAAATCGTAAACACCCACTTCGTGCCAGCTAAAATCAAGAAACACGGCTTAAGCCTTTATCATATGCATAACATTGTTTTTTTTTCGGATTAGAAGCAAACGAAACCTCACCTAACTCATTGGTTTGGTTAGTTTTCTTTAGTTTTGGTTAGTTACATACGAAATAGGCGATACCGATGATAACCGATGCGATATAATTTTCGGGTTTGTTACTTTCCTTTTTTTTACGTCCACAACTATGAGCGAGAAACTAAATTTATTTGAACTGAGGTGGCTTTTACTTGACGAAAATCTATTTAACAAAATAAATAAGAAAGTTCAGATTTTCCCGAAATTATATATTTTCACATAACTATTGTTTCGACAACACCGTGTGTGAAGTATTTACAAACTACCTGCTACTATATACTCGTATGCCGAAAAAAAAACATAAAACCTTAATTAATGTTGTTGTGAGAATTTAAGTTTAACAATACATTCGAATGTCTCATTTTGTTAATATCCATGCATTTAGAAACAATAGTCTAGATTCTAAATATGCTACACACTTAAACATAGAAAAACACATTTTTGACAATTTTGATATTTTACGTACAGCAACAAAAAGTAGAACATTAAATTTATTGGAAGCCACCGAGATTAACAAAATGAGACATTCAAATGTAATGCTTAACGATAAATTAGATTTAAATACCTCTTCATTATTACACTTAAATTCTCACAACATTAATCAAGGTTTTATTGGCATTTTTCGGTATATATAGTAGCAGGTAGTTCGTAAATATTACATTTGATAAAGACACGGTGTTGTCGAAACTATATAATTTCGTGAAAATCTGAACTTTTAGTTCTTATTTATTTGGAAAATTTTGAAAATGGAATCATATCATATCATATTATATATTATATATGTTACTCATTCAGGAACGAAAACCTGCTTTTTCTATGATATTCAACGACTTAAGGCCAGAAGATTTGCAGTTATTTTTAATACTTGCATCTCCCAGTCATTGAAACCTGCAATTTCAGAAAACATTTTGTTTGTATATGTGTTCTCAAGGAGTGTGCATTTTTCAAAAAGAGCCTTTGATGTATTACTGTGTAAATTGAAATTTTGAAAATACAAATAAGTATGGACGGACAAATGAGAACAATAACTGGACTTTTTTTAAAGCTCTACCTGTTTGTCCGATATACACTTTGTAGACTCCGGATTTTTGAGTTTTTCGTAATTAAATTTTATTGTTTTTTTTTTAATTTTCTTCTTTCAGTTTTTAAAGCTATTTTGAGGCAAAATTTACTTAGGTGTTTCCAAGCAACAATATTTCATTCCTTTTCGCAAATTTCTGCGTATTAAAGAATAAAAAGCAACTATTATGGTGAATGGAAAAATCTAATTTCTTTGTGTTAAATTGTTAAAATAATAAACAATGAAATTGTTAATGAAACTTTTTTTTCTGAACTTGTTGTAACTGTCAATTACCATTAATCATAAATGAATATAATTTTTTTTTTAATTAAAATGAACTATTTGATTTGTTTGTTAACTTAAAAAAATAATTATAAACAAAATATGAAATTTATTTAAACTTTCATCGCATTATGTTATTCTATGGGTATACAGGAAATTTATTGAAATATATCTTTTCTGATTTGCAATAATGAACTTTAATGAAAAATTTCAACGGGAATCAGCATTTTTAAATGTCTAGATTATACCTTAATTTTTTAGATTTTCTTATTTCTTTATATATCCTAAAAAAAGAATTATTGTATGCGAGCAACCTCAATTTTGTAGCGTTAAATTGAAATGATTAATAATGTAGGTACAGTTTCGGAAATCCTAAATTTTTTTAGTAAGTTTCCTCCTCTTTAAGGATCTTTTTTTCAAAATCCAAAAACAATTATTATTATTTTACGCAGTATGAACAATAAACTAAACATTACTTTATACCATCTTTAATTGTTTGTAACTTTTGAAATTTTTAATGTTTTTAATTTTTAATGCCTGGTAATAGTGTGTTATTAACTAGACTAAAGGACGTGCAAATGTTTAAAGCTCTTTTTTCCTTTAGGCCAGTATAGACAATGACTTTTCTTATAACATGCATTTTTGACAATGGAGATAAATTAATTTGTTGTATTGTTTTCTTTGTTTGAATGTTACCCACCATTTTTTTACCTGAAATTCCAAAACTCTGGGTCTTTATCCGGGTTCCACTTCCGGTGCTTCCGGGAATGGTAGTTTCCCCGGGTGTTTAGCAGCCAAATGTCGAAGTCCCTATCGGCGAGGTACCAACCTATGCCCTTTCCGTATCCCGGGAACAAAAACATCTCCCCAACTCCGCCTGTGCCGTGAATACAAAGTACCGGGTATCTGTTGGTACCGTTGGAATGTTTGCCGTGAGGTATTCGGTGAGCGGTCAAAAGGTACCCGTCTTCCGTTACCACCGTGTGCCTTTCGAGAGGGTAACCGTACTTCCCTAGGAACTCGTCCTGTAGGTACCGAAGAATGCAGCAAATTTGTACAAATATTGGTAGTAGAGTTCTCCAAACGATATACCATTTTGCAGATTACTCTATATTTAAGACATCAAACACGAATGTAGAAACATTTAAAGGGGAAACACAGTTCCCGAAGGAATATACCAATAGGTAGTTTCAGCGAATCGCCTAAAATTGAATGAGGAGAAAACGCACTCGTTAGTGATGTCAACAAATGTAAATATTTCGGAAGGAAGATCTGATTCTCTCTTGGAGGTCCTCCCAATATTGCTTATTTAGTAATGCGCCTCTCAAGTGTCAACTTTTTGAAAAATTTAATCGGAAAGGATTATCTAGTCTCGAGCTACTATGCTCTTTTTCGTTGAGTTTTGTACATATGCTGACTAGCAAAACTATTAAAGAAGGATTGCCCTTGGATATGGACACAAGAAGAAACTAAAATAATGGATGACTTGAAAAGTATGCTTACCTCAGAGTCAATATTAGCAATTTTTAATCAAAATTGTAAAACGATAGCATATACTGATGCTAGCAGAGAGGGATTTGCCGGAATAATTACCCAAATTTCTGAAAAAGTAGAAAAACCAGTGGCGTACTATGGTAAACAGACAACCAACGAAGAAAAAAATATCATTCATTCGAACTTGAACTTCTAGCAATCGTGAAAACACTAGATAGATACAGGTACTATCTAGCAAGCAGAGAATGCACAGTTATCACAGTGTGTAATTCTGTCAAAAATGCACTTTCAAAGCAAAGTATAGTTCCAAGAATTGCAATATGGGTTTTATATTTACAAGATTTATCGTTTGATCTTTTACATAAACCAGGGTCACAATTACAACACGTAGACGCGCTTAGCAGACATTTTAAAAGTGAAAATACACATGATACTGAACCGGAGGTCCGAAACGTTTCAGCAATTTTTGAAGATGACTACTTACGTGAAGCTCAAACAAAACGATAAAAGAAATTAAGGATATTCTTTTGTCAAGAGACAACGAAAATAAAAATATTTTTATACAATATGACCTACGAGGGAATAAACTGTATCGCGTAACAGAATACAAATGCAAAAATGTGTAGATGGCAAATAGTGAAAGCAAACCACGATGGCATAGGACACTTCGCTTTTGATAAAACGCTTGAGCGTATAAAAGAAAGATATTGGTTCCCAAAGATGCGCAGATTTCTTAAAAAATATATACTGCAGCTTGGATTCACACCACAAAATGTGGTGTATTGGTAATAATAGATGCTTTAACAAAATTGGTCTTTTTAACAGCAGTAAACATCAAGTAAACATGTAATAACTACACTGGAAGAATTATTTGAATATTTGGTAATGCTAGGCGTTTGATAACCGACGCCGGAAAAGCATTGTATCACAAGAATTTAGTAACTATACTGCAGAAAGAGGAATAAACGTATTCACCACGGCAGTTGGCATGACGAGAGGAAACGGACAGGTCGAAAGAGCAAAACAAGACAGTGCTAGACTCGTTAGCAACAATGGGTGCCAAATTAGGTAGCGATATGTAAGAACAAACAACAAGGCATTAACAGCACAAAACATCGTAAGACGCAAACAACATCTAGTGAATTGTTGCTACATATTAAGAGCAGATGGTTAACAAATATGTCAGTGATAATGAAGTGAACACCATAGACGTTTCTTCATTAGGAAGGGAGGCAGCTAAAAAGCTTGAAGACAACAGAATTAAACAAAATGAGCGATTTAACGGTTCAATTTGTTATAGGGGACTTAATTGTGACTAAGATTACTACTTTTCCAGCAAAGAATATAACGAAAAAAAAAGCAGTCGACTCTCTATCGTTTGGAGGACTTTAACAGGTTTTACATGGTCTTTTTTATATTGAAGCTGCAATACGAATTACAATTACGCTATTTTTATCTATATTATTGATAATTAACCTTTATATAATTAATTATCTTTATTTTGAACTCCTTTAGAGTTGAAGCCTCTATAATGTTCCATGTTATATAATTTCGAACCTTGGTTTCTGCGTTTTTTTAGGACAGGTGCACGATTTTGCTGCTTTGAAAGAACGCGAGAGAAATATAAATCAGCTTTAAAAATTAGTGGGTCTTAGCCATATTTCAAAGGCCAACTGTGGATGAATGTCAAGAATCTCCACAGCGGCAGATAGTTGACCTACCTGTGCCTTAGTGTTTACAATTAGAATTACAATTCTAGTTAGTTTTTGTTAGATATACTATATATACTATATACGAGGTGTATTAAAAAAGTAAGGTTATTTTTGTATAGTATGTTGGTACACGTGTCCCTAACATATTAAATATCATGAAAATACACTCAACCCATTACAAATAATACAAAAAAAACAGTATCTTGAGATCCGCTAAATTCATTCCGCTTTAAATCTTAATACTCTTTTTTACCTTTTGTATACCTTGTTAATTATCAATAAAGATGATGGAAAATGTTTAATACTCCTTAATTGTTAATGCTGTTTTTTCTCTACGTCATTGATTAGCATTTATATAATACACAAGATAGACAATTTACTCGTAGTTAAGAATCATCATCAATATCCTGAGTAATGTTTTGGAAAGGTTTTCAAACCAATTAGCATACTGTCAAAAAATTAATGATCGACATTCTCAACACGATAATTTCCTTAACAGGATATTTATTCTATATTACATGAATATTTCGTAAAATTTGTATAATATAAGTATGAAGTTGCATGTTCAATGTATTTTTATCCACTGTTGTACTTGTTGTACTATGAGCGTACTGTCCAAGTGATATTCTGTGATCGCCAATTAATACACCCGTTTATGTTGCTGGATACGTCTTGAATATTACAAAATTCGACACTGAAACCGAAAATTTATTTAAAAAATGGCGTTCCGGTAAAAAAGAAAGGAACTTGTATATCTCAAAAATTACACAAGAAGATTATAATTGCCGCGTAATTTATTACAGTCAATTCCCTTAGATAGCAACCCTTACATTTTTCATTGTGCGCCACTTTTACTGGCAAAACAATATAAGTGAATCAGGATCATCATAGTGACACAATATAAAAGATATCACAAAAATAATAAGACATAAAAGACATCAGCAATCAGTTTTTTCATGCATGACTTACCAGTAATCAATAAAAACGTTTCGAAAATAACTATCATATTTTGTCATTAAAAAAATCCAATTATTACTTCTTGTTTTGTAAGGCTGAGTTTGGCTTAATTAATTGCGACCCTCAAAATGACCCTCAAAAGATTTTAAAATTAAAATTAAAATTACACTTGACATGGCTGTTATTATTTACTTTTTTTTCTCAATATAGGCTTTTATTTTCACTTATTGCTTTTATAGCAGCCAATTTAATCGGGCATTTTTAAAAGTTTTTATGCAGGGATGCGCTCCATGGTGCCCGTGAAATGAATAATTTAAAAAAGATCACATTTCTTGACACATGGTGAATGCGCCAAGACTAACGTCACTCAATAACGTTTCAGGGCATGCAAGCGTCATTTTTGATAAAAAAAAGATTTTTCGACTCAGTCGTAGTACACATACAACATATACAAAAATGTAATGATATAAAGTTTTTTCTATTTAAAATAATTTAACAGAGCCTTATTTCGGACGCCCTGTACATATTATAGCAAATAAAATATAACTTGATATAGTCTGTCTCAATTTTCATCGTGTTGGCTTTCGACGAACCTTCCCCAATAAAACTTGAAGGATGTTATATGAAATCAAAAAACAAAATGTATGTAATAATTTGGCTGAACAGGTTTGGAAAACGGTTTTACGTCTTCCTCCATGTCATTGCATGTTTAACCCCTATCAGAACAGCACATTACAAAAATTAAGGACACTTCCATGGGCATTTCTATATAAGACAAAATAAATAGTATAAACCTTTGATGGTCCGTGCCTAATGCTCTGTCCTTTAATACGTACCGTTGGGAGGTAACTTTCAGAATTGCTACCAGAAGCCAGCACGATGAAGATTGAGACAGACTATACCATGTCGGTTAATAAGTAATCAAAATACGAAACGGGGCAGATATTCAATACTCACGATGGGCAGGCCAGCGTCGGGATGTGAAATGAAATTCAGTGGTTTGTTAATCAGGTAATTGACTATAACAAAGAAAACTTTAAATATGGTTGACATAACAATCCGCTGTCCGCTATCAACCGCAAACTGACGTGACCCTTTTCAAGAATTCGGCACTCGCATTTCATTTATCATTAATGGTATTTTTTTATTTTTTAATTGGCCCATTTGTTAGACTCGAAAGGTTAAACGAGTGTTTTTTATGTCGTAAGTCGGCGACGGTTATAAATTGAAAAAAAAATGTCAGTAATAAAATGCCTGTCGTTTTAAAGTACATCGGATATCTAATTGGCGCAGAATCGAAGGTTGTTTGCACCAATTCGAAGGAGCGTTCGCTTTACATTTTTAGTACGAACATACTTAAAGGACCCGTTTAAAGCTTAAAACCTATAGAATTATGCCACATAATTTTTATAAACAGGTATACGGTGGAAAATGGTAATAAAAAGAAAAAACAGTTAGACAATCTTTATTTTTGCGGTTCTTGCCGGTAGGGAATATTAATTGGCATGTCAAAAGTATTATGAAAATATCACATGTGCCTTTTAAAAGATTTGGTGAGCTTTCAATCTAGTATAAACAGATTCCCGCAGATAAAGAGGACAGGTAAACAAAACCCAAACCCAAAAGTGACAAAATGTCCGCTACAATAATAATAAATGAATAACTTCAATGAACTACGGTATGATTTCAAATTTTTGAGCATTAATTTTAAAAGGTAAATAAATATCTCTCTACAAAACTTAGAAATCGCCTTACATTTTGAACACGCCTCGTATATACTGCTGTGCGTATGGGGTGTGCAAAACTTTTAGCCACGAGTGAGTTAAAAAGTTGTAAACGTGTTGCATACTATACTTTTTCTACGACCGTTAGTTTTTGCGTACATTTTCGCAAAACAGGAATACATTCACTGACAGGACCACCAGAATTGACAAACGTCAAAATTCAAAGCGTGGGAAATATCTCCGAAAACATCCGATTGCTCCCAAACCCGTGCGGTAAAATCCCGGAAATGTCCGAAGTGGCTCGGATTCGTGGAAAACGAAACTGGTAAAGTGACGCTTTCCGCACCCTAGATCGGTGCGTAATTGGGTATTTTACAGACGGGAGTGGGAAAAGAAAGTTTATTTTCACTCTGAACGCACATTTTATATTAATAAAATTAATAATTACATAAAAAAATTAAGTTAAACATCCGCTTTTAGTAACATACGGATCTACAACATCTTAGCAGTGGGGCTGCTGTTCTAAATAAATAAACTAATGAGAAGCGCTACTAAAAACCGCCAAAAAATCACGCCATATTACCGTTAACTAGTGATCTGGGAATGGCGGCAATTAGCGTAACAGAAGTTGCAACTAAACACTAAAAAAGATAAGATATGCAAAACTCTTAGCTGACTTGTATTGAGGGTTGCATAGGACGCGCAGTCTACACGTCCCCGTTACGGATTAATATGGTTAACAAAAATGCGAAGCACAAATATAAATGAAGTTTATTTTCACACTGAACATACATAGAACACTTTTTTTTGGTAATATTAGTTACGTGCTAAATACGCTACAAAATAAATAATTACACAAAGATTTTAGGTTAGGAACAACGAAATTTTGGGGTTTTGCGGAAAATAACGTTATTCTTCTTCTTCTTTTTTTGTAACCATGGGATCAAAAATGAGGTTATAAATGCAGATCGGGCAACGCATCGAGGTAGTTCCTTGTATCGCCATGGTTTTACCGATTAAAATTATCCAGTAGTTGGCACTACCGACGAAAATTAATTTTAATTTACGAATTTAAATCTTAAAGAGGTGCCTTAGTAGTGGTGCAGTTACGTTCTAAGTAAAATTAGTAGTGGCCACGGAAGTATATGGTATTTGTTCGTCGCTTAGTCAAACTTGAGGCCCTCTTGCACTTCGGACATTAAATTTGCGGATTTTAGTAGCGCTTCGTGTTCGTCTCCGTTGAGCTGTTGCTTGACTATGTAAGAGACGCCATTTTCTCCCAGGACCGATGGGACAGACAGGAACACGTCGTGCACTATGTCGTGTTGCCCCTGAAAGGAAACCAGCGGCGCGCTGAGCAAAAGGGTTCGCTAACAAAGCCTCCGATGACACATGAAATGAAACTGCCCACTTTGGTCCGGGTTCGAAATAAAACGCATCGTACCGCAGCTTTTTTATTCGAGACAAGGAAATATAAAAATAGAGTCGCTATAAATGTAGATATATCAATTGCTAAAACTAAAAGACTTTTCGCGACGCGTAGCAACGTCGCCGAGGGCCGCGTTGCCGGGTCGCGCGAGATTTCGCGAAAAATCGGACGGGTATCAAAGCACCAACTCCTTCTGAACTTTTTGCATGATATTCGCCGAGTTTTGCAGGCTGGCCTTCTCTTCCTCGCTCAACGTTTGCGATACGGTGTGAGATATGCCGCAGGCCCCCAAGACCGCAGGCACTGACAGGTAAACGTCCCATTCGATACCGTGCAGGCCCTGAAGATCGACAACGGGTTTCGAAACGACGATTTTTTTTCCGAATTCGCTTGGAAGTTTGGGTTGGCTCAGTTGAACGTGTTTTATACAGAGTGTTTTCGAATCGAATAAGAAACACCGGATTTCTTGGGGATATGCGATTCTTTTTTAAGTATATTGTCGTCGATGTAAACGTAAAATAAAATAACATAAAATAAAATAAAGTAAAAAGAGGAAAATATAATGAATAATAAATTTTTTCAAAGAAACTTGCTGACGTTTCGCCAACCATCCTATTGGCTTCTTCAGAGCACTGAAACTGACTCGCATACTATTCCGCACCTACTTATATATTGTTTGAAGAACTAACCGAACAATCCTAACCGCGATTCAGGTCTTTACTTTTCACCAATATGTGACGTAGCCATATATATACAGAAAGGAGAAAAAAACTCTACCTCTATAAACAAAATAAAATAAATAAATAAATAAATAACGCATGTTACAAGCCATGCGATGTGTGTTCAAATAATAAGGTGACGTTTACAATTGGGCGGGCTACTCACGTTGGATCTTCGTTTTTCACGTTCGCTGTTTCAGTCAGTGTGCACGTTTTTCCTTTTTTTTTGTGAGACAGAAACGTTATGTGCTCAGCGATTTTTTGTTGTCGAAAATAGGGAATTTGCATTAAATTTTGTATAAAAAATGAAATATAAAGCTGCAAAATACAGGAAACGCTGATAAAACTAAAGTTTCTCAGAGAAAAATGGCAGCCAGTTTCAGTTACGCTCTGCAGGAATTCAGAATATTTGTAGATAGTAATATTAAAGTTTTTTTTTGTCATAATAACTCGTACTTTGGTCGCACACTTAAATAATCGCATATTGTTAAGGAACGCCTTAAGTAACTTAAATTTACGTTACGTAGGGCGACGCAAGAGCAACACTTACCTTTTTTTTAAAATTTGAATGCACTGTTTTACCGCGGAAAACGATTTGTTTAAGTACGGGGCGTTCTAACGTTTAATACAAATTAATAAAAGGCGCATTAAAAAATAAGTCTGTTTTCTCCTGTCCGATTCAAAAATAATGGATTTTCAAAAATCTTTTAGCTGATTGTGACAAAACTTGTCGCCATGAGGACCTCCATCTTGTACAATTAAAATTGAAGCATATTTTTTTATTATATATACTATATCGCGATTTTATATGCACGGGAAACTTTAAAGGCTCTCTTGGACGCTCCTGTAATAGATTATTTCATTCCAATTACACAAAGCGACGGCCATTATGACGTCAAATAAGTAACAATTTTTTAATGAAAAAAAAAATCCAAAAAAACACCTTTTTTGAATTAAAAAGCCGGCGTTTTAAACTCTCTTTTATGAGACACGCGACATTTTATGGGCGCCAAATGCGTGTTGAAGGTTAAGCGAATTGTAGCGACGAAATCTACCTACGCAAGCTGAAACATGATGATGAAAATGGCGGTTACTCGGTTTGGTTTGCTGCGAACATTCAACTAAGCCAATGGAATAACTACCGGCCAATTTTCACGAAAAAATTCAAAAATACGAGTTTTTTTAGCCCATAAACGTATATCCTAACTTGCTTCACAATAAATTATTCGAAAACCTTTTGTTTTTATTTAATGCGATTAGAAAAAAGATGTTAAAATCCCAGCGGGCCACAAAGGAAAATTCGTTGTATTATATATACTTTTTCCAGATACGTTTAGTTAAAATATGCTTTTTCGCGTTTTTCAGTTTTTTTCGTGAGTTTTTGAAAAGAATAAATTCGTTGTATTGTATATATATATTTTTTAAATTCCTTTATTTAAAATACACTTTTTTGCCTTTTACAGTTTTTTCGTGAGTTTTTGAACAAAATAAATAAAAACCTGGGACATAGGAATTCGTTTAATGCGATTAGAAAAAAGGTGTTAAAATCCCAGTGGGCCGCGAACGAAAATTCGTTGTACTGTATATAATTTCTTCTAGATTTGTTTTTTTTCGAATTTTCTAGTTTTTCTGTGACTTTTTGAAAAAAATAAATAAAAATTTGGAATCATCACTTTTTTTCCTAATTACAGAAACGAAAAGATTTGATCAAAATCGAGAACAAGTAGGTAAAAACGCTGCATCAAGCTAGGACATAGGTTCAGACTACGGTTTTTACGTGAAAATCCGCCGTAGCTGGAGTCGAAACGAAGTTGGGCGAAAATTCTCCTACCTTGACGTAAGTGGAGACCGCGTGAACGTTATTCGAGTTTCTCAAGATGCTGGAGGCCAAAGAGGCGACGCTGAGCCCAATAGCCCACGAGGTGTAGCCCTTGAGCTTGATCACGTCGTACGCGGACGATATCACCTGCTTGTGGACGTCTTTCCAGTTTTCCGGGTCCCTGTCCGTCCCCACCGCGGGATTGATTTCCCTCAGGCGCACTCCGGCCACATTGACCCCCGACCAAATGGCCACTGCGCCAAAAACAGCCCCATAACCCCCGCCGTAGCCACCAAAATCCATTATTTACCGCTAGAGTCGCCGTGCTCGCCGATAATCCAGCCGTGGACGCTACCAGGTGACACCCCGAGCTTCTGGGACACCAAGAACCTGAACCGGGAGGTGTCCAGATTGGTACCGGACCCGATGACTCTGTTCTTGGGCAAACCGCTCAGCTTCCAAGCGACGTACGTCAGAATATCCACGGGATTGCTCACTACGAGCAAGATAGTGTCAGGGGAGTATTTCACGAGATTGGGCACGATGTGTTTCAACACGTCCGTGTTCCGTTGCACGAGGTTCAGTCTCGATTCGCCCTCTTTCTGACGCACACCTGGAAACGGGGCTTTTAGGTTAGGTCGGGCGGCGCGAGGTGGGCGGAGCGTGTTTACCCGCGGTGATGATGCAGAGCTTCGAGCCCGCGGTGACGCTGTAGTCTTTGCTCGCCGTGATGGTGGCGTTTTTGAGGAAGAGGGCGCCGTGTTGCAGGTCCATCATCTCACCTTTGAGTTTATCCTCCATGACATCGACCAGAACCACATCGCTCGACACTCCCTGTATAAATAACCACGCGACAGCGCTAGAATCGCATACTTTCTTAAATATCAACATTCGCACAGGTAATTGCGATTTAGTATGATGTTTTTTCGATTATCTCGCGTGCTCTGTATGACAGGCGTTAGGTTGTAGAGACCATAACATTATCCCTAATTTAAAAACTCTTAATATTAAAAATTTGATAAGACACCAAATCTTAGCTAACCAACGGTGGTGGGTTTTAACGTAAGTCCACGTTATTTGCTGCGCTGATTCTTGTTCGATTGAGTGGACTGTATTTTTCGATAACTTTATTTTTTAACTTTTACAACTTAACAAACTTTTACAATTAACAAACAAAGGAAAAAACATATGAAAATGAATAACGGAGCTTAACGTTTGCTAGCACGGGTTGTAATGTCGAGACCCAGCGTCCCGCGGTCTCTTAAGTGTCGGCAGCGCCGATCCCTTTTTTGCAGGCAACCTTTTTTTACGGTGCTCGCGATGTTGCCGTTGCTGGGCAGTTTTGAAGATTGACCAAACGGTTACACCACTAACCAACCTAACCCGTTTGTTTTACTTTGCATGTCGATAACTGACCATTAAAAATACGAACTATGCAAATCTAGCGAAATGCCAAACAACATAACCAAACATGTTTTCGGAAGATGGATTGAATTATAAAATGAAAACTGATGAATGTATTAATTAAATAGTCTTACAGAAACACACTTAACTCCAAGATATATACGAGGAGAGTGGAAAACTCGATTCCACATAAGACACGATTAAACTTTTTTTTTTACTTCTGATTTTAGAAGATTCATTATTTATTTTGTAGGAATGAAAAATAAGCAAATTATAAACAATTTTAATGAGTCACAAAAATAATGTTTAAGTGTAATTGAACAGTAATTAAACGTCACGTGTTGAGCAGAAATGGTTTATAACGCATTTCGAGTAACACGCAAAACGCAAACGGCAGCTAAAAAAAATTGAAAACAAACTTACTTGTTTTAATGCCATTTTGACCTTTTATCAACTTTTAGATTATACAAGAAATTTAGTGCAATTGATAATAACCTGAATTGATTATGATTTGATTTTAAATAGAAGGTAATGTCGATGTTTGCTTCTTTTGGTTTTGTCATATGAACTAAACTATATACGATGCGGAGGACACGTGACCAACGTCAAATTGGAAAAATTCGAGCTGTAAGTGAAGGTTAGATGAAAAAATATCCAAAAAGGTTACTCACAATGACCTTTCAGAGCTTTGCGCGAAATTTCAGGAGCGCGTTTTTTTTGCAAAAAAAAAATTGGTTAAAAATGTCCTTAAAGTTTAATTGTTTTGAATTAATGAATGAAAATGATAAACAAAAACAAAACGTCAACCTTTCGGATCGATCGCTATTAATTTTTGCCAGTCGCGGCCTCAGACTACGTACTTGGGATAAAATGCTGAAGGCGCAGGCCATCCCTACTTGCCCGACGCCAACCACCGTGACTTTGTTGCCCGAGTCTGCCGCCGGAGGCGATATCATCGACAAAAGGGCGTCTCTGGTATTCATCTCGAACCGCTGAACACTTCTGAAACATTAAGCGACTGATCAAACTTCCATTTCGGTAAAAAATCGGCATAAAAAAATCATGATCGTCAGCGTTCGTTTATCATTATTTATGCTTAATTTTAATACTCATTCGATTATTAATCTACCACATTAAGTCACGACAAAGCGATAACAATAACGGGCACTTTATTGAATCGACTCTTTTAGTAAAGTTAATTGGTTAGTAGATAACATTTTAGTTCGTGGTTATCAATGTATGCAGCATAAAAAATCGATAAATAACGCGATGTGCATTACCATTATACTGGAACGTTTACCACAGTGTAATGACCTTGTCGGAATAGTTATAGGAATAGGTTAGCTTTGGTTAGTTTTGTTTTTTTTTTGTTAGTTTTGGTTAGTAATCGTTAGTTTTGTTTTTGTATTGGTTAGTTTTGATTAATTTTGGTTAGTTTTGCTTTTTTTTGGTAATTTTGTTTAGTTTTGGTTAGTTTTTTTTGTTAGTTTTGGTTAGTGAGTGAGTTTATTTTTTTTTTAATTTTGGATAATTTTGGTTAGTTTTGTTTTTTCGCAGACCTTCGGGGGACCGTGGTAAAACCCATCCCAACAGCATTAAGTTGATCTTGCCTGAGATGAACCGTAACGAATATTTGTAGAAAATTGAACTTTTTATTTGAAAAGTAAATGGACCGTTTTAAATTTGATTATGCATTAGTCGAACCTAAACTAAATAAATTGTTTTGACTGTTTACAATTTTATAAGAAATTCAGATGGGAAAAGTAGGAGCAGCAATAAAAACAAAAGACTCGACCAAACTTCCAACTGTAAGAAAAACTATTGCAGATGGGATAGTCAAGAGGAAAGTGAGAGAAGATTGCTGGTATTTGGTACCGTCGGCACCCTTTTATCATCCTACCGAACCCGTGTTCCCATATTATAAACACTATTAGTTTTATATTACTTTTAGAGGCTCACGAAAGAATAAACTAGGCTTGGGTTGTTCAGTTATTAAAAAGCTTTGAATGTAACAACACAACTCTTTTCGCAGTACATGTCATGTCTAGATCGAACGATTAAATAAAAGTTTTAAAAACGAGTAGTATTTATTTCATAAAGACTACATCGGAAGTGTTTTAGTGTTTTTGTGGTAGACTGTGTGCAATTAAATATGCCTAAAAAAAAGTAGTAAACGATACCGATCGCGAAGTGTAACTAGTGAATCTATTGGGACTTCAAGAAGTAGTTCCAGTTCTTCGTCAAAGCGGTGAGTATTCTTTCTTCGCCTGTATCATCGTCTGTTTTAAACCACTGCAATAACTTTTCGAAGAACATTGAAATGGTAAGTTTTATAGCAGAGTTCGATCCAATAAACGCTCAAATTAATCAGTGGACAGAAGTCATTGAACATAATGCAAATATCTATTCGTGGAAAGATAAATTTACAATTTATCAAGCGATATCAAAGCTAAGAGGGACTGCACAAACATAGTATACAAGTTTTGTGGAAAATGAATTGGGATACATGGAAAAATATCTTTTTAAAAACATTTCAAGGAGCTAGAAGCACATATAATATATTTATGGGTATCGCCAATCATAAACCAACAATGGGATGCTCATTATATCAGTTTTATTTTGACCATTTGACTAGAATTAACAAGATTGCTTTCGAAAAATCGTCGCTGGGCGGGGCAAGTTCGTTGCAAGTAGCGCGAATCAGCTTTTTATTATAAAAAGAAAGAGCTTCGCGGATTCGTGCATTGTTTTTCTATCGTGCTCCTGCGTACCACTATGGAACTTTCGCAAAGTCGATGTAATTTAATTGCGAATGCACCCTGTATAAAATGGCCTTCGCATCTCGTCGAACTTCAAAGTTGCAGTAAACATCTGTAAATATTAAAATTTGCACAAATAATAGCGTTTTCGAATTATGGTTTTTTCAAATATTTCGCGCCCTGTATAATTGACGAAACCTGAAACTCCCTCTCGACACAGTTTACGATACTGCTCAAATAAAATTATCCCATCTTTAACGGTTTTGCGTTTATAATAATAATTTATCCATAAAAACGGAAATTTTTAGGATCTTCTAGATTTTTTGCCCATAAAATGCTCGGAGTAGAAGTTATAGCCCTGTATCTTCCACGTTTCCTGGTTCAAGAATTTTGTTGAAAATAGTAAACGGAATATCGGGAACACCCTGTTTAATAGGAGAAAACCTTAAATACACAAGTTTTTACTGTCTAGGCGAGCTATATCGCAATATAAAAGAAAGTAAGATCACAGTCTTTCAGTTATAAACAATTTTCAATAATAGGGGGACCCATTTTTCAGTTTTTTTTGAAGTACCGGCGCACCCTGTATATTTTTTAAAAATTGTCAAGAATAAAAGTTTATGGAGCCATATCTTCCGCGTCTTCTGATTCAAGAATTTTTTTGGTCTCGTAAACGGTTTTTAAAGAATTATGGTTTTTGTAGACCCTTGCACACGCGACACCCCAGCCCTCCCATTTTCATTAGGTTCCATCACGGGGCAAAGCTGCATATATATATATATATATATATATATATATATATATATATATATATATATATATATATATATATATATATATATATATATATATATATATATATATATATATATATATATATATATATATATATATATATATATATATATATATATATATATATATATATATATATATGGCAAATATGAAGTCGATTGCTGAGGGTTAGAAAGGAGGCAAATTTAGTAGCTCCAACGGTGCGAAAGTTATTCAGGAAAAACCAAAAGACGACAAGGTAGAACAGACAAACAGACAAAAAAAAATTTTTTTTCGACGATGATCATTTGTGTACCAACGGCGATCCCATAGGACCTACCGTTAGCGAGATATAAAATTTTTATACGAGCGTAGATACTTTTGAAAAATTCGATTTCATCGAACATAATAAATTGTTACTTGTACTATTTTTTTTGTACATGTTTCAAGAATTGCTCGGCGAAAAAGATTGAAAACATACTCATATCCCGCTTGCTAGTGAAGGTAGCTAAAGTCCTAAGACGGTCTTGGAATGGTTACGGGTACGGGCGTTCTATAAGGGTCTGCGGTTTTGGAGTAATAAACAGTAGGCAAAGTTAATCAAGGAGTCGGTTGTAAAAGCACTATATTTCTGGTGGAAGTATATCTTGTAAACTCCTAAACAGCCGTTATTGGGATGCACCGTGGAAGGTTCGTTCAACCTTCATTCGACCTTGCGCTAAGGAATATCGCACCCTGTTCCAATCGGCGAATCGGAATTTTCAAGGAACTCACGCACACTCACTTTCGAGTGCATAAATACCGCATTTGAAACGCGATAAGTGAAATTTTCGATATCAGTCATGGGCGTTTCCGGAAAATCCGGAATTTCCTACCGCGCGTTTTTAAAGTTTTACCGAAAATAAAAAACGAACCCGCCCGAATCGTACCAGAATAAAACTTTCGCGATTTAGCGAAAATAATCTGCCGATTCGTTGGACCGATCCCAAACGGTTATTTTCGCTTTTCGGTTTATTAACCCCGCAAAAATTCCAAAATCGAAAGGTTAAAATAAAAAAACTGATTTGTCAAAATTCTCGTTGTTATGGAAACGTCTAAACGAACCTACGGACGGTACACAAAGCAAGAAAATAAGCGATTATCGCTTTAAATCACTTAGCTATTTGCGTTACCTCTCTTCCGTGAAAGTTTTCCCTATTTTTCAAAACGCCACGGCGCCGAAAAGAACCACACCAAACCGCTGCAAGTGAAGCCAATGACTGATCCAAGGTGACCCTCTGGCCGGCATATAAACACAGAGAGAAAATCCAGCAGGCTCTGGCGCATGCCTCCTGACTCATTGGGTTCGAGGAAACGAGGGAAGACCACAGTTCGGGGGTAAGTAGGCGACGTTGCCGATGTTCGAGAACCTCTGCGCTATCCTTGTCGACCAGTTGCGTTAAGGTCGCCTTCTTAAGCGAGATCCATCATATATGTCAAATTATCCATTACTACATTATCCATGCGGTCCAAACGTTTAATGGACCATTCAAATATTAAACTGCCGGAACATCAACATATTGTTCGGCGGATTATTGGATTTGAATCAATATAATTATTATCGAAAATAGGTATCGTGTGTCGTCATAGAATAAGAATCGTTACCAACCAAAATAAATTTTCAATATACTTCGGTTGATTGAGGAATTCACATGTTTTGTAAAAAGCATTTCGAAAAAAGTTTGCATGTGGTAGAGCTCAATAGTACCTTATAGTATAGTACCGGGCGATCTTTTATTTAACTTTTTTATTTGACGTTTTGAAAAAAAAAAAAACATAAAATACATTGTTCAAAAAATGGTGAGCTATTCACAAGATATATTTTTACTTACATTTTTTTTTATATGTATAGGGTATCACAGGAAGCACCCACAGATAAAAGTTAACTATTTTTTAATGGACCATCCTGCATATTATACGCACAGTTCTTGTAAAACATGTCCTGTACTCAAATCAAACAGTTTTTGAAACGTATGCGATTTTAACGTTCAAAAATAAAATAGTATTCTACAATTTATAATTTACATCTTAGGCGGCTGTGAAAGGGGTCGTCACCCGCAAACAAAATGGTCGTTCATAACTGACAGTGACAGTTACAGATTTAGCCTTATTAGAAAACCAATAACCGATAAGAAGGCTAAGTTGGTTCAATTGAACTACTTCTAATATTCTAAAGGCACCGTAAACGTTGTTCCACAATAACAGTATATGGTTTCCTTAACAAGCATGTAGACATTAACGCGCAAGGCTAAACCAAAATAATATAAAAACTGTCTTGGATCCCTTGAGCCAAAATGAAAAAAAGGAATTGTCTCTGATTTTTCTTTATTCAGCCTAATATGAGATAGATATATAATTTTCAATCGATGTCTCAAACGTTTTTTTTCTGCCTGCTCCACAAAGAACCAATGCATTTTTTCCCTAAATTCGTAAATTCGAGAGACGACTTGGCAACGGGCAAATCCTCGCCGATACGCGCGCGAGTCCGTCAACGTAGGCCGCGATCAGCTGAGTGAACTTTCGCAACGTTTCGTCTACTATGACGCAAGGTGACGCAAGATTTGTAAGGGGCGGCAACCGGCGATGACGATTTTAGATCAAGGAGGTCTCGATAACGGTTAAAACCCCGAATAAGATTCGATAAAGGAGAATCGTGGATACAAAATGTACGAGCGGCCATTTTTACGCATTTGATCTTTAATTTATTTAGAATTTTTTCGTGAAGTTCAAAGAAACGAGGCCACAGTTGATCGGGGTTACACCAGTAGCTTTTGTTTGCGTCTTCATTCGTAACCGACTGCATCGGACGGTGACCCTGCTCGAGTTGCACGCACGAATAGAACCGGTTTCGTTGGATTCTTTCACGTAAAACTGTTCTAGAAATTGAAAATTACAAATCGATTTCGATACCGTAACGCACAAATTATTTTCTCGATTTTTCTACGCCAACCGAGGCTATAATCCCCAATTTACCAAAAATATTTACAATTTGAAAATGGTGACATTTATCGAAACGTACGGCTTTCGACGGCTAAACGGTGACACGATACCGCCATCTATCGGGCAGGCACCGAACTGCGACTCAGGTAGAAATTGTCTTTTAAAAAATGGACGCTAGGTTGGTTCCGCGCCCTCCCGGCGAATGTCGGAACTGCCAAAGCATTATTATAGGGTCCGTTCGATACATTACTTTGTTACTGATGTTTTCAGACGAAAGTCCTGGGTATAAGATAGGGGGGGAAGGTCGTGTATACTGTTCGGAATGCCATGTATTATTTTTGTCTAAGTACTAAAGTACTGTTATGGCGATTTAAAGTAGTACGTCACACTGAAAATACTACAGTAGCTTGAACTGGATAACAGCGCTTTATTTATATTTTAATAAAAAAAAATTAAAACTGTTTCGACATGATTTTTATTTTTGCACATTTTACCTCTCAAACTTTAAATTGAATTGAACTGTATGTCCCGCTGGTTTTCCGTTTTCGTGACTGGACACAATCACTAGAGGGCGTTGAAACTCGTGTACGCTTTTTAACATTGCCACTAATCTGAGCCTTCCTCTCTATGTGATACTCTGCCAAAGCCGAACTCGGAACGGGTAAAAAAAATTATTAGTCAAAATGTTGAGGCGATGGTGCCCAGTGGTTTTAGTGATCAAGATAATGGCAGTTGTCAAAAAAATGAAAATGTTACGCGTAAATTGGTAATCTCGATATTTCTATTTTGAAAACGATGTACTAACCATTGCAGTTTTGGTTTGGTGGCAATACTGTAAGGCGAAAGCTTCAAACTCTTTTACAATTAAAACTCTTAAGGTCCAGACTTTATTACCACAAAGCAACAACAACCAAACAGCATCTGAGGACTCAAAGGCTTTGACTATTAGCTTATGTTAGCCTTATTATAGATTATTAGACGTTAACATGGTTTTAAGCAGCGAATATTCAATTATTTTTATATATTTTTTAGCCAATTTATTATTTATTGGCTTATAAAAATGGCCTGGATATGGGGCTGAAAGCTAATAGTGCTTATCGGTTTAATATGTGTTTTATTCGTCCTGCAAACACCAGCTTCTCAAACTGGTGTTCTCTCTTTGCTCTTTGAGAATTTCTTTGGTTTTATTTAATTCTTCTTAGGATATTGAGGTTCATTATTTTGTTGAGCTCTTAGTATCTTTAGGATCCTCCTGTAGAGCCAGAGTTCAAATTCCGGATGACGGATATCTAGATATATACTAGTTCAATCCCGGCAATGTTTATATACAGGTGCATTGATCTAAGACTGACTGCTCCTCTGCTTCTTTTGTGTGGCTGTTTGATTCCGGTACAAGTTTGATTTGATTCCGTCGATTTCTGTTTGCCATAACATCCATTCCTTTCGCATGTTTTATTAGTTGCCAGGCAATCGAAATACAACGCCCTAAACGTTGGATATTTTTTTTTCGAAACACGGACCTACTAATTAGGCAAAATAACCGAAAACGTTTTAGGAAAACTTTGACATTTTTTACGTTGTTTTCATACCGCGTTCACGATGTCAAAGGTCTTCTTCTTCTTTTATTGCATGGCCGAGATTACAAGGACCATTAGGACCAAGTTAGCATAGGGATTTTTCCTCATCCTTATCATTCCCGAGCGCATGCATAAAGCCAAGTATTCGGAGACTCCGCGGTAACTTTTTCGCGTGGAGCACCCTCGAATACCGAGCGTTTCTCCTGCGTTTCACCTTTTGTACGCGCTCCGGGAAAAATGCGAATAAATCTCCCTGAACGTCGCACGAAAGGTATTCCTGCGTTTTAAACCGCACGACGCGTTATTAATCACGTTATTGTGGTATCGCTATTTACGTACGGCGCGTTCTTAATTAAAATTCCCATCGGAACGAGTACAAATCGCCTTTCCCAAAATTGCGACCGAAAATCGGCAACCTCGCCAGAGTAAAGTGTATCGTTTTGGTCTAACCAAAACACGTAATCACGACCTTCGTACCTAGTTTTTTAATGTTTTTAAGGTCCTCAGCCACGGTATTTGCTTCCATTATATGGGCCACATATTCGACTCTTTTTTTTTTAAGTATCTTCATCTTCTCATTCTTTCAGCCTTAGAATTCTCCAGTTCAAATACTTCGAGTCTTTTTCAAGTTCCCAGGTAGCATACAATATCCCCAGTATATCCGGTCAATGTCCCATTTAAGTCGCATGTCGCATACGTAACCATATATACTAAGGATATACTGTAAAATACATCCTAGGGATATCCTCTGAATGGAAAGCTCGCTTATTTACTGTACACGACATACCATAGATATCCTCTAAATAGATGGCCCGAGAATATCCCCTTGCGCCATAATGGGAACATTAGAATAGAATCCTAAAAAATTAAATTTTGAACAACTGAGAAGGAAAATAATTAGTTTTTAGATTTGTGGTGTTTTGGAAGACATCAGTGTTGGCAAGTGTTAGCAAGTCCTAAAAAAAACGGAATCAATCCGTTAAAATCAATTTGTTTTTATTACTTTTGGACGCGAACGGACACAACAAACGCTTTTTTAATAAAAATACCACCGAAAATACGGATTCATCCATGTAAAAAAAATACAAAAACGTAAAAATAATACATCCCATTTGACAACACTGTTCAGCTACAACTACTCGCCGTCGTGCCGTGCCGGACTCGCTCGAGTCTCGTCGGCTTCGCCACCGTCTCGTCGTCCGCCATCTTTTCAGCTTGGTTTTGTGTTGGCGGTATAAGGTATACGGCCACTTGGCATCTATTGAGTATTACTGAAGAACTAATAATTCATGTAAGTGAAACTTTATGGTAATATATAACATAAGATTTGATCAATTCTGACCTGAACGAACCATTGCTGTGTAGCCTACCAACATCATGCCTTGTTTTTTATTATTTTGCTAGGTAAACGAGATAGCAATATCAGGCAGCGGTAGCAAATGTGAGTCTGTAAAACAAGCTCTGACCCCGCTGAACTTGCAATGAAATTTAATTGGCCAAATTAGTACTTCATAAGTAGGTATTGTTTGTAAAAAATAAATAGGACGCAAATGTAATATAAATAAAGTATAAGAAATATAATTTAATAAAATATATATAAAACAATCATGTTTTGGAGCAGTTAAATTTAGGCATACAAAACTAAACTAATTTTTTATTTAATTAAACAATGTTAAAGAATATCCCCCAACAAAATTATATTTTTAATTATATAGTATAGTAAGTATATTTTTTTCTTAAAATAAATGCAAGGATCACCC